GGGTTGTTCACTTGGAAGTGAACTCGTTACTTGTATCAAAGATGTCAAACTAATATGATAAGATTGATAACTAAGTTGAGGACGAAGCTCCTATCTAATGGCAGACGTGCCAGTCTTATATAGAACCTTCGTTCTCCGTTGGATCGCGCACATCGCTTTCGTCGCTCGCGACTCAGGCGATGTAGGCGATCACGATCACGTGACATTTTCCTATACTGAGAAATCCCTGGATCGCTTAGCTAGTCTAAGCATCCCTGTTTGCTATAAGAGATATGATAGTGCTTAACCTGTCGGGGCGCCGTCTGGTCTTCACTCGTCACATGCTTACACGTGATTTGTGACACAAGTACCGAGTTCACTTCCAAGTGAACAACCCGATAGTCTTCTTCTTATCATAGCATACCAACCAGCGAACACCCAGCCAAGTTTAGTTAGCCAGTTTGAGTATTCGTTACATCGTCCTAGGTAAAATACTTCGAAATATAGGTTTACTAGGGTAGGTAGCTTTAGTAGAGTAATCTTATAGGGTAAAAACCCTCCCCCGGAAAAGTTTTAATTACAAGGTAGAAGGAGAAGTAGAAGTAGAAGTAGAATTATTATACCTAGGACGAGGTAGAAGTACTGAAGTAGTTTGTCGTTTAATATTTGTTAGTTAGATATCTTGGTTATCTTGGTTGTTTTGTATCTTTTATTAGTTGGTCGTTGGAGAGATGTTGGTTGGATATAGGATTACATAAGTCCACCTATCCATATCCACTATTTCCACCATTAGAATTTATCCGTAGACGTCCTCATATCATATCATATCTATAGATACATAGTAAAAATAAATTCCTTAGTTTAGGAACCCTTTAGTACAACAAACCATCCCCTCCCCTCCCGTCCGTCCCTCAATAAAGAAAAGTGTTTCAATCCCCGAACCTCCGAAAGTGCGAAGCCACTGTACCTAGGGTAAATGTGACTGATTCCAATAACACCAGTACTCCGTAATCAACGACAACAGTAGTACCTACCTACCTACCTACCTCCGCAAATTTCCAACCCAAAATCCGAAATCCGTGGATGCCCTTAGGAAGATGTACGTACTCTACACACCCCGTGACGAAACCCCCCTCCCCCCCCGGATTCTACATTGTAATCCGAGATTCAGAGATTCATATGAGGATGTCAAGTACGTACGTACTACGGAGGAAACAGAGGTGCTGATTCGTCCAATTACGAAGGAAAGGACGATAATTACAGAGGGTATGGTAGGTATGCTGCACTGTAAATCACATCTCTCATGTAAGGTTAACCTCCTACCCTAGTATACCTACCCTCTACCATACCTAGGTACTGAGGAGCTGTGTAACCACACCACACGACACCCACCACACCCTCTTGCAAAGGTTAGGGTGTTGTATCCCCCGGCAGTTCATCAATTTATTTATATGTATTCTGGGGGGGGGGGTACAGGTGCATGAGGTCGCCGACCTGAAGTAACGAACCCCCTGTCCCCACCTCACCTCGCACATCTGACCTCCTTTGCACAATGCTGCATGCAACGCCAACAACGGTTCGAGCCGTCTCATCACGATCAAGGGGGTGGGCTTGGGTCACAGTGAGTGAAGCTCGACGCCGCCGTGCTGGCTTGGGTCACAGTGAAAATAGTGAGTGAGGCGACGCCGCCGCCGCCGTCGACGCCTTAGCCGTGACGGCGTTCTCGTTGTGTATGGGCGGGCGGGCGGNCGTGCTGGCTTGGGTCACAGTGAAAATAGTGAGTGAGGCGACGCCGCCGCCGCCGTCGACGCCTTAGCCGTGACGGCGTTCTCGTTGTGTATGGGCGGGCGGGCGGTATTTTAGATTGTGAGGGTGGGTTTGGGAGTGATTGGATGGAAGGGGGAGCAGAGGGGAGGGTTCTGCGAGATTGATTGAGTGCATTCCATCCCATCCTGACGACGATTTCTTGTGAATGTGATAGATGGGGCTTGGTATTTCTTTGGCGGGTGTTTTTTTTTTGGGTGATTTGGCAATCGCATGCGAAGCTTCCCTAGCCTTTGCTTTGACTGCTTTCTTTGTGCTTTCTTTGGGCGAAGTTACTCGAGATGGAAGAGAAGAAAGAGGAGCCGGCGGCTGGAGGAAAGTTTATTTCTCTTTTGAGAGGGTTTTGCCAATTCTCGTTGTCTCCACTCGCTCGATGAGATGATTAGGAGCGGCAGTTATTTCCTTAAGGGGAATACCCAGAAAAGCGGATGAAGAATTCTCCGTTGCGCCCTTCTTTTTTCTGACATTTCCGTTGTTCTCCCGTGAAGATTGGAATTTTTTACTTTTGAGAAAACATGGAGTCGAAAATCCTAGTTATGCGAGGCCGATTCCGAGACGATCCTTCGCAACTCTGTTGCTTCTTTCCAGAGGAGATACAAAGACGTCTTTTCCCTTTGAGATCTTGAAGCGGTTTTTTCTCTTTCTATTCAAAAAAAAAAGGTTGATTGTGATGTGATGCTGCAGAAGAGGATTGTGGATACTTGTTGCACAAAATTGGAGACAGCCAACAATTCCACGGCAAGTTCCTTTGGATAAAAAGATGCTCGCAACGCTGACCATGCGTGACATGGCCAGGAGTATGCAGATCACCTGGATTTGGTTCGTCATTCGAGAAAGATCAGCCTCTGCCCCAGTTGACGGAACGGCAACGGCTTCTTGCCTTGGTCCTCTTTGTTGCTTTCTCCGCCGCTTAGATAGAGGCGGGTGACGGATGCGTTGTCCTGATAACAAAGTGCAAATGCAAGATTTGGATGGAGTTGGCTTGTCTGGTTTCCTGTATGCTTGGGTATTATTCTGTGATACATGCTGTATCATTATTATTATTAGAGCATTAGTCAAGGATTCAAGGATTCCTCCAGTCCTGAGAAGCGAATCCTTCGAGCTCTAGTCGCCTGACGTTCCTGATATATTGTCGAGTACATCTCCAGGGCCTCGACAGATAGACTTTGGTACACAAAAGGAAGACTTCGTACTTGGAGAAGAGATGAAGAAGAAATGTGGTAGCGAGTTTCAACCAACCATGCTCAGCGCAGGTGTGCTAATGCTGATACGAAGTATGAGCGAGCAATTGCTCATGTTCATGCTGTTTGATTGCCATGACATTTTCCTATTTTCCCTTTTTGAACATCTGCCCAGCCCAGGAAGCGACGGGTAGGGAGGGAAGATGTGCCAAGGAAGTCAGTGATCTTCCAGACTTTCCACGCGTTCGGATGTTCGTTTCTTGCATCTTGAGAAGAGAAAAAACGGTCCTTTTCCCGGTGGGTGAAAGCCGGTGAGGCTATCCGCAGACCGTGAGAAAACAGGAGACTCGGGGAAGGAACCATTCAGGTCTGGAGTGTTTTCATTCTTTGCTGGGGTTGCGTCGTCCAATGTTCGTGAGTTACCCAAAACAGTGCTTCGTCCTTTCATGCAGCCATGACCGCCCAAGGAGATGCTGTCACTGGCACTCTCATCCGCCTTACCGACCGCTGTAGCCGTACTGGTAGGAGTAGCAGCGAGTGAGAGGATGGAGGAGCGTAAAATGACCCAACTCAGCCAGATGAACGGTATAGAATCTGGTCATGCTCGGCCGTCACCAACGGTCAAGTTTACGCCGCTTTTTTTATAGACCGTGCTAGTGCCAGTGCTAGTGCCAGTGCTAGTGCCAGTGCTAGTGCCAGTGCTAGTGTGAGCGCTAGCGCTAGCGCCTGGCGGCTTTGGTCCGACAAAGTCAAACGTTTTGGCGTTTGGTGGAGCGTAAGGCCAAGGCAATGCAAGTGCAACTTCAAGGTCGAGTTCGTGTGTCCATTGTTGATGCGCGTTGCCCCATTAAAATAATAGAGGGAAACAACCTGGAAGTCGCGGTTTCCTCCCCCCATGCTGAACCCTGCGATACCCTGCCAGACCCTGTCAACCCTGTCCATCCTGTCAATCCCCTGCCCGTCGCGGCCACATTCTGTCACTCAAAGCTGCGCCAAACCTTCTGTACGCTCACAGCTCACAATCCTGTCTGTCCACGGCAAAATCCCCACCGATTCTCACTTTACCTACTGCAGGTAAGGTTCTCTCCTCTGAAGCTCGGAGCTCACAGCTCTCCCTAACCCGTACGCAACTCACCAATACGCTACGCTCCTCTCACCTCCACTCACACTTCCCTCCCCCCTCCTGGTCAATGGTTGAAACTCCGACAGGCTGCATGGCACTCCCCCGGTTGCCCACAGAATCTCACAACCATGCCGTGTCACGACCATCATACTAAGTATCTACTTCGTACTTGTATAGTCCTGGTCCTGTACGGAATATCGCGGCTATATTCTACCTGTCATGTCAATGAGTTTTGCAACACCACAAACATTAGATCAAGCTCAGTAAACCTCAGTGAGCTGCCAATCTCCTCAATTGTCCGCTCTCATCGTAACGCTGGTGTTGCTGGTTGATACTCCTTTGCACAACCACCACCAGACCGCCTTATACTTCAACCACTCTAATACTGACGTCGATCTTGCAGATTCTCTGCTATGTTTGAAATCGACGAGTGCAACATTCCCATTGTGCGGACCCGTCAAGCTCTTCTTCTCCTCGACCTTCAAAACGATTTCATTTCCACGGGCGGCCTATTACCCGTAGAAGAACCCGCGAAGTTTGTACACAACATCCTCACCCTCCTACCACGCTTTCGAAATTCCGGCAACAACGTCATTTGGATTCGTAGTCAATTCGAAACTTCTCGATCGATCAACGATAACCGCCGGAATAGCGAGAGCGTCATAACCGACGACCAGTTAAAACCTTCTCGTCGAAAGGGCGGTCGAAGGAAGGGGGCCTCTACACGGAAGCCATCGCAGAAACTTCTCGATCAACACAGCCGAATTGCTCTGAGCAATAGTCAGGAGATTGAAGATGGCAGATTGCATGGAGAGGACGGGGCCGAGGCGGACGAGGTGGACGATAAGTTTGCCATAGACGAGACATTCTTAACCCTCCCACCCGGACACCTACCACGCGTCGTCGCACCTGGATCTTCTGGAACCGCCTTTTCACAACGGGCGTATGTAGGAGCGGATGAGGCGAGTGACTTGTTTTATTGCAAAAGCTATTATTCGGCTTTCAAAGATGGAAGGCTTGTGCAGCTTATGCGGGCCAGGTTCATCACAGAGATATTTATCTGTGGCTCATTGACCAACATAAGTGTCTTTGCAACGGCCATGGACGCCGCTCGGCATGGATATACCATCACCATTCTTGAGGACTGTTTGGGATATAGAAGCAAAGCAAGGCATGAGGAAGCATTGAGACAGTTAACACAACAAACTGGATGCGATATAATAAGTAGCAAAGAGCTGATGGAAGAGTTGGAACGCAAAGAAAAAGCGCGATCCAAAGCTGCTCCAAAGGCTCCTCAACGCGATTCAAAGGGTGGTAGCTTGGAAGCGTTGATGGCGAGGATGAGTATCAGACGAAGGCATGATTCAAGACATGGCGCTATTGACGAGCCAGTGAATGAAATTGTGGCACCGGAAGTCAAAGCATCTGAGTCACTAGAAACGGTTCGGATAATCACGAAAGAGGTCGAGGCACCAAGGAAGAGAGAGAGAGTTCCAACAAGGATACGGTCTCGAAGGCGCCGTTCTAAATCAAAGGCGTACGATAAAAGCGAACCACATTCCATCATCCTCCATCAAAGAAGCATCTCACCCACCTCTGCAACATTACTGGGCGCCACCGAAGCACTCGAGAAGATTTCGATATCAACAGAAGTCGAATCAAAACGTACCACTACCATTGCATCATCCCCACAATCTATCAGCGAGGAAAGCGAATCTTCAATATCAACCAAATCAAGTGAGACAATGGACGATACAAAGCCTATCGCCGAGCGTCCGGCTTCGAGCCACTCTGAGGAATTCTTTTCTGTGGAAGATATACCTCAAGTTGCCGAGGAGGTCCAGAAAGTAATTGAGAAGATTGAAGAGGAGGTAGAAGAAGCTGAACCAGAAGTTGCCGGGGATGAATTGGAGGGTATTTGCGAAGGCGACACAAGTGTCATCACGAGCCTACTTCCAGAAAATGAAGCCGATGGAATATTTGAAAGACTTCGTGATGAGATTCAATGGCAAAAGATGTTGCATCAAGGTGGTGATGTTCCACGTCTTGTTTCTGTACAGGGTATGATAGGAAAAGATGGAAGCATACCCATCTATCGACACCCAGCCGATGAATCTCCTCCACTCAAACCTTTCACCAAGACCGTTTCGTTGATTCAATCAAGGGTTGAAGAGGCACTTGGACACCCAGTCAATCATGTATTGATACAATTCTATCGAGACGGATCGGATTATATCTCAGAACATAGCGACAAAACCTTGGATATTGTACCCAATTCATTCATTGCGAATGTCAGTCTTGGCGCAAAGAGAACAATGACTTTCCGAACTAAGAGGAAGCCTGTTGCTCCTGATCCTAAGCATTTACCACCGCCTCCTCGCCAGACTGTTAAGGCTCCTCTTCCACATAACAGTTTGTGCAAAGTTGGTCTAGCCACCAACAAAAAGTGGTTGCATGCGATCCGCCCGGATAAGCGTCTGGAGTCTGAGAAATCTCCTGAAGAATTGGCTTTTGATGGCGGTCGTATCTCGTTGACTTTCCGACATATTGGTACATTTTTGAATAAGGATGAAACGAAAATCTGGGGTCAAGGTGCAGTGTCAAAATCGAAAGAAAAGGCTTCAGACGTGATCAACGGGAGAACACCTGAGGCTGAGGAAATGATTCACTCTTTTGGAAAGGAGAATCAACGTTCCTCCGAGTTTGATTGGGATGAAGTGTATGGTGGAGGATTTGATGGTAAGCGGTTTCCTAACTACAAACTTTTGTGGCTTTTCATCGCGCACATATTAATTTGATCTACAGTACTTCACGTTTCGAACTCTCGAAAGCTCTATTTATCCGGTGACAAGATTGCCGATATGAGTGTTAAAATTCAATTGGCTGAACTCAACTTTGATTGGGTCGAAGGCAATCTATCCCCAGCTTTCACCTGGAAGTCAAGAAACAGCGTCGCACCCTCCTCCAAGAACCAAACTCTCAAATACGTCGACAACGACCTCAGCAGAGCCACCGTCATCGGCGAACAATCCATCATGTTCTACCTCGAATGCGTCTACGCCTTTGAAACCAAAACCCCCACCCACGGGGATCTCGCCCGCCAATTCACCCGCTTTGATCAATGCCGCACTCTCCTCAGTCGATGGCGAGCCGTCCTCTATACCGCGAAGCCCTTCCTTCGCGAAATGGAAATCTGGGAAGGGTATGCGGCGGAACATGAGTTCATCGCGTCCGACAAGATTTCGGTCGTGGATTATGCCGTCTTCCCTATTCTTCATGAAATTTATACTGAGCGACCGGACATGGCGGCTGGCTATGATCGTTTGGCGGAGTTGTATCAGAGGTTACTGGCGAGGGAAAGTATTGCGTCGTTGATTGAGGAGGAGAGGGTTAAGGATGGGAAATGAATGGATAGATAAAGGAGTCTATGGATTCTTTGGTGGGTTGCGTGGTTGTAAGTGGAAATGAACGGAAGGATGGATGGATGTTTATAGGAAGGCTATCTCGGTACGTATCTTGGATGGCGGAATATTGGGAGTATATAGATTGCATGGTATGCACTGGAGTGGAGTTTTCTTTGAGTATCTTTTTGGTGTATTTTGGGGTTGGGTAGGGTTGATTTGGGAGGTGTTTTTTTTTTTGCATGGTGTGGAGTTGAGTTGGATGAGATCGCTCTCTTTTTTTTTCTTTTGTATAGTGTAGTGGGGATGGGAAAAGGTATTGCGATGGGGTGGGTGGTAGGAGGTAGGACGGTGGACGGGTAAGGGGGGGATAAGTGGAATAGGTTGGGTTATATAATTAATATTATTTATTTGTTCATGTTTGTCTGTCTTTTGAGGGGCGGAGGAGGGTTGTTGATGGTGATGGGGATGGTGATGGGATAGTGATGGTGGTGATGTGTTTGAGTAAGGGAATCGAGACAGCGGGCAACACAATTCTTAGCATCAATGAGATTTCATATCATAAAAGTAGAATATACAAGAAAATTGAAATACCACCGTACGTACTATCAAGAAATCATAAAAATACAATTCCTCATTCACCACTCCAAAGTCCCATCAAAACACTTCATTCGCTCCCCAATGAAAGCAATTTGATCTCATCTCATCTCATCTCATCTAGAACCATCAATAACATTCCACCATCACTTCTCTGACTGGAAATTCTTACTTATAATACACCGAACCCCAAGATATCATACACCTGCGTCGGGATGAAAAAATGAAGTTTGGTGCTCTTATGGACCTTTGAATCTCTTCTCCTTCCCTTCCCAAGCTGTGGTTTCTACCATGAATAGGCCTTTTTGATCATGACATCTGGGGTTTGAAGTTAGTCGAAGGATTGGGAAAGGGAGGGGGGAGAAGGGAGGAGGAAGGAGAAAGAAGAAGAAAAATTATAGATGAGTCGGAAAAGTTATAAGACACCATCCCATCCCGTCATGGCGTCCACCTCCCACCTCACCAACCCCCACCACCACCACACAAACAAACAAACAAACAAACAAACATACCGTCTAAAAAACCTCTCCACAGGCCAACACCTCACCCTCTGCTCCCTACTCCTCTCCGTCTTCCCGCCACCGCCTGAGACCTCACACGAATACTGCAGCATCTCCAGGAATTCGCACGCTTTTAGATCGCCGTTGAAGCCTTTCCGTTTCGTGCCTGTGAGGGAGGTTTGTGCGCGGAGGGGAAGCTGGGTTGAGGGGAAGAGCTCGGTTGGGGGGGCCATTTCTTTGGGTGGGTTAAAGGGGGTAGGGTGTTGTAGAGAAGGGGGGAAAAGAGGGAAGTGGAGAGGAGAGGAGGAAGATGGCGGCGGGGGTTTTGGGAGAGAGACTTTTGAGAGAGGTTCAGGGTGAGGAGGGGAGTTTGGAGGATGTGAGTTGTGATTTCTTTTTTCTTCTGTCGTTCTTTGATTTTGGAGTCTCTTTCTGTTATTTCAACTCTCTATCCTCATACACTCTCCTCACCAACCTCACCTGCATGGCTCAAAACCAATCCAGCCACATCACGTGTCACACCTCCAACAACGAAAATCAGCTGACACACCCCAGCTCCTCACAACTCTCCGCACCCACCACCCCTCCCAAACCACCCTCCTCCCCGCACCACTAACCCAACTCCTCACCCACCACAACCAAACCAACCCCACAAAAACAAAAACACTCACCCTCTCCGGCTCCTACACACCTCTAATAAACCACCTCATCCTCACCCTCCTCACCCCCGCTCAGCCAACAACAATAGCCATCCTCGACCTCACCCATCGCTTCTCGCCTTCTCATCTGGTTTCTGCACTAGGGGTGGAGGAATTGAGACATATCCATGTTTTCTACCCTACCCCTGAGACCCTGAGGGGGGTGATGGAGGGATTGGAGGGGTATATGGTGGATGGTAGCCATGCGAGTAAGGGACGGGAGTGGAGGGGGGTTTTTGTTATTGGAGGACCGCCGCCTGGGGTGTTGGGGGTGGGAGAAGGGAAGATGGGAGGTGCTTCGATGATAAGAAGTGAGGAGATGTTACGAGTTGGGACGTCGTGGAGGGGATGGCTGAGAGTTGAACGGGAAGTTGTGAAGACGTTTGGGAAGGGGATTAGTGTTGAGGAGGCGTGGGAGGAGAGTATGGGTATGGGTATGGGTATGGGTACCGGGAGAAACTCTGAGGGCGAGCTGAGGTGGAGGGCTGTTTGTGGGGAGGGGGTTTATAGGTTTTGATTTTGATTTTGGTGGTGAGGATGGGTTTGATGCTGATGCTGGGGTTTCATGAGGAATGTTTGTTTTGTCTTGAGTATTGGGATGGGGAGCTGATGGTATGGGTATGTTTTACGGGGTAGCGTCGGGAGAGAGGGAGGGAAGTTTATGTCAGGGAGTGGAGGAAAGAGATGGTGATGGATGGGAGGATGGAGTGGGATGATTTACGGCTAGCTGTGCTGTGCTGGTTTTGGGGGGAACGGAGTTTGAAGGGATGTGGGTTGTAGTTGCTAAGTTAGTAAGAGTTGCTTTGCTATCTAATACCAGGAGAGAAAGTCTCTTTCTTTGTGATACTCATATTATGGCCGGCTCTGAAGAAGAACATTTTTATGTATATTCAAAGTAGAATGTATATGAAGAAGGTTGAGAGATTTGCAGTAGTAAGGGGAGGAAGGCTTTTGCGTAGGCAACCTTTCGCTTAGCCGGAGATTTGCACAGTAATTGTTTTGACAGAAGAGGATCTTTCAGCTGAAATAACGTGGACTCAAATTTATGTTGCAAAGCTTTTCATATATCTATTACTCAGGCCCTTCCCAGATGTCTTGCAAATGGAAGGTATTTACCAAATAACTTCCCTCTCGATCAAAAAAACACACCCCTTCCGCCCAATCAACCTTTTCAGAATTAGACCAACATCTGGACGCATCTCTCACTCCCACTTCACCATCTCAACACTGTCCATCAACATTACAAAAATGCCTACCCAAAATCAGTTATTCAAACCTCCCTCCTTTACAATCACAAAAAAACTCACCACTCAATATTCGCCGTCCCAAACGCAGCATTATCAGTCAACTGATTCCAACTCCCAACCGAGAAATCAATATGGTCCGCATCGCACCCAGGACAGGTATCCTCGACCGTCGCAATGATGGTATTTCCCTGCCCGCCGACGCCGTCGTTACTTCCTACGTTGGTAACTAACCACCATAAAGATATTAGTAAAACATACAAACTCCATTTTGTATCTTTGGATATGAAAGTAGGTAAGATAGGAATAGAATAGAATATACCCTGCACCTTCCTCCCACAAAACGCAGGTGGATACCCGCTCCCCTGCCAGGACGTAGAGATCGCAGCGATGAATGACGAATCTGGGTTTCGCTGTCCGCAGGATCCGGTTCCGCCTTGTTGGGTGTAGACGGTTGCTAGACCGGTGTGGCTTTTTTTTCGTGTTAGTAGTCCAGTTTTGGAGAGGAAATGTGCGGGGGTATACTTGCGTGATGCGTTTTTCGAGGGTCCCGGTTGTGTGTTCGTTGGAGACTGGGGAGGGAGCTGCGAGTGAGGTGGTGGTTATGAGGGCTAGGAGGGAGGGGAGGTGGAAGTGCATTTTTTGATAGGGGGTGTGGGGTTGGATGGGGGATGGATTGAGGGGACTGAATTACTGGGACTGGGAGTAATGATGAGGGATGTTAGAGGGGAGGAGGGACTTTTTATACACGAGAAAAGCTTCTATATCAGAGGTAAAAATGAATGATAGAGAAGAGGAAGTATTGTTCCACCCATACCAAATCTTTCACCGTATTTCTTGATGTGAGTATCCCACACCACACCTACCAAGTCCATCTGCCGCAGTATTACGTCTTCATGCATAGCCTCGCCTAGATTCTTTAAGAACTAAGAATTGGCAAGCTGAGCTGACCTGTAAGCAGACCTTTAAAAAGATTCCGGAGCGTCGGGAACCAGTTGTTGGAGGGGTGGTTAAGACATATTCCTACTAAAGTAGTAAAACAACAAACGAAGCCTCGATTTCTTTCATGTATAGTCAAGTATTTCGGGCCGTTCCCATACATCTTATAGGGAGAATACTGATACTTTGTCGTACGGCGTGCGATTGCGTGGCACGAGATGTTGTAGACGGTACTGTAGAAGTTATGGGGTCGGACAAGATTATGTTGTACAAGCGAGTGTTTTGATAGTAGCACATGAGACTGAGACAACGAGGTTGTTGTGGAGTACTTTTTTGGAACATGCGTCGAGAAACTGCTAGTGCTTCTGCATGGCGGGCATGAGCACGGGAGACTGTGAGCTCCCTTTTTACTGTAATGCGAAGGATGGATTGATCTGTTATCGAGGAAGGTGTTATCGTCGAAGGCGGACATTGTTGACTTGGGTGGCACTACGTAACGAAATCACTTCCTTATATTTCGTTTCCGAAGGAGACTAAGAACACTCTTATCAGCTTCCAACTTTCATACCATCAAACTAATTACCGCGAGGAACAAAAACCAGTTCTATCCATATATTACCGTCAAGTTTCTACCGTGAAAAAGGTCTAATGCGACAGCAGCTTATTAAACATACAGGCTTTCGGTATGCCTAGTATTCATAACTTGGTTCTTTGATTCTAACATAGCCTATCGAAGCTTTCCCTTCTTTCCCTTTGTGGGTGAGAATTTTAGTATGCAAAGCAGGTTGTCGGAAGTTAACCGAGATACCGCTGACCGCCATTTTTGGATTTTGCTACTTCTGACTAGGCCTCTAGATAGCTTAGTGCATCTCAATCGTCTGTCTGAATTTGTATAGTTTTACCAGTCATTTATTCCAGTATTCTTGGCACCCAATCTCAACCTCAAACTGGGTTCGAATAGTAATATTCAAATATAAGGCTACTTATCATGCAATGCACACTGCATAAACAAAACACATATCGATATTGTGGAATGTTTTGCAATAGCAACTAGAAACTTGTAAGCTGACTTTGTTTATTACCCATCTACGATTTACAGGAAGAACTCAGAGGCTGATAGAAGCATGCATTGAGAACCCCGTGGAAGGACGATACACAAGATATGGAGAAAACGGAAGGTTACAGTCAACTTGCGGGCATGTCATCTTGCTCTTGGTGGACAGAAAACGTGGCATACATTCCTCTTTTGCTGAGTTTATTATTCTAATTCAGTAGATTAAACAGATGGACTGAGAGTCAAATGAAGTTGTTTGTTTATATTGTTGACCAGATGAAAGACTGTGAATCAACCTACGGCCAATATGTATAAAGAAACGGAATCTCTGCCGCTTTTCTTGTCCGTCAGGAGTTTCTGAGCACCCCTTTTCAAACTGCATGAAATACCAATACCTTCCAGTACCGTAGTACAGCATGTACATTTCTGCTTAGTACATTTTACCATGTCAATGGGTCGTAGAAAACAAGCTTCTCACATAATGTATGAGACGGAGAAATTCAATTCTCATCACTATGGGTAGCCATAAGCTGACAGCGGTCCTGGATTTTGGCCGGATTGGGACTTTGAGATGGCCGGTATCAAAATTCAGTAGTTCTGTACATGAGTCTGCAGTCTACTGAAGATACTGATCGACATAATCCTTAGTCAACACACCAAAGGCTTTCATGTGCTGCGGAAATTACCTCATCCTCGATAGCTTGGTGGTGTGAATAACCTCAGAATGTGACTCTGTACGTAATCAATAATTTTACACACCCGGGTTGAGGTTACTAATCACCAGCTTTTGATGTTTTCTACAGACAGAGAAGCGGAAGAGGAATATCAAGTGGTCGGAACCTGGTATTCGGCAATGCGGAGAATTCGTTAGTAAGAGCTTTTATTGTCTTGTGGCCGCTTCGTGGGCAAGGTAGTATACTTGCTGACGATACCAACTTGCATAATTATCGCATAGCAGCAAGAGTAACCGCATATTTCCATGGAAGATTTGCCACAGCGCATGCCATTATTAGAGCATTTAAAATTACAAGGGAGAAAAAACCAATCGCGAGGTTGTATTTGCAAGACTGGACTTGAACTTACATCGACCGTGAGAAATCAAGCTTAAAGTGCAAAGCAATGTCTCTTTGCGAAAGTACCTGCAACAAACAATCGGGTAATCCATAGATCGAGAGGGAAAGGGTTCACTTCTAGATCCTGACCCGTGCTGGTGTCTGTCTACTCCGATACTCGTGTAGCTCATTCTCGATGAATGGTCTCACTTTGAGAATAGACATCAGTTCTCTAAGCTTATAGAAGAGAGGCCGTCATTACTCTGACAAGTCCCTTGAACTGAGCCCCAACGGTACGAGAAAACCCGGATTTGGGAGCGCTGTGGGACTCACGGACTCGTCTAGGTCTTTGAAGTCATTTCCTTGCCTGGGAGGGAGGCTTGATTTTTGGATGGTGATGAACTTGGGGGAGATATGGATGGGATGTTCATTTGGTTTATGAATGTTTGTAAGTATTCGATGGTAGAAATGTGATCGACGGCAAATGAGAGGTATCTTTCGAAACGTAGCTGTGGAGAGGTGGAATTTATTCTGGTTTAATTTTATCAAGCAGTGCGACACGACTCCTTCCTGCGTGCTGTTCCAGTTCCTAAGACTACTTCTATACCATGGCTCTTCAGTCTCCTCCTTTCCTTCTCTCTTCAACTGCCATCTTCCGTTTTGTCCGTCTGCCTGTTTTCCCCTTTCCGAGCTCGTATTTCTTATATACTAACGGGATATTGAAGTTCATACCTGAGAATGAATCGTTTCTTTGGGGATTTTGTATGTATTATCTTTGGTTAGTATATGTTATTACTTAAGGGACGTTGGAGTTGATAGCTTGCTTCTTTGGAAATGAAAAGTACAGGATTTGGGATCCATTATGAAAGTGTTGGATGTGTATAGTGGTAAGTGAAAGTGGAAATGATTAGTACGTCTTAAGAATAGGTGAGAGCAGTAAAGTTCCCGGTATTCCACTTCTAGTAAGACATAAAGTGTTTTCAGCGTAATATACATTATCCAGAATCGCCCAGGGAATTGGAGCTTTGAGGAGGACGTAGATACAGTGATTATGAATTTGTGGTATATCTCTTGCTGAGAACGTACTTTACTTCGACCTATACCGTTGGGCAGGGGTTTTATACTTGAGGTTCTTTGGCAGAGTGTAAAAGACTGAAGTTTTGATACAAGGTATTTAGAGCTGGAGGCTGTGGTTCTTTTGAGTAAGTCTTACCTAGGTAATGATAAAAGAAATAGCTAGAACGTTTGGGGAGTTTGCTTTGGTAAGGTGAGGGGGTATTTCGATGATCCAGCTTACATTGAGGTTTCTCTTGGTTATGGCTAATAGGGAAATAACAGCTTGGTCTACCACTGTCTTTTTCTTCTTCCTGTTTTGAATCGTATAAATCTCTGCGAGAAACGCTTGTACTACGTCTCAATGATCAAACCGAGATTATGAATGCGCAGTATACACATGTTTCGTGGGAGTGCTGGCGAGAATCAATGGATCTGAGTTAAACAGCATTTTTCTTTGACTCAGACAAAAGTTTACTTCCAAGAATTATCCCACTTCCTGGAGGACTTGACGTGTGAAGTTCACTAAACGAATCTTTATAAAATATTCGACAGTAGAAATAGACTTGACGGCAAGAATGTAAGTGTCTCGAAGCTATGACGGGGTATGTAGGAGTCCTCGTCTACTGGGCATCAACGCTCGGCATCTGGAATTCCATTCCATTCCAGACACCCCCCCTGGAATATTCCGTTCCTTTTATAGGAAGGTCTAGAATTATTCTATTCTATTACCCCGATTCCATAGAAGTTCCATAGAATCTTACACATGACACAGAAAAAAGACAATACGGCCCCGCAGACTAATAAGAAGCCTTAATAATATCAAATATTGTAGATTCTTATTAATACTATTAACACTATAAGTCAACTATTACTATATCGCCTCTATATACCACCCTAGGTAGATAGAGAGCCTCTATATCATCTAGTAGCTCTCCTATACCTCGAATATCGCTAAACTATAATCGTAGGCGTGGTACAAGTGGCCCTTCGTAAGCTCCCGGTAGTCCTCTCCGAGATGTGTAAAGCCTACAAAGCTCTAATTTACTAAGTCCACAAGCCAAAATTAGTAGGATGAGTAATTGGTTATTATGTATACTAGAATTCCATTTTCTATGGAATTCTAGAGCCTTTTTAATAGAATATTCCACTCCTTTGCAAGGGTGCTCTAGAATAACTCCATAATGGAATTCTATCGTGGAATTCCATGGAATAGGGTCCATTTGCCGAGCGTTGCTGGGCATGTTTGGTGGAATTAGCCACCTGGTCACGGGAAAAGTTGTTACTTGCGATACACCGATTTAGAGACCTTTCTGTAGTTTTCTCAAAGACTGCAGACATTTTTGTGATGTTAGGGTCACCGTGAAAAACATAGTCTCGATTTCGTACTCCTACACCTTTACTTAGCCAGAGGATCAAAGGAGGATGGGTTCTCGACGTGGGTGAGGTGGAGGAGTCCTGCTTCTTGATTCTTGTTTTTGGGACACTGTCGTGCTTCCGGGCCGCGATGATTTTTGTGTTAGCTTTTTGGTGGGACAATATTTCGATGATTGGCGGGCTATTTACAGGATGTACCCACCAGTACCTGGTCGTCGTCTTCTTGGTTGTAGCAAAATCGGCGGAAGATTGCGGCCATATGGTCCTATGGAAGCTAATAATGCGTTTCTATTGGGGTTCTTCTATAAGTTTACATATTATTCTATGGCTCCTAAAACAGCTTGTAATTTGTATCTTACCAAGGTAAATTCTAGATTATACCAGCGTCTTTGAGGAATATTCGTAGACATACACTACAATTTGACATATCTATGAACAGATCCCTGGCAAAAACTATTCCTACTACGCGTGCCCTTGCATTCGCCCAAAATCCTCGAGTGTCCAACGGAAAAATATCGGCTGTCGTTGTGCAAGGTCCAAATATACCCCGTAGCCAATCACGATCGCTCGCGTAGCTACCAGCCCCACAAAATCCACAAAATAATATTGATATCTCAAAATACCACAGCCACCGACATCAAAACTGGTAACCTGCCTGCCTGGCCCAGTCAGTTAGTGTGTGTCCCCTCCCCTAAACCCATTTGCGCCACCCACACCAAACCCTACCACGAAGGGGGTGGGCCCCTACGCACAAGGACGGACCCCCAAAAAACCCATCCCCTCCCAACTAGAGTGGGTTTATCCTGAGGGGGCTTAAAGGTTTTGTCTTTTTTTTTTGTCGCTGTTACAGTACCTAGGGATTACCCTCAGCCACTCGTCTAATCGCTTCTGATCCCAGCTTCTATGCCACTTCACTTCCTGAAAGAGATCAGTATTGCATGGCTCTTCCTGAGCTTTGATTCCATCGATATATTTTGCATCGTTACTTCCTTTGTTACGACATCACTTTTCTTGATCCCGCTGCTCCTAGCTAGAATCCTATGTAGCAGAGTTTATAAAAGTGACACTGGTCAATTGATTCATGCTTGCTGTTCTAGACTTATCACAGACCAAGAGCGAGGCGTTAGAGGGCATGCCATACATTTACACGATTAGAGCGATTAAATGCGAATACACTTGCTTAATAATACTTCATACGCCTTAATTAGAGTATCCAGGGGTAATATTCCTTCACTTACTTGAATCACACAAGTAGCTGCTGTAAAATAGAAGCAAAAGGAAAGTCGAAATAGTAACTAACTTCAGACACAGTAGCAGAATATAGACCTCTCGTGAGATTGAAGGATATATGATAAAAGGGAAGAACAACAACTGTCACTACACCCTTCCTCATCCCTCCCCTACAGACAACCATAAGATACGACCCGTACACCTCTTGCATGTAGGAAATTCAGTCAGATCTCAAGTGCTGCGTACTAATATCTTCATAGAAAAAATGGTCAAGAAACCTTCATAGAACGACAGAATCGGACTGCAAAAACAAGAAGAACACAGATGGAGGAGGATCAGGTCATTTTGTTTAAGTAAGATCTTACAGCACACAAGGCTTCTTAATCACCTTTACGGCTACTGTGGCCCAAATTGGGACGATTTTTTAAAAACCCAACAACAAGGCAGCAGATGAATTTTCAAAATCGACAGTTTCAGCGATTTCGAAAGTGGCTGGAATGACGACGGTAGATAGGCCCTTGATAAAACTTTGCCATTCTGACCGAATTGCGTCTAGATTAAATTAGATAGAAAGGTAAAACTAGATCCTTGGAGAATTTATCGTTGTCAAAATCTCCTGGCGGTTTCGCAGTATCCTAAGCCTTCACGCACCATTTGGTCACTCATCACAGTCTTCTCTCTAGCACCACAACAGCAAACAATTAGACTGCTTATATAATAACTCTTTCCAGCCCCAGGTGGCGCAAGTGGATGTGGCTGAGACAAGTCAGGGGAAATTGACGCGGGACCAAACGTTGAAAGAATGGAAGTAAATTGTATGACTTTTAGATCCTTGCTGTTCAAATGCTCATTTTCCTATTCAGACTACAGAAGAGAAATCAGATAGACTTTTAACTTGGAGGGTTGAACGCAACTGTCTTGACCCTGTTAATAGTCTAGTATGTGCCAACCTCGAATTATATCATTATAAAAATCCAGGAGACTAGCATTGTGTCTGTAAAGTGCATGATCCACATGAACAGATCTAAGGTTCGGTGACTTGACCCCTCCTCCGAAATCGTATTATTATATTATATTCCTACGCCGCAGCCAAGTTCTTGCCATTGCACCCAGAACCTCTCGGATAAACTTTCAAGAGGACTTCCGTCGACGCAGTAGAGAAGAAAGAGATCATCTGCAAAGTTTCTTTATGCTTTTTGCGAACACAAATATGTGATGCCAGGAGAAAAACGCTGTTTTACTGCTAATCTAACGTAAGTGTTATTGAAACGACCTGGAATTCGACAGTAGATAAGAAAATGACAGTAAATTGTTATTTGAACGAAAAACTTTCGGATATTTGTAGCACTATTGATCCGATCCCCTAGCCACTTGCCAGGCTTCATGGAAGTCTTAGTCTCGTTACGATGTGGGTCGAGGCTGGTTATAGGGTATGCCGTTTGGTGGCGAGTATAGGCATAGCCATAATTATAGTCTTCTTACTTCTTGGCAGAGATATTATCACGTCCTCAATTTCATTGAGATCCCCATATTCAAGCAGGTCCAGGAGAAAGAGAGCCCAACTTCGACCGTATTTTATTCAAGCTTTCCTTAGGTACGCATCACAGATATCTGGTTAACACACGAAATGTCTGCTAGTCACGGCTGGGAGTGCATAGAAACCCCCAAGTTTCCCTTCTAATTTTAATTTAAATCGTGGGTGGTCTAGTATCGTAACATTTATTGTGTTATTGTTTCAAACCTAAGCGGGTGACGATATGAGAGAATAGGAGGAAGAGGATATCTAAGCCCATATTTTCCTTATTGTTTAACAAACTATAACTTGAATGATTACCTCGATATTCACAACTATATCTCAATATATATAGAAATAAAGTTTATTCTCTCATTTATCTATATACGAACGAAAACTCGGCTAGCAGCTGTCAGCAGCACTATACCGCAAACTTCTGTAATGTCCTGTAAGCCCGCCAGGTATTCAATACCAACACCGCACCTCAACATTAATTCCCAACCCCTCTCCTTCAGACCCTCGTCTCTCAAGGCCAGCACACTACACCCGCAACGAGATTCTGATCATCTCACAACTACCCACCTTCTCCTCCTCCCTTCCACACAATCTCCCCTCAGCACTCATCTTCCCCCAGACGGTTGGGAGCTAATCACTCGAGAATCTCTCCAACCACGGGATTTCCAAGAGTAATGAAGCTATGCCCTTCTCCGTCAGCTCCCTTCCATCGATAGCAAAACACCATGTATTCCAACCCGCGCTTCCGTGCGTCTACCGTCTCCTAACTTTGCATCTCAAACCTCCATCCAACACTTCTGGGATCCCGTCTACGGCCCGCGTAAAACCTAGCTAGATATATGATATCGCTGAAATGACTTCCCTAATCCCCTTATGGGCTATCCTCACTGCAGGAACAGATCGCGGGGGGCACGAATCCACGATAGCACCATCTCCCATTGCTATACTGGTGGTAGAGTTCACTACCAACCTCTATGCTGAGGACGACGGAAGAAGCTGGAGGGATCGGGAATGTGACAAAGACTGAGATATTAAGAGATTTGCTAGACTCTATCGTGAGATGAAGATTTTGGTTGCTCCTGAACCAAAGCTTACAGTAAGAAGGATTCGCGTATTCTGATGCCTGAGCTGTATTTGCCTGAGTACTTATTTTTCTGATGCCAAGCCTGGAGATTTCGATTTGATAAGTACTCGGTATGAAGTACGTATAATCATTCCCGTAATCAAAAACTAATACTTGTACTTCTTCCACTTATCATACTAACAATCATAATCCTGTAAACTACGGAATATACATATCAAGTACAGATAACCTACCAGCTACCGTAACTCCGTAAAGAGGAGTGCCTGCGTATTCAAGCACTTCACTTCAAACCTCCTCTCAACATTATAAAACTATCAGGACATCTATCATCTCACAAAGAACATAAAGACAACTACATACTCCAATGAATCTAGTCAAACTATCTATAACTCATATAGAGCTAAATCAATTCGCCACCTATGTAGAAGTTACAGTATAATAAGCTCCTGGACTTACCCCCTTATCCCCTCAGCTGTACCAAGAATGGTAGGCGACCCGACCTAATAGAACATCAGCTTTATGAGAATATACTACTCGAGTATACTTGATAAAAGGTAAGGCAAACCATAAACGGTCTTTCTTTATAACTAGATGTTGTGACTGTTATAGGTGAAGGAAGTTAATTATAGTATTGCCGCTCTTTAGTTAGCTAAATTTGAAAGACTTTCCCTTGATACTTTATTGATTACTACGTGGTGTAAGTCTAGATACAAGGATACTATACGTTACAACTAAATAAAGTCACAAATGAAAAACATATAGTTCAGAAAACGAACCCCTCAAAGAATCACACATTCATTAATGCACATCTACTATCCATCTCATCTACAAATCTCTCTTCCCTCTCCCCAGTCTCCACTCATCCCCAGAAACCGCCCTATTCCACCTCCCTTATTATCATATCCTACAATAAATAGTATCCCCCAACCACACCTCACACCCACTATGTACAGAACAACATATTCGTATGTACTGTAACCTTTTCTTCCTTCCCCCCTTCCTTTCCTTCCATCCATTAATCAAAATATACAACCACCATGCACATTCCCATCCATCCATATACAACCCTACAAAATAAAGAAAGAGAAAAGAAGAAAGCCCCCTAACAATCAATTACAAAAAAGATAGTAAGTAGTACCCCCGCACCCAGATTTTGAAAAAGAAGACGAAGAAAAGAAAGCAAGGATAAACAAACGAACAAACAAAAACAACAAGGAAGAAGAAACATGGGGTATCCGACGCAAAGTTGTAGGGTTGCTTTTTTCCCACACACACAATATCGCTCCAACGCTCCGAAGTCCAATTAGAAAAATGAAAAATCAAGAAAAAGGTCGAGGCCATCTGTCTGGGATGTCCACCGAGGATGGGTGGAACGATCCACGAAAATATCCAGTAACGAGAAAAATGAAGAAGAAAATGGTCGAGATCTACCAGTGCGGCGTAGATGTATGTACCCAGAACGCAAATTGCATAGTCGCTCAAGTATTGTAATGTCTCGACGACTCAATCACTCCTCAGCAACACTGCTAACTAACCCACTCGATTTGCTGCTCTTCTTTCCCAATTTAAGCATGCTGAATCTCTTTCGCACACTTCCAACTTTGCTGGGTGTGCTGCTTGTAGTATCTTGCGGTCTTTGCGAGCTAGAGCTTCGACGAGGACCATCTTCCCCGTCCCAGCCACTACCGCCATTACTTCTCGACTTGGCAGCCTCAGTTGGAACTTGCGAGACATCACTAGAAGTAACCCATTCATTCTCCTCATCCAGCGGCGCGTGCCCATTCGAATATTTCTCTCGACCGCGCCCAGAGCCATTAACATTCTTTGATCCGCCAAAGAAGGACTTTCGATTTTCCTTGGAACGTGAATGATTGCTGGTCGTCTCATCCAACGAGGTAGCAGTTCCAGCGAATATGTTGGTGGAGATCCCGACTCCATTTGGTAATGGTGTTCCTGGAGGGTTTCCTGGAGGTTGAGACCTAAGGGGATTTGGCAGGTCACTTTTCGGGCTGGGTCCCTTCCGCAAGAAACTAAGACGATTTCGGCTTGGTTGTGGAGAATCAAGAATGCTTGTGTCCTGGGTCGCAATGGTACCGTTCGTCACACTCTGCGGAAATAGTCGTGCACTCACTCTTTTTTCGCTGGCAGGGGGGCTAGAGACTGCCCAGGTTGGCGAAGGCGTCTGTGCGACCTGGGGAAACGTGAATGAAGCTAGTTCTGGGGCGAAAGTAATCTCGAAATCTGTATACGACTTTAGAACACTGGCAACAAGACTGTAGTGGAGTTTATTTGAGGGAGAGGAATGGAGATATGTACTTTGAGCTAGTTCCTCTTTACTTTGGCGTGGGATTTGAGGCTTGGGGGGAGGTTGAGCGAACATGCCCAAGCAACGCTTGATCATAACCGCGTGATCGATGAGAGCCATCTTAAGTGCGTTCTCAAGAGGTTGAAGCTCAATTTCTTCGCCATCTTCGCCGTCGATGGTAGGGAGAAGCTCACGGTACTGTACGACACTTGTGTCCGAGCTGGGATTGACCGAGATGTTCAATGCATCCACAAGAAGTGGGGCCATATCTTCCTCACCATCCGCGAATCGCTTCTCAACAACTGTCATTTCCTGGGTCTTCCGGAGCACACGCTCAAGAGCTGTCTGCAATGCGTCTAGTGCAATTCGATCCACAGCGACAATTTCGCTTCGACGCAGAATTGTGGGAAATGGTTCAGCAGTAGTGTAGAGAATCTTCTCAGCGGAGTGCTCATGAACAGGGCCTGACGTGGTTCGCTTGGAGGTTACAGAGAAGATTTGGGGATGTGATGAGACTAGATAATCTCGAATGATCTGAGGTACTCGGGCGCGCTGGAAGACATGATGATCTAAATCACGATGTGGGGTGAGTGCAGATATATGTAAAAATTGTCCCTCAACATCGTCCGCGTCACCACTAGTAATAATCTGAGCAGTTGGATGTTGCTCTTGCATACGATCGGTAAAAGCAGAGGTACGTTCCATCGGTGATCCCTCAAAAACAAACTCCTTATCTCGCAAGCTCGGAGGGAAGCCCATGCCCTTGTAGGTGACTCGGAAGTACTTTGGTACGAGTTTGTCGGCTTTTGAGACGGTTTCGTAAATGGCAGCAATGGCTCTTTGTGTTCGCGCTAACTTGGGGAAGTCATATACATTCTCCTGATACTGCGTTTGAAGTTCTTGATATGTGTCGAGTGCACAGCTCCAAGCTTCGCCGTCTTCAAAATGTTTGATGATTTCAAAGTAAATCCGTTCCTTGCGCTCGAACTGAGATTGAGCGGGAAGTTCGGGGTCGGTCAACGCTGGAACCACTTTTGCTGGGTCCCATTCATAAAGGTCGGCGTGAAGGCGCAATGCAAGTCCAGCCTCGGTCGAATTCTTGGAATCTGATTGAAGCTTTGCAAGCTGGTGAACATATCGTATGAAGATTTCTTCTTTTTGCATATCTCGCAGGAACTCCATCAGGCGTAATCTGTGGATCATATGCGAAGCCTCGCCTGTAACATCGGCGCTATGAACGGCCACTAAAAGATCTAGGAATTCATCGACGGTCGAGACAAGCTCCTTGACAGCATTGTATAGCTCATCCTCGCCACAGTTTTCCAGTGGGGCAAATAGAGACATCAGCTCGTTGATACACAGTTTTTGCAAGATGCTTTCAGTTAAAGGTTTCGACTTGAATAGTTGATCAAGGCAGTCAATCATCTCTGTCTGAATCACAGTCAGGTCCTCACTGAGTGCCCACTCGCTGACGATCATGGTTTGCAAAACCTCTACAGCAACTCGTCTTAAGCCTTCGTGTACGCTGAGACAAAGTTCAACAATAGGTGCAACTAAACCAGGCACATACTGAACTTGGTAGCCTCCCATCTTGGTCAAGTTGAACTTCTCTCGCTCAACTACGTTCGTGTCCCAACCAATAGCCTCCCAGGTCTGCCTTAAAAGTGCAGCGCCTTGTTCTCGAACGTCGCCGGCAATGTTCCACACTGCCCTTCGTTTCTGCTCCGGGAAGGTCTCGAGCGCAAGCACATCACTGCCCACGAGTTTGAGTAGAGTCGTGAAGAACACCCTCCATAGTTCCGTGTTATAACTCTCGGCATCATCGGGCTCCGGAAGGAAAGAATCTAGTAGAATACCAGACAGATACTCCAGAGTTGTCATTGACGATTTGTGATGGAATATGCGAACGCTCAGCCACTCAGCAGGGAAAGCTTCGCAATGTAGGATGCTGAGATGTACATTTAATGTGTCTTCAAGAAGGTTGGCCATTTCCTCTTCAGCGAGTTCGAGCTGCATACCGGCAGATGAAGAGGAAAGCGATGACAACATAGCAGCCAATTCGATGAGAGCCTCGTCAAATACAGCCGGGCTCGCCAGAGGCTTGCCGGGAAAGGGATATGTTGTCGGAAAGAGGAAAGAGAGGCGAGTTCTTTCCTGCTTTGGTGTTGCTTGTATCGCAAGATAGGAGTCGAGAATTTTTGGGATATAGTCGGGAATTTCGGCACCAAGAGCATCAACCTGAGTCGAAAGAATCGAACAGCAAAGTCGCACTTGATCTCTCCATTGGTCCGTCACCTCCGCCGTCTTACCCCAATGCGGTGCTAACCATCGCGCTGTGTTTGTGCCAAGTGCCGCTCTCTGCTCTGGCTGCGAGAAGAGATCCAGCTTCGAGTAGTTGATAATTAGCACTAGCTTGTACAAGACGAGTTTTCCCTTTACTAATGCACAAGAATCCATGAAATCGATTGCAATATGAAGAATCTCTTCGGTTTCCAATAACCCGGTGAGCTCAGGCAACCAAGTATGGAAATGTTGGACAGCCAAGGTCTGACTTCCCACGAGAATAGGCGCCGTGTTTCGCATGAGACCATCCAAAGCTTTGAATATAGACCGAAGATGTCGGGTAAAGCCCGGAGATGTGCTCGTAATGCCAATCCCAGCTTCCTTGACCTTCTGCTGCCCTCTGGCGTGAGTGATGAATTTGAGAATATGTCGCACCACTTTGAATGTAGCTCGCAACTTACGCGAAGTTTCGGGGTCGGAAGGCTTGGCGAGAAGTCGAGTAAATGACCTTACCAAGCAAGGCGTTGCGAAAGGGTAGTTGAATTTGGTTTCTGCATAATGGTCGACCAGTGGACCAAGATTGAACCTCCTGTCATGAACAATTCCGAGGACTGTCACAAGAGCGCTAAATACCAAGTCTTCCCAATCATCGTTACCACTGTGTTCAACCAAGATACTAAATATGGCGTCGAAAACGTCGTTTAGTAATTTGACAATCTCAATCTCCGGTACAAAGACCACACGCTTTAGTAAGTCCTGGAGATCTCCTGATGCCTGGTCCTTCCACCTCAACAGGCCCAATAGTACCTTATCTTGAGAAAATCTTGTACTACAGAGATAAGTTTGCAGGCGAAGTGTAGCAATAGGTCCAGTGACAGCTTCATCTTTGCTAACATCATCTTTGCCCCGCGCATTCCAAGGCAACGTGAGATATCCGCCTTTGCCCATTGAGTTGGCTTGCGGCGTGGCGGTGGTGTCATCAAATTTGTAAAGCAACAACGAGTGATGCCCATCCCGCATAAATGCTTGCTGGTCCCACAAAGGCATATAACAAATTGCAAAGGGCTCATTTGGCGCATCGGCGAGATGCATTACTATGTGGCAAAGGTGAACATCATTTCCGGGTACCGCAAGACGAATCGTTTGGTTCCAGGCATTCCCGCGTTCTGTGGCCGTGGATTCCCATGAACTCACTCCTTTTGCGTTCGACGACTGATATATGCAATTCTCAATCAGTCCGCCAGTACTTCTATGTACCTCCAGTCTGATTTGAAGATTGTTGCCATTGAGATTAGATGTCAGTGCCGTCGCACTGCCAACCGAGCGTGACAACAAGGCATGCCGGGGCAAAAAGGCTTCATTGAGGGTGATGTAAATGTCAGAACGAGGCTTCGTTGGAGCACCAGAGAACCCCATTTTATTCGTTTTGGATACCCCTGAGAGAAGAGTTGGAGTTGCCTTGATTAATGCATCAGCATCCGGATTTTCAAATGCTCTTAGATGGATTTGCAGTCGCTCTGCTCTCCGTGACTTCTCATAATGGCCTGACTGGCTTTCCATCAGTTCTCGAATTACCTCTTCCCACCCTTCTCCGAGTTCTGGTTTGTCGTCCTTGCTTCCAATTGAGGGAGCCCACGCCGTTATTACTTGCTCAATCTCTTCTTCTTGCTTCATAATGGCGTTGATTCTCAAGGCTCCTATTCCGACGGTTCTCCCAATAGTCTGTAAGATTGAACCTGTCCGTTGATCCATTGTTATAGTCCCTTGGGAGCCGGCAGTACTGGGTGGGCCATTCCTAGTCTGTTCTCGACTTGGATCTCTTCCTTCAACAAGCGAATCAAGTTTTGGTGGTATAGGTGAACTTCGCGATCCAGACTTTGCTCTTTGGCCCCACATAAGACTTCTTCTCCCTGACTTCCCAGTCCCTGACAAAGGTGGCTTGCTTCTGTCTTCATTCCTGCTTGTGGCTGTTCCTTGGCGTGAGATTGACCCACCACGAGAAGTAGGTTTTCCTGGCAGTACGACTTGCTCTCCTGCTCGTACCTTGACCACCAAGAACAACTCAGCTTCTGTTGACTGAAGATCTCCGATATCCGCTGACGCCAGGTCCGCAAATAATGTTCGCATTTCTCCCGTCTTCGCTAAACTTGTCAATGCGCCACTCGGGGGGACGTCTACGATATAACTTTCCGAGAGGACGACTACTGGTTGTCCAGGTGACTTTGAGGCCAGAAAAAAGACAAGTGTTGTGGATTCTTTGGATGCGCCAACAAAAGCTTTCACATCGATCAGAAGATGGTGCAGGGTGAGTCTCTCATTGGCATGCGGCGCGGGTCGTTCGTCAAGGCAGCTCATCATGGATTGCAATGTTGTGATTTCAACCGCAGAGTCGTCTCCAGTCAACACTCTTCCTCGCTCGGCAGGATCTCGTACAACCACTTCTCCATTAAACAGTTTATTTCCCTTCACCAGGTCCCAAACGGTCTTTTCTCGTAGCAGTTTGAGTTCGTGTGCGGTTAGGACATTGTGTAGGAATTGTCGCCGGGCCAAATCCAAGGACTGCACCACATTCGACGTTTTTTCCAGCAGAGGATATTGCCTTGAGAGAAGCAGCTCATGCAAATTGGTTGAGTGCCATTCTCGCAAACAAGAAGCAATCTCGTCCACCAGAGGTTCGGAATAGGAGGTGGGTGTCTCGTCCCCAATCTTCAACATCGGTACCGGCGCAGAGGGTTTCGGCTCATTGGGATTTCGTTTTTGGAGCATGGAAGTGTCGGATAAAATGCCATTCGCAGGTGATTTTATAATGGTCTTTCCCGTCAAACTCAACCTCAGAGGTCCCTTATTGGCGCTGCCAGTCTTACTCCTGAGTTTGTGTACCGATGGCGGGCTCGTAGGTGGGCTGGATTTCACGCTTCCGAATAGACTATCATGGCCATTCAACCAATTTCCATTAGTGAGCGTGAGTTTTGTATCTCCGTTCTGCATTCCCTCGTTCTCTGCCTCTTCTTCATTCTCGCCCAAGACCTCTCGTACTTCGACGCAGCTCCTGGGAAATATGCCGGAAAAAACACGCGCCTCGAGGGTCTGTCCTTTCACACTGGTCAAGCCGGCCAGTAGACTTGGAGGTGCAATCAAGTATCCGCGGAACCATTCGCCATTGCGACCGCCCTGTTCGATTATGTAGAGCTCATCGCCAAGTTCGAGGGGCAGGTCTGCCGGCGCCTCGGCGCTGAAAGGGTAGGTTGCGACAGCGAATGCAATCCGTGGGAGCGGCGTCCAGGGCATCCTCTCCGCCCGTATTGCTCAATCAATCGTCTTTCGGATCTATGCTCGTGGTTGTTGGGAGGCGACTCGAGGCGGTGGAAGTGTTGGGGTATGGATGGGGGCGGAGACGATGCCACGCGATGCAGTGGTCATGAACGAAAAATAGGGGGGTAGCGTGTAGGCATGAGCAATGCAACACGACAGCACCGAAAATTCAATTGAAAAGGGGTTGTAGGTTGTATGGGAGAGGGAGCACTAGCGATATCGGGTAGGTGATGGGCTGCCAAAGATCGGATTTTGGAGTAGTGAAGGCTGGTAAAGTGGTGAGTCCCTGTGATAGACGGATGCGCGCACGGAGATTAATTTTTTGGGTGAGGGTAAGGGTGAGGGTGAGGGCGAGGGTGCGAAGCGCGTTCAATACTGTACTGTACGGACCGCCACTGGGACCCTTGGACGGTCAATTGGGCCAGTCCTAGTCGGGTTCTGGAAGCAGAATGTCCTTTGACGCGTTTGATCCTCCTCTCTGGATTTCCATACATTATATCCGAGGCAGCTTCGCAAACTCAGAGGGCTGAAACTTTTCAAGACCCTACCTAGGTACCGAGTATACTTGTACCTCGTTCCTATCCGTAAACCGATTTCTCCCTTTTATTGGGATGGTCTTCCGACGTTTCTGCCGGTCCGGGCCTGCAGGGGAGCGAGTGAAATGGGCCGTCTGAAACACCCCACGCCGCTGTGAAAATACGGAGTAACACAATTTACATATTACCTTCGGTTAATATCAGGGGGCGTATAGTAATATTGTGGAATCGGCACTCGGGGTACTGCAGTCGCCATTCTACCTGGTCAGAGTGTCTATGTAGCTACAGTATGTTTTCAGCCGAATGAGTGGTCAGAAATACCAGGTAGCTAGAAACAAGCTCAACATCCCCCTGTCTTGGTAGAGGAACAGGGCGGGGGCAGCAGGCAATGATGATCTCCTCCCTAGTTTCTTTCTCCGCAGACTTCCAAGGCGGATGAGGTCGTCGGTGTCGAATTGTGGGTAGACGTGGAAATCCTGGCCAGTGATAAAGTTAAGCTCTATCTTGGCAGCATAGCCACGCTTAATCATAACCTCACATATCCTGGCTGTGTTTCTGAATAGAGTGTATCGAGTACCTGACAGCACCAAAACACGTCTTGACGGCATGATAGACCTGCAAATCACTCCATGTAGATGATTTTGCGGTTGCAAGATAATCGTTTGATTTTCGACTAACCATCGTTGGAAGCTTAGAGAAGAGAATACAATGTCTTCAATGTCGAAGTTACACTCCAAGTGACTGCCAGAAGACTGGACAGGATTCTTTTTTTTTCTGCTCTTATGAATAACTATTATTAGAAGATTTGAACCTCGTATTATAAAACAACAAAATTATTATTTTCGATCCATAATAGAAGCTGAAAGTAACAAAAGCTAGTTGCCGTTACACTAATTTGACGCCTACTTGGACATTAATGGAGTGTCGTTTTGCCCGACCTCAACCTTGGTACTTGTACGTGATTTTCATGAGGTGTTTACTACGTGGTATCACAGAAGAAGCATTTATGTAATCTTGAAACTTAGCAGCGTGAGTTAAACAAATGCTGTACTTAAGACTCTTTTCTTCAAGCACATAGCTTTGCTCAATGAAAGCAAAACTTTGCTTTTGAAGTACACATCTTTGGGAACGTGAAATTACAAAAAACACATCGATAATAGGCGATTAATATTATACTATTCATGTAGCGCTAGACACAAGAGTTACTCCGGGTAGAATGATACGGCTGTAAGTAGCGAATAAGAATATTCCATTTTTGAATATTCTTTATCGTTCGATATCTAGAATTCTATTTTTTTCCCTATATATCTTATAGATATTAAAAAATAACTAACTACTTAAGTAGACTTAATTAGTACTTATAAAAAAAACGTAACTACTAAACTACGAAATAAAAGCACTATTTAAAATAATAGCTATTGGTATTACTAACGAAGTAAAGAGATACGGTATAATATCTTTTAGTTATATTTCGTATAGGGTCTAAAAGAGTGTAGTGTTATAGCTAAATATATAGAATTATATACCGTGTGACCGTGTGGAGTGAACCACTGCTTGCTGTGATGAATACGGAGTCAAACGGAAACTGCTATATAGAGCGAACAACTAAGTGAGGAAGGAAGAGAGTTTCAGAGGAACAGAAGCTTATATACAGGCTGCCAGCAGCACGCACGTGCCGTGCTGCTACACGTGATCTGCCCCCAATTCCTCCAACTCCGTAACATACCGTACTATCTTAGATAATATTATATAGCTAGCCTCCTTTCCTACCCTGAACCTAAATATACTAACAATAGCTCTCTTGTTTATATACCTAGATTTCCCGATTTATATAAGCCTTGATTCCCTCTAAGAAGTTTCCCTTTTAGATACCTATAACGCGTTAGATGATTTCTCGGACGTTCTTAAGGATTAGTATAACTTTAGTAACGTCTCGGAAAGCTACTCTCTTACTTATAAACGCGAGGAGTATAATAATAACGGTTAGGGTAGCTTTAAATTATTCTACTCAGTTCTCTTACTCGTAGTATAAGGCTTTATAATTAACTTTTATTATCTCCGTGTTACCGCTCTCTTTCTATATATAGTAGTAGTTTATTATAAATAAGGGAGTACTTACTAGGTAACTCGGTAGGATAAATATCCTATATACGAGTATACTCCTCTATTAATAATACTATATTTATCGTTCTGTATAGTACGATTATTAGCCATTTTAAACCAAGTTAATCTAAAATAATAAGCCTTAATTATACCTCCGAAACTGTCACGAATCACGTTCTCACGTGATACTTGTCATAATAAAGAGGCGCAACCCTCGACAGGCACATCCAGGTTTCTTATAGCAAATAGGGATGCTTAGACTAGCTAAGCGATCCAAGGATTTCTCGTGTATGTAGTCACGTGATCAATCGCATCGCCTGTATCGACAGTCGATGTTAGCGATAGGAGGTCGACTACATCGACAGGTGATGTAGGCGATGTAGAGAGAACGAAGGTTCTATATAAGACTGGCACTTCTGCCATTAGATAGGAGCTTCGTGCTCAACTTAGTTATCAATCTTATCATATTAGTTTGACATCTTTTGTGACAGACGTGCTTCAGGTAGAACTCAGAACAATTAACACTCTATTCTTAGGACAAAAGACGAGGAAAGAAGGAGAGCTCGAGAGAGCTGGGAACTAAATACAGGTCGTGCGCGCTAGCGCCTCGCTAAGCGAGCATGTGACATCCAGCCCTCGTGACCATAACCGTCACAGCTAGTTCTTGTCGTCTCTTAAAGACGGCTTAGAATACTAATACTTCTTTTTACTATACTAAATATAGCCTTCTCATTAGTCTATAATATATAAGAAGTCTAAGTATTCAAAGCTAGCTAGTAATATAAGAAATTAATAATAAGCCTCTTTTATAAATAATTTATTAGAAGACAAGGGTATAATATAGAATAGATAAGCTAGAATATAGAGAGAAGCTAGCTAAGAAGTAAGTAGGGCTCTAATACAGGGCTATCTATAGCTATAGAAGTGTCCTAAGTAGGACTAGCGCCTTCTATAGAATATACTAGTAGTAGATAGTAGAGCCGAGAGTACTCGTATCGTTAATCTTAGTATAAGAGTCTCCTAGGGATCCGAGGAACGAGGGGAAAATCTATATAAAGACAAGAGTATTATACTGGATTATTATATCGTAATATAATATTTGCTACTAAATAAGGTGTAATAAGTAAAGGTTCTAAGAGAATAAAGAAGGGTTAGCTAAAGTAAAGTAATTAGACTATTATAGTACTTTACTATAGTAACTTAGTTTATTTAAACTTCGAACTACTTAATTAGTATTTAAGTAGTTAAGTACTTAGCGCTAAGTACTTTAGTATAACTTAAGTAAAGTTAAAACAACCTTAAGTTAAGTTAACTAAAGAGAACTACTTAATTTATTAACTACTTAAATTTAATTTACTAATAACTATTCTTCTAATATCTTTAATAGTTTAGATAGTTCTAGAGTATACTAGTAGGCATATACCCTTAGAAGAATATAAAATACCTAGTTATTATTCAATATCTACTAACTTATATAAAAATTAATTAAACTAAACTTCTAGTATAAGTGAAATAATTATCTTAGAATAAACAAGTAAATAAAAGTAAGAGTTAAGAATTATTATGAACTCTCTATATTACTATCTTAATTATACGAAGCCTTTTGAAAAACATTTTTCCAAAAAAGGTATATATAGAGTACCAACCACATCTTTTAAATAATATAATTCGCTCCTTACTCTTAAATTCCAGTCTTTATTACTTAGAAGGGGGCCTGCCCCTCTGCTTCTATTTTCTATGGAATTACAGAGCCTACTCGACAGAAGTAACTAGTCCATTTTAGTAGTGCTCTACAAGGATTCCAGATGGAATGGAGTTTTGGAATTCCATGGAACGGGCTCCAGAAGCTGAACGCTGATTTTTCAATTCGGTAAAAATCCCTGCAAGACCTATACTTAGCTCGTCTAGGAAATAATCTTGTAACTTCGCAGACAACATCCACTCCGGTAATCCGATTAGTCTAAAATATAGATTGATCCTTGAGATCCGTGACGCAAGTTGTCTCCTGTTCTCAGGTCAAGGCAGTTTCTTATCATGTGTTGGTACCAAGTCCCTATACCGCGCCCCTGTTGTAGCACACTTAACTCGTCCCCGTCAACAAATATAGAAATGAATTCTATCACAAGGATACTCGAAATCATCAAATCACACTGAATAAAAATCCAGAACATCAAACCCCTATTCTCCATAGATAAGAAATTGAAAGGTGGTGGTCAAGTCATTGTTGACATGACGCACATGAGATCAAGTTGACAGATTTGGCAAAGATAATTTCACGGAAAGACTGTTGCCCTGCCAGACACAGGACACGCTAAGCCAAGCGGGTTTAGCCCTCTTCATAAACCTACACCCCCCACCACCCGCTTCAGTCTCCAACCCCTCCATCCCAACCCAACCCCGCCCTGGGGCTCTCTTTCCACCTCGCCTTCGATCAACACCACGTCTCGAACACGGCGCCACCCAACATGAGTTCCCCAGCAGGAGCACAAGATGCTGCAACGGTAGTTGCGCCTCCTGCTCTCCAGGGTTCAACACAAGCACTCACAGAGTTCACGCTCTTTCCAAAACTTTGCAAGGAGGTAAGTGAATTCCTAGATCATCCCACATAGGCACGGACAAGTTGGGCGCTACAAATTGCTTGCTGCACTACGAGTCTCTCAAAGAGCTAAGCTGAAAGTTCACGACTAGTTGCAACTCATGATATGGGACGAGTTTAAGAGGATTCCGCGGGTGATTGATGTCTCAACACGACACACCAAAATATATGCAGGAACACCGAACGGCCGACCTCCTAAGCTAGAGTATCATGTTCGCAGTTTGGTGCCCAGCCCTCTCTCAAGCACATGTCGAGATTCACGAGAGATGATGAAGAACGAGGAACGCTGCGCCTGGGCAGAGTTGGGCCACGATTTACCAGACCTTGGCAACTTCTACTTCCATCCAAGCTCCGCTTTCCTGTTCAATGCCGAACAACTCTGGCATTTCTGCTGTTACCCAATCCAGAGCAGCGCTTGGATAGAAAACGAAATATTCAAGGCTACGGCAGTCAAAGTCCTCGCAATCCGAAACCCGTTCGAAAAGCTTCTCAAAACTACGGCACGATTGTCGAGATGCCTGGCTTATGAGAATTTCTCGAGCTCCTTGGATGCCTTCCTTGGTCTGGAGCGACTTATTCTAATCAGGCCTTCTTGGTTGAAGAAAGCCGATCAAACGTACGATGCTAGGCTCAAAAGAAGCGCCAACAAAAAACTTCTTGACCTAAAGCACAAGGTGGAAACGGAACCATTGCCTTGGAAAGCTTCCGCAAAGGCTTACAAGAGAATGTTGGAGAGTCATCAAAACATAGATCTGACTATGTCATTGTGGTGGGAGAACCCCAAAGTGGAGATTATGAGCGAGGCAGAGTTTGCTTCTCTTTACTAGGTACGTTCTAGAACTGCTGTTCTGTTTCGAACTAAGGCTAACTTGATTCCTATCTAGGTTCTACGACGTCCAATTACCAACAATGCGGTTACGATAACAGGTACCTCCAGTTCTCAGGGTGTAATGGGATTGCCTCTAGCGCCAGAAATACATGAATTATAATTTTAAATTATTGCCTGATATCAGTTTGTATTTGTTAATTGTGCATGTGTAAATGAATGCTTGATCAAGTGCAAGAGAGAACCTCTATCAAGAAACTACAACGTTCAAGAGACAAAGGGGGTGTGTGGGCTGGTTATACTAACACTGCATCTTTGAGTCATGCCCGAACTGATGCTGACCGCCAAGCCCAGCTGTATTCAAATTTTCAAGCTTGATTTTCTTTCTGTCATCCAAGAAAGCATAGAATCATTTGGTCCTTGTTTGACAAGTAAGTCTAACTTAACCTTTCACGGGTTGGGATAGATGGTGAATTTCACAGTAGTCTGCTCTTCTTCATCTTCAATTTCAAGTGTGATAACGTGGTCATTTTCGTATAGTATTTTCACTGAAACCCTATTTTCTAAAGAGCGAAATTAAGCGAAGCGATAGAGCGAAGTTCCTGAGATTCACAACACCATTGAAATCAGTGGTAACCATAATTGGTGTAAGAAAAGCAGTGTCAATTCTGTCTAGATGTAAAGTTGGTCAGGAATGCGTCAGGATCAGGTTTGGAGGCTGAAGGTTAGGAAAATTATTCACCTCGCGTGGTAGCTCGCTAACCCTTTAAGGGGGAAGTTGCTGCCGGATTCACGTGATCACTTGTAAACGTTGGAAAGTCAAACCGACTGCTAGATACACAAATATATTTATTGAATTTGCATAGATATGGTAGAGGCTATGAGCAGCTTTGCTCTATTGTCAGACCAAATTGCCAAGACAACCCCCCTCTTCTCACAACTACTCCCCACACTCCATCCCATCCAACACCCCCACCACAAAACAGCTCAAGGTTACATCCCAACCCTGAGAAAGCCTGTTGACCATGAGCAAACTGATAGAGCCTGCGCTCATCGTGAGTGCAATTCTTCCAACCTTTCCCTCCCTTTCTTCGTCTATCGCCAAAGATGTTACACTATTTGAGAAGCTTGATACGGATGGGCAATTCCTCCTGTACCCTAAGCTGCCAAAGGATGTGCAGGCCATCATTTGGGAGAAGTATCTGGAGAAACACAATGAAATTGCCCCTGTTTTCCGCTATGGACTGTACTCGAGTACTCGGACTGCGGTAGATTCGTACTTCAAGCCACATCCGCTTGCGAGTGTGTGACGAACTTCAAGATGGACGTTAGAGAATTCACAGGAGTTCAAATGGACCAGACAAAGTTATGCGGTAGGCGCAGAATATCGACTTCCCGACCTACGCTACGTTTTCACCCACCCAAGACAGGTCTTCGTTTTCGAAACCTGCTCCTGGATGGGGATCTTCCTCGACCCAAGCAAATTCCCAACAGACTACGAAGTCCGCCTCAGCCAGAGAATACTTATTGCCACTGCAGTCAAGGTCGTCGTAATCGAAAGATTCTTACCTCAAGAGTTTAGAACACCTGCCCCGGGGGACTTTAATTCCTCCACTTTGGAGTCTCTTCGCCCAGCCTACAATGTCCTCCTCAACTTCCCTTGCCTCAATCGGCTAATTATCATCAAACCTTCATGGGTCGACAGTCCTGGACAGTCCCGTCGATCGATATCAATCGTCAGGCGAAGAATGGAAACCTTGAAGCGCATACTTGAGGACATCATAAAGGAAAGAAACGACATCGTCTCATGCACCAATTCCCTCAACCGAAGCAAGTCCATCACCCAGCGAGAGGCCACGAGTTTTACTGCACCTTCTTGGTGGAAGAACCCCAAAATAGAGTACATGACCTCGGACGAGTTTGATTCTGCTTTTAAGAGGCTTTAGGAAGTAAGTCATACCACCCATGTTGCCCCTGCTTAAGCTGGAGAGAGACCTAATTCATTTGTTTTCAGATGCGAGATATGCTACATTCGAAACCCAAAATTACCAGTCGTACAATCCTCGCAATTGAAAACCTCGTTATTGTGAATCTCTTCAATCTGCAACCTTGTCGTTACACCCACATCCTTTACCCCGGAGACGCGCTACGTTGGCCTGGATATTGCATAACGAAATTGACGGAGCGAATCGATTCTTGGTCTTTTGGTGGCACATTGTGTTTTCTCGTCTTCGCCCATGTCTCTTTCCCGCCCACGATGAACATCGACCAGCTGATAGTTTTGGAGACGGGATCGCTTGCATAGGAGAGGAATATGGCTATATGTTCTATCTTGCTCTTTTTTATTGAGATACCATGTTTGTTACGAGGCGTTATAGATTTCGTTTGGCATTTCTTGTGATGGCTTGCTAACTTATTCATACAATTCAAAGAAACCATAAAAGTTGCGATGAGGCTAATGGATGGCAATCAGCTGGTTGGAGCGGTGATGATTTTCATACTATTTCGAGACCGTTTCATATTGTACGATTAGCAATTAATCTAATTTTTTCGAAAAGTGACCATGAAGTGATTCATGCCAATCTAAAGTGTCAACTTGTCAAGTGTGGATACTTGAAGCTATCATGCATGAGGCAGTAAACCGGACTCCAATGCTAGCCAGCCCAAAGATACTATGATTGCACTTCTATTGTTGTAAGTTAAGCTTCATCTGCCTCTACTTCTCGCTTGAGCGAACTGGGTTGTCAATTAATTTTGACAATACAGTCTAAGATACGTAGATTCTGAAGTTTAAATCTATTTGTTTCTTTCGAGTCTGTCCAGATTCGGTGCTTGGAAACAGGTGTTACTAATTGGTGACAGGTGAGTGACACCATCATCAGCTAATTGATGTAACACAACTTGATGGGTATCTCCACTAAGTGCCCAGTCTTATAGCGGCATTATGCACTGTATTTGATTTTGAAGGATACTCACAAAGATCACTTCTTTTGGTAGTTTTTGCAGATTTTTGTCCCAAGAGTACATTGACAAGTCAAGGGTAGATGCGGCTGTGCCCCCGAATAAGCTGGGAGCATAACTTCAAAGTTGGTAACCAATGAGATCCTCAAGACCCGCAATTTGAACCTGGAACCACAAGATTGATATTCATTCCCTATCGTATGACTGGGATCAAACAAGCGGTCTAAAATGCTCGTTGTGTGCTGCAGAAGAAGAAGAAAAAGCTGAGATGTTGAGTGGGATTCATAACAGAACTCTGCGTTTTGCTTGCTGTTACAAAAGAATATAATCAAGATCCTTGATAAACTGAAATGTTTAGAAAGGCGGTAGAGCCACAATTATGTGGACTCTCTGCACGCAGAACCGAGAACTGAAGTTGCATACACGAAGATTCAGCTACTTACTTCTTGTTTTGCTTTGTCGTGCAGTCAATGTAACTTACATCTCGGATGGCTGAAAGAGGAAACCAGTGGAGAACTCGTAATTTGTGCTACCTACCTCGTATAGCTGGAAGCAGTAAGAATGTTGGACGGTATAAGAACGGCTATGACCAATGTATTTGGACCCAATGACAACTGCCAAGCATATAAAACTCGAAGTCTGCCATTTGAAGAAGCGAATCTTAGTCGTATTTCTCAACCCCGTCTTTATTTTGCACGAGTATATCCAGAAAATGCCCATGTCCCATTTGAAAGAATTTTGCATACTGATGTTTTTCTCAACATTCTTTGCTGTTGGTGTCTCTAAGCCAATAAGCTATTCAAACAGCATTCAGGAACAGGCCCTGCGAAAGAGAGCCAACCTCTATGTTGTTGAGACGACGTTTACTGATACTCAAACAATCTACTGGATCCCACTTGAATCCCAAGGAAATATTGCACAAGCACCCCCAGATCCCGCACCAAGAACTGCATCCAGACCTCTAGCCGAGCTGGAACAGCCTGGAGCGGATTTAGGACCCCCAGGAACTGTTCCGATTCCACAGGTTAACCTGGATCATCTCTCTAACACGATCATCAAATCCTCACCAGAATTTAAGAATTCAAAGAGACAGGATTCGGTCTCAGGCTCGCATTGGTATGTGTCATCCAACCAAAGTGTCAGCAACCTTGGCGGCTCGGGAATTTTCAGTCTATTCGAAGCATACACAGAGAGTTCTGCAGACTTCTCTCTGATACAAACCGCTGTCACGCGAGAGGACGTATCGATATCATGGCGAGGATTTCCAATACCTTCCACTCAAACCGTAGAGGCAGGATGGATCAATTACAAAGACCAGATCTCCCAACCCCATCTGTTTACCTATTATACCACCAATGGCTACATAGGGGAAGGAGACAACCAGGGCGGGTGGAACACAGAACATGTGGGCTGGGTCCAAGTCGACAGGAAAATCCATCCCGGTTCGGTTTTCACGCCATTGAGTGTGAATGGAGGTGTTCAGAATGATCTGAGGATCGAGTACGCGCTTTTTCATGAAAATTGGTGGCTTTCTGTGGAAGACCGTTGGATTGGATATTACCCAGGATCATTGTTTAGCTTTCCTAGCTCTGATGCTCCTGGGAATACTTTGGCTGGAGGCTCGAGCAAAATGCACTTTTACGGGGAAGTCTTGAACATGGAGGAAAGTCTCACAACCACTGAGTATGCGCTTTACCCATTTTATACGCTTTCAAAACATTTATCTTACTTCTTCAAGACTTTTTGAGTTCCCCAGCTTTGATCGAGCTTCTTCTTGAAAGCCAATAATATATACTGATTTCTTGTAGTATGGGAAGTGGACAGTGGGCTTCTACTGCATATGGCCACGCTGGCTATATTATCAACATGACTTACAGGAATACCAACAACGTCAAAATGCCTTTCAAAGGCGGCGATTTCACAGACTCGGATATCACGAGATACACGCATGAGGCTGATTTCATGAGCGACACTGATAAGGGAAGCTATATGTATATTGGAGGTCCAGGCGCCGGCGGGGCTGTCAATGGATAGACTTATTTCGTGGTTAAAATTGGGAGCCCCAGGGGTACAGAAAATTGTGATTTGCTAAGCGCAGGAACGTCCGTGTGAATAGATTCTAACTTTTTATCCGAAGCTTCCAAAATAGATTTAGTATTCTCAGAGACTAGAACCATCATATGAATCTATTGGGTTGAAAGAGTATTGGGTACTGAAGGTCATGGAGAATTGATTGCATTGTAAAAGGTAGCTATCTAAGGTGTTTATATAAAGAGTGTAAGGTTTAGGCAGACATGAAGCATTTAGGCAGCAGAACTATAAGTGGATCAAATAAGGAAGTGGAGCAAAAGAGAAAGTAGACCCAGCACAACAGAATCGTATTGTGTTTCTTTCGTAGCGCTAGGACAAATAGAAGACGTACGATATACCGCCTTGAGAAGAAAGTCACCAATGCTCAACACAAATCGGATTGATAATGACCTTTTCTGAAAACATTATCCATTTATCAATCATTTCCTCTTGGCTTCTAAGCAAAAGCCCTCATAACATCAACCTTAACACAAGAAGCAAGCTGCGGCGCCTTATCACCCGAACTCCAAACCACACTTGGATAGACTATACCAGTATTGATATCACAAACATACCACTGTTCAAACTTGCCATCACCTGAACGAGAATCACCCAACACTCCCAGGAAATTCTTCTCATTAAACACCACCTTGGTAGCACCATCCAAACCAGCAGTTCCAAAAATCGGGACTTTGTACGAGTCCGCGCTATAGAAGGCCATGGGAGCAGACCGATTGGCGAGTCCTGAGCTGGTTCTTTTGTTTGTTATTTCATGGGTGAGGTAGCCAAGAGTAGGACTTGAGGTGTAGTTGAGATTGAAGCTTTCAACTGGTGCGATGGGATAGCCAAATGGTGCAAGTGGACAAAGGCCAGGGACAGTTAAGATGTCAGTTGTAACTGATATCACCGAGGGTTATGTATGTCTTACATGGTCCTCCTTTTCCTTTTGCGCATGGAATAAGAGTAGTGTTGTTGTAGGTTTTGTCTTTGGAAAGAATGACGAGCGCGAACGGGCGACTTTGGTCAAGTGGCAGTGCTGTGGAAAATGTTGCTAATGCCAACAGGCAGAAAAATGCTGATATAATCATTGGGATATATTTTAAAGATAAAGTCTTGATTTCGAAGTAGTTCTCGTGGCTGTCTGATTCAGTTGTGAATCAGGTAACGATCACCTTGGAGCGATGAAAGATGAAAAGGTGCTAACAATGTTGAGTCAATCCAAGCCGTCACTTGTAAGAAATAAACTGCCGGATAATCCCAAAATGAAAATGACATGAATTGCGCCCTTTCTTTGGGTCATTCTCTTGTAATGTGTGGGATCTAACGGCTAGGAGGCCCTTATGCCCGATTTGCATCACGTGTATGGCCGGATATATTGAATTTATGCAAATACAACATTTCTGGGGTAAAACCCACGGCAGATACTTGATATTTTGCACATGATTGAATCTTTCCATGCTTGCCACGTTTCGGTGCCAGTTTGTTGATATTGCCATGCCTTTCACCTCTTACCAAGCTCTAAGCGAGCCCCCTTTCCATATCTTCAAGGGCGTTTCGTAGATACATCTCGGGGCTTTTCTGTCTTAGTAGCTCCTACACTATACTTGTACTTAGACTGCTAGAATCCAAAAATAAATACTATGTATTGACCATTCGGACGAAGATTGGGGGTTTCATTAACCTTGTTTCGTAAATCAAAATTCACGTGTTTTGCACATTGGAGCGGGAGACTTCTCAACTAGTATGATATCACTCAAAGATGGAGAATTTATTGGTTTTCCGAATTTGACCCTTGACATGCAGGAGACATACTGATAAGCCTCAACTGCAGAGTTCTTAGAATGATCTTAAAAAGCAACCTCTGCTTCGTAAACCGGCTCCCCTTCAAGATGGGGTGCTAAGAGAGAACTGTTGTAGAAATATTTTAATGACCAGGAGGTATATGTTCGGCCCACTATTTGCATGCACATTACTGTATAAATAGCACAATTTGCGCCCGTGCTTTAAAGATATCTTCAATGCTACGCTCTGAGTCATCTTTACGAGTCACCTTTCACGCTTGCTTGAAAAAACGACGACGCCCACATAGAGGACTAAAATCGACCTCACCGTCAGACAAACAGCCTCACAGCCTCACAGCGTGATAAACTCATAACCTCACAACCTGACAGGCTCTCCTACAAACAATAGAATCAGATGGCGACCTTTCATCCTTTCCCGCGCCTTATTCCAGAAATCCGTGCCCAGATCTGGGCACTCGCAATAGAGGACCGAGTCATCCAAATGGATAGATGGAAGGGGGGTATATGGTCGCCCTGCCCAGCGCCAGCTGTGACAATAGCATATTACGAGTCCCGCAAGCACTGCAGCTACCAGAAATGCTTGCTTTCCGGCAAAAGAGGCTACATGTGGACGAATTTCGATTACGAAATCATCCAGAATAGGAACGAGTGATCTATGGCTCAGTGCCACCGACTGTGTGGGACTTTCAATAGGGGAGATTAAGCATGTGAGAGTTGAGCTAGTGGACAGCAAGGGGAAGGAGGACGAGGACTTTTGGTATGGGCGCAACGGTTCGGACAGCTATAGTGAAGCTAGGGAAGCACTGCTGAGGTTTCCCAAGTTGGAAAGTGTTGATTTTCTGGTGCCGCAATTCTACGAATATGCAAGATTAATGGAGGATTGGTGGGGTAGGCGGCATTACCCTAGAGTCGTGGACATGAGTACGGGAGAGTGGGTTGATCAAGAGGCGGTCGGGCCGTATCGATATTGTATTGATTCAGCGTGCGCGCGTTCATGGGGATACGATACCGATGATGCGGATGAAGAGGAAAGTAATTGGCAACTTGGATGGGATGAGGACAGAATCGAGGATATGAAAGAGCTTCAGATGCCGAGGCCTCGAATCAATTTGGATTATCAATAGAGGCGACTCAAGCAAGCCGGTAAGATAAGGCTTTAAGTCGGAAGTTCCTCCCTTTACATATTTCTTGTACCATATCCGATTAGCTTTGAATTCCAACTCTTGAGAGTTCATGGGTAGAAATACTACCAAAGGATTAATTGATGCATTAAACCTGATGAGTCCTTTCGTTTGTGTAGTGTACCGCCATTAGAGCAAGAACTTATTGCATATCTGATCTGTGCCATATGATTTCGGTCATCTGTGGTAGCTGAGCAGGTTGTAAAGTTCTGAAAAGTTCCACTACGGCATCGGCTTGCCCCTCACATAACACAAACGCTTTGAAGATGTGTAGAGTTCAAACTTTGAGCGTTATTTTTTGCTTGATTGATGTGTGAAGAAATTGTCAAATCGCCTCGATAGTCATATCAATACCGCCCGCGCCAGGAAATACCGTTCTTTAGTCTTGCTTGCTACCCTCCGCTCAAGGAACATACTCCCTCTTGAGGGAAATCTTCTCCATGTTATATTCTGGGGCCTCGGATACGTATTCATGTAGGTGGCATTGATACAATCTATTTTCCCATTTTGTACTAACGAGGAATTTGTTATAGACTTAACTATCTTAGCAACAAGAGTATTTGGGCAATTCATTGAGTGCTTTCCCCTGAAATTTTAGAGCTGCGGCTCGGAGGCTAGGAAACTGCACTTTGTTAACACTGTGGAACAACACCTTATTGCCCTGGAGAGTTAGAGGTCTCTTACCAAGCTTAGAAGCGGAATAATAGAAAATCTCTTCCCATTATAAATCAGGACTATAATGGATATTGTTCTCCCTGATGCCCATCTTCGTGGGGATCTGTTTGATGGGTTACTGAAGGAGGGAGTGTGGTTTGTTTTACTCTGTTAGACAGAAACATCTCTCCACCGCCTTCTTTACGAACCAGGAAGCCCGCCGGCAAGATCGCTTGACGTCCGAATCTCTGTTCTTGATTTGTCGGTTGATTCCGAGACATTAAGAGGAATTTACCCTCGCGTAATTTCCAGAAAGACCACATGCTTCTATGACCCAAGATATCAAAACCAACATCCTTGATGTATGAAACCACAACGTCACTCAGAAGTGCTCAAGAATGAAGAGAACTCAAAGAGAAATGACCTTTATTAAGGATCATGTCTTCCCCAGTCCCTTTAGACACACTAAAAATGTTTCCTCCGAAAGCCCTTCAACGCAACCCTTCGTACAACCAACGAAATCATGGAGGGCCCGAAAAAAGACGAGTTCAGCGGTGCAATCGCGGAAAAGCAACCATCAAGCCTCCAATTCAAAAGCGGAGAATTCGTAAAGTTTTCGGAACTACCAGTCGAAATCCAGCATATAATCTGGAGCGCCTTCATCGCAAAGATTCCCTACCTTGATTCGTGGAAGCAAAGACCCGGCCATCCACACATAATAGAGAATTTCCACCGTACCATTCTGCGTGCCTCCAAAAAGACACACCCAGCCTTACGAACGTGCCGATCATCCAGATAGGTCTCTACGCACGAGAAGTGGGAGAAGCACACGTACATCGTAACAAGACATGGGGCACGCCAGAAGAGATACGTGTGGTTTGACCCAGAGACTACTCTACTCTTCGACGATATCGGACAACTCCAGACGGGTGATAATTTCTGGGAATGGTATCCTGGGATGAAGCCAGATCAGGGCTTTCGAGCATCTGAGATCCGATCTCTTGCTTTCAGAGGCCTGATGAGCTGGTCGGCTACCGTCGACTTCACGGCAGCGACTCAATTTCTGAAAACTAGTGCTTCAAGCGTGCTTGTTAATTTCTTCAACTTGCGACGCTTGGTGTTCTGCAAGCCTTATTGGATGATAAAGAAGAGATTTTCAGAGGATTTTCAAGACTATTTTCGATGGTTGCAAGAAGAGGCGAAGAGAATTCTGAAAGCCGAGATTGCTGAGAAAATCAGACGTATCAAGCAGGATTTTGGTGAATCACCCAATATTGCCGCATGGTGGGACGACCCCGTTATCGACTTCGTGCATAGAAGGGACTTTCGTGCAGAGTTTGGACCAGGTTACAGCCCTCTCGTATCCTTTCCAAGTGTAAACAAAGCATATTTCATCACTCCGATCGCCAAACGCCTTCGAATCCGGGTATTTTGTCAGTTCGACAAGCTTCTCATGGACCTACAAAGAATGGTATGGGAAGCATGTATCGGGACCTACCTAACAGTACGTATATCTACTCGCAAATACGACGAAAGGCTCTTTGATTACGAAGAAGAGTACGCGAGAAAAAAGGAATTTCGCCAGCTGTTATTTCTCAAACCACACCCTGCTTTGCATATATGCAAGCTGTCCAAGAAAGTGGCAATGGACAAAGAGTGGGAGAAAACCCGTTATATCAAGTATGACACAATAACCTCTCCACTGTACGAAAACCCACTCATTAGAAACTTCTGGTGGAACAAATCCATCACTCTACGCTTCGATTCGCCAGACCAATTGTCCAAATTCGACTTCGCATTCGCCGACAGCTACTCTAGCGTGAACAAAGCCGAACGTTTGTTCAAGGCAACCAAAGTCACTTCTATAGCCATCAAATGCGACGGTCTCGAGAAGGTTCTCAAAAGGAGCCCCGGGAACTTTAATCCTCGACCATTCAGTCTCTCCGCAATGATACAGTCAATCGGCAAATACTTCTCGCTTAATCGCCTGATCATCATCGCAGACTGCCAGAGTAAAGATTGTGTCATTTTCGAAAACGAGTTCGAGAAACGACTAAAGACTGATCCCAAAGACGCGCAAATAAAACTCTTAGCGTTTTACCAACTTACTGGATGGCTGCCAGAAATTGACCAGTGGTGGCAAAATCCAGTCGTCGAAATTATGACAGAAGAGGAGTTTGCTTTGAGAGTATGATGGGCAGCAGTCAGTAGTAAGATATTTGGCCTTTGCTCTGTACACGTCTCAATAAACTGATTTTATCCCGAAAGCCTCGCTTAATTAAGAGAGCTAGGCAAATGGGTTGAAATAATCACATATGTCTAGGTAGAATCTAATCTACAAGCATACATTGAGCCAAGAGAAAGAAATCTTTTCATTGAATCCATAACTGACGTTCTATAAACATAACCTTAAAGCTACCATACCATGTTTTCCCCAAAAAGTACCAAAGAAAGTCATTCTACATATCTGTTTACCACTTTAAAATCTCAAATCCCACCCAATCTTGGGGCCGATCGTCGGTAACTCATCTGCCACACTCTGCACATCCTTATCACCTCTCCCACTAACACAGATCACAATGTCTTGTCCTTTTTCCATGGTCTTAGCTAATTCAATAGCGCCAAAGATAGCATGTGATGTTTCCAACGCCGGGATGATACCCTCTAACTGACTGAGGAGTCTAAAACCGATGAATGCCTCGGAATCAGTGGCAGCGATGAATTTCGCACGCTCGCTATCTTTCCAGGACGACAGTTCGGGTCCGACACCAGGGTAATCAAGACCAGCAGAGACGGAGTGGGTGTCTGAGATTTGACCATGTTCATTCTGTAGGACGTAGGTTCGCACACCGTGAAGAACACCAACCGAACCACCAGTGAGAGTTGCACTATGACGATCGGTGTCTACCCCATCTCCACCAGCCTCAACTCCGAGAAGTTTGACGCTTGGATCATTGGAGAATGGGTAGAACATTCCCGAGGCGTTACTTCCACCACCAACACATGCAACTACTGCATCAGGAAGCTTACCACGCTTCTCCTGCATTTGAGCTTTGGTCTCGTTTCCAATGACCGATTGGAAGGTTCTGACAATTGTTGGGAAAGGATGAGGACCAATTGCTGAGCCGATAATATAATGCGTAGTATCTAGCTTAACAATCCAGGCGCGAAGTGCTTCATTTACAGCATCACGAAGAGTTCTAGAACCCGCTTCTACAGCAACGACGTCGGCACCTAAAAGCTTTATACGGAAAACATTGAGAGCCTGTCTTCTTACGTCTTCCTAGAACGGGATTAGTAGGTTGAAGGGGATGAATGACTTGTTTACTTACAGCCCCCATATAGATAGTACACTTCATTCCGAATTTTGCACATACTGTTGCAGTAGCAACACCGTGTTGTCCAGCTCCTGTTTCGGCGATAATTTCGGTTTTCCCTAATCTTCGAGCAAGTAAGATTTGGCCCAAAGCATTGTTGATCTTGTGACTTCCGGTGTGATTCAGGTCCTCTCTCTTCAGCCAAATGTTGGCTCCACCAGCGTGCTCAGTTAGTCTTTCAGCCAAATGAAGCTGTCCAGGTCGTCCTATCCAAGGGTAGTATGAGCGATACTCCTCCCAGAAAGCTGGATCATCCTTGATTTTATTAAATCCTTCTTCAAGTTCGGACAAACAATCCATCAAAGATTCAGGCACATACTGTCCACCGAACTGACCAAATCGTGCCGCCAATACAGCTGCATCGAAAGGACTATCAGCATTGAGAGCCTGGAGTTGGTCAACCAGATTGACTCCAGTTGCCTCTTTGATTACGCCGTTGACGTGAACGTGATCCCCGTTTTCTGTTTTTAATCCATTAGTTGGAGTATTCCTTCGACCACAGACAGATGCACAGTATTCCTCTACAGCCTTAGCCCCTTGACCAGCTGGCGCATCTGAGAGGGTTATGATAAGTTGGCTTCCAATGACAACACCATCAGCAATTGAGGCTACACTCAAAAAATGTTCCCTTGTGCTGACACCAAAACCCACAGCTGCGGGAACATTCCCTGACCATTCTTTCACACGCTCGAGAAGAGCCGGCAGCCCCTTGTTCATGGTACCAGTAACACCAGTAACACCCATTCGAGAAACGACATAGACGAAGGAATCGGCGAGTTTGCAGAGGAGTTTCATCCGATACTTGGAGGTGGCTGGCGAAATAAGGGGAACATAAGATAATCTGCAAGGTACATGTCAGTGTAACTCAATACCGGGTATTTAGACATGACTCACCCTCCTCTTGTGCAGAAATTTCGGAAGCTCACAGCTTCTTCTGGTGGGAGATCAACGACAATGAAGCCATTGACACCAGCCTCTTTACAATCTTTCAACAATCTCTCCTCACCATATCTCAGCATTGGGTTGTAGTAGCCCATAAACAATACTGGTGCGCGCAATCCCTTCTTTCGTGCCTCCCGTACCATTTGTAGGACTGATTCAACCGTAACGCCATTCTTCAATGCAATCTGCGAGTTTTCAATGAGCTGGTGTTCATAGTGTGAAGGTTTGTACGGACAGTATTTGACTTTTGTATCGTTGGTCCGTCGGCAATTGGATCTGTAAATGGGAGTCCGAGTTCAATGACATCTAAACAATATATTAAAATACAATTTGTCAAAATATAGGAGCATGATAGAAATACCTGCACCACCAGCTTCCATTCCCAAGAGAATATCCACCGTCTCTTGAGGTGTTGGGAACCCCGCGGTAACATAGGTTACCAGTGCTGGCTACCAAAATGATTAGCCTCCGAAGGCGAACCGAAGATCGAAAACTTGACATACTCTTCCCTCCTTCTTGCATTGTGCAAATGTTCCCTTGAGGTGATCCATGATTGCGCACTAATTGAAATATGTAGAGATATCTTCAATTCGGAAGAGACTAGTTGGCAAGACGTAGTAAATTTTGAATGAGTCAAAGAGGGTAGGTAGCATTGTCTTTATTGCCCCTCCAAAAATCGCGGGCGGTGATTATGTAATCTACTGCGATCTCGGGACGTCGTCACTGTCATCGGCACTATATCGGCATCGGCACATACTTGCACCGCCAGCGGCACAACTCAGTACTTTATTGACGAAACACCCCACCATGAATTTGACTTCAATACTCGTACACGACATTTGATTACCAGTAGAACGCAGAAAGTCAAACACCCAACTTCACAAACTACATGGTTCAGAAATTAGCCATGCCACGATATCTTCCACCAAATTTCCTTCTCCCCTCCCGCCGCTTCTTCTCCCAATCGCTCTATCCACCATCATTCGCCTCCGGGCCAGCACCACCTCGCCTCCCTCCGAAAGAGCAAGAAGAATTCGAGCGTTTGCAGAAAAGTTCCACGGGGGCCTTCAGCACTCCAAGAACTTTAGAAACTGAAAAGGTCGCCCCATCACCTTCGCGGCCACGTCCTCAGATCAATCAATCCCCAGACTCTACACCTACAGCCGAAGAAATCAAGATAAATGCCCGCGTGGAAGCAACAGGCAAAGGAGAAGAGTTACATCCGGATATCAGAAGAGGCGCTAAGCCTGAATTCGACGGAGAGATCAATCCCAAGACTGGAGAGGTCGGAGGGCCGAAGAATGAGCCTTTGAGGTGGGGAAGTACGGGAGAGAGGGGCGATTGGAGTTATAATGGACGGGTGACGGACTTTTGATTTGCTGCAGAAGCCAGAGAAGCTCACGGATGAGGATTGTACATATTTTTTAAGATATAGAGGTGTTACTTGCTGTACACTTAATCAACCAGCCTCGGAGTTTATATATTGCTAAACAGATGGGGGAATTGTAAGCCAAAATTGCGACTGAAAAGCACAAAAACGTGGAATTCGTGAAGCGCAATATTTTGACCTATTTGACCAAGCTCTCAAGTTTGTATCTTTCATGCCTATATCTTTCTCCAATGATAAACTCCGTTCATCCCTGCGTTTTCTCCGTTCTTTCATTATACACAGCGTCTTTTTTCTTGCTTCGTTCTCTCAGATCCACTCCACTCTGCCTACAATAATGAAGTTTAAAGTCAATTTCAAGCCTTGGCTAAGTCTGGCAATTCCCGTTTGGTACTTCTAGTAATGCTTGGATTGAAATGCTTGAGCGCATAAGATTTCTTCTGTTGCTAGTCATAAATATAGTCTCTTCCCACAATATATCAGAGCTGCCGACTTCTCTTCCAAGTCCACAGACAACCCCGACCTGATCATAGAAAGAGGGTCAGATGCGGAACCAGGAGGGTACTTTGTAGTAGATTAAGCAAATTCCACTCGTCCTTCGGGACTAGGTATCGCAGTGGTCGAGAATAGACACTCTACCTACAATCTATTATCTATCATGAGGGCTCGCGATATGTTTCTGGTAATCTCAGCACGTGGCCGCAGGTTTTAGACGATTGACAACCTCATTGGATATAGATTGCCATTTTCAATATTGAGCCAGACGGCACATAGAGGAATTCTTTCTGATTCGCAAACGCGCTTATTTCACACATGGTTCGAGCTCCCCTGAATAATCCATTCTTGGAGAGCGGGTTCAAGCAATCTGGCAGGCCAATTGCAAAGTCATGAACAACTCTCCTCGTGCTATCTTCAACTTACGCAATGCTAAATACCCTTTTCGCTTGCTACCATTGCTTTGACGTTCGTTGCCTGCCAATTCCTCGACAATGTCTTCTACATGAAAACCACTCGAGGGTTTCGGTAGACTAAGCCATGTCATAACAGTATACGAACCTTCATCAATCTTTCAAATCCGACTCCGTCTACCGCCTCGCCGCCATACCTCTCCATTCGAGGAAAAAACAGCCACCCTCACTCATAATCTTTTGCACCTGGCTCGACAGCGCAACACCAGGAAGAATCTCAAAATACACCCCAAGGGACCAATCTCTTCTCCCAAACGCGTCTATCCTGCTCATTCAAATCAAAACGCCGGATATGACCTACCGTACTGTCCCAGTTCAACAGAGGAGAATTCTCCCAGTGGCAGATTATGTCCTTACTCTTACCTCGAAATACCAAAACCACATCACTGAAACGAAGTTCAATCGATCAATACTCCTCCATATCTTTGCCTCGGGCGGTGCGAATACAGCTGCTCAATTGTCATTGACGCTCTTAGACTCTGATTTCTCCAAACCTCCCTATTTATGCGCCATCATAAACGATTCCCATCCCAGAGCCCAGGATTTCTGTCCTGGATATAAGATTCTTGCAATTCCATTCTCTTATTCCTCTCTACCCACGCGAATCATCGGGAAATCTATCGTTTTCGCGGATATGCTGTTTTGCATCTTTTGAAGACTGGCGCGGTGAGAGGAATGGATGATTCGAGAGGGGTGCTCTCGGAGACTTGGGAGGAGGCTAAGAAAACTAAATGCCTGTATCTTATTAATAAAGGGTACGAGGTTGTAGATTGGAAGGTGTGAAGACAGTTTCCGCTGAGGGCGCGGGCGAAGGGGTTTGAGGTAAAAAGCTTAGTTTTCGAGAGGGGTGGGCATTGTGCGCTGCCTACAGAGAATGATGATGTGTATTGGATGAAAGTTGAGGCATTAAGGGATGGAGGATCTGGTAGAAAGAATCAACCCTAAAGGAATATCATCGTGTGCTGGCGACAATGTGGGAAAGGAATGTGTTGATGATACCCAGGTAGCGATAAGAAGTAAACTATGAAACCGGTATGACGGAGAGAAAAATAAAAGAAGAACACGCACAGAAGTTAAAATAAAGGAAATTGGCTTAGTGGCTACTTAGTTAACCTTCGAATAACTGCGAATAATGAGGCTATTTGCTTGTAGCCTCCATAATTGATGGCGTGCCAGAACTTTAAGCTGTTAGGCTCAAATTTAATCTGGACACAGCCATACTCGGATTCTGCATTCGGCACTAGGAGTTACGTGCTATTCTACTGGTAAAAAGCTTATATATAAAATTTCAGTATACGGAATCATTATATAGCCTGTAAAATGCAGTAGTTGCTTGAGTCCTTTTGACCGATAGAAACTTGGAAAGCTTGGAACAGTAACAATACCCAATATTACTAATGAATACCTGCAATTTACTACGTGTATGCTAATCTAATTATGAATAATTAGTAGTAGACTAGACTAGCCCGTAGTCAGTGTACTGCCCTGGCTAATAACATGTAGCTAATTAACTTACTATTCTTGATACACATCTCAATTGAGCGTCCTTATTACATAAAAAGTCCTGTATCTTCTTTTTGTAATTTTGAATTCTACAGATTTATCCTTTGGGATGTTTCATTCTAAATCAACGGCCCCTTAAAATATTGGAATATGATAGAATCCTATTCCAAATCCCGGACGCTACTCGTACTCCATCATTACCCCACCACCGACTAAGTGTAGTTAGATAGTCCGCGGAGACTGAACGCATGACTTTCGTAAATTGCGGGATTCTGATCTTCTGCTGCCCCAAAGGAAAATTTAGATTTTAAGAGATCAAAACATGTCGCTGGATTTGTAACCGAGATAATAATATTATAGTATCCATATGCGTGGGAGCCAGAAACTATCAGTAGAGCAAAGAGTCAAAGTAAAATAAATGCTGAATTGGGAACTAATATACGATATACGAGTCCTTCAAAAGAGTGCTGAAGATACAGAATATCCCAGATAGCTAGCCCAGGCCTCTAAAGTGTCCATCACGTGAGCCACCTCAATTAGGTAGCCAAGCCAAGAATGTATGCTGACATCGCAACAAGAACCAGTTCGCTTCGTATAAAATTGTCTACAGCACGTTCATGTGAAGTTAATCTAATCGCACTACGCATATAAGGATATGGCTCACCTAGGGATGCTGGGCCATAAGTGGCACCTGGTTTTCTCGGCATACCGAGCGTTTGACTTTCGACAGGACTCATCCCACTCTCCACCAGAATTCATACAATTATAATCGGCCAAGTCCCCTACGACCCGGATCATTGGAAGATCACTTCTCGATGTGTTTTTACTCATCGCCCAACCACTGTCAACCCATCGGTCTCATAACATGACTGGCGAAGAAAGCAAGCGAAAGATCAATCTCCAAACTCGTCATGGTGGATCTCGGGAGTCTCGCAGTCGAAGAGATCGGCCTTGCGACAAATGCAGGACTAGGAAGTCGGCTTGCGTAATTACTGACAAACCCCCTTGTATGGTTATGGTGAAAAAGGGGAATAAAGTGTTGTGTTGACGTTATGACATAGGTCGTTTTTGTGAGCTTCGTGGTCTCCAATGCAGTTTCAACATTGGCCCACGTATAAGACACAGAAAGTTCACTGTGGAAGATGGGAATTCCATAGAAATTGATAGTGATGCAGCAACTCCAACTGAGGCATGCTATCCCGGAGATCATGAACCACCTCAAGAGTCTAAATACCCCATTTCTTCACGAATCCAGGTTCAACATCAACTTGCTTCGCCCACAGAAACTTTATCACCGGCCTCTGAAAGAAGTGAAACTCGACCCACAACGACAACTAGACAATATCTCTCATGGCAAGAACTCACTTCCGGTCCCGAAACCCCAGAAATCGTCACTTCACCCACGGCATTTCCATTAAGACCAACCCCCGAAAGAAATACAAGTCAACCTTCCCCACATGAAAGAGATCTTGCTCCATTCTCGCTGGAATGCGACAATAAGTCTACAGCTCACTTCGTTGGGCTATCAGGAGAACAAGATACGAACCTCTTCTCTTCCATACGATATAATATTTTGAACGAGACAAATTTCCTCGACTTCAATGTCCGTCAAGTCTACGCTGGGAATCCAAGTACTGGTGCACCACCAATACACTTCTCTATTCTCCAAAACACATTTCCGGTACGAGACCAACTCGTGAAACAAACTTCATCTAGTGCCGTAGAAGCTCACATCCAAGGACACGGAGACGCCCTGATACGACTCTATTTTCGCTTCATCCACCCTATTCTACCAATCCTATCAAAATCTTCATTTCTTGCCCAATACACTACAGACAAACTTAGTATACCTGCATCATTACGTGGAGCGATATATGGACTTGCATGCGCATTCTGGCGCCAAGACACAACCCTCAAAAACCACCCTCCCATCGCCCAAACCGCACTTTTCGAACACGCACATGCGGCGCTTAACCGAGAACTGGATTCCCCCAAGTTATCCACCTTGCAAGCTTGCCTTCTGATAATCCACGAGCAGCCAGATATAAGTGCCTCCACTGAGAGTCCGAGAATTTGGGTACTTGCCTGTCAAGCGACGGCTTGTGCTCAGAGTTTGGGCTTGCATCAGGATCCGACGAATTGGAAGTTGCCTCTTTGGGAGAAAAGGTTGAGGAAGAGGTTATGGTGGGCTACTGTTTTACATGATATTTGGATATCGATGTGTCATGGAAATGCTCCACATATTTCTATTGGCTCTTTTGATACTTCGGAGTTGGAAATGGCTGATATGGCTTCGGATGAAACCGTAGGTCCTGGTGGACATGTGCTTGAAGAGAGAGATCGAGGGTTTAGTCTTCAAAATGCAGCACGATTCTTGGCAAACATAAGGTTGACAATGGTACTGTGGGGTGTACTGAAAGATGCTTAGTAAGTGATCTTGAGCCTAGTCCTACTCTCATTCGTTCTAATTTGTTAGTACTCTTCAAGATTATCGCCAAATAGTGCAAAAGCTCGACTTGGGAAGTCATGAAGCTATGCTTTTGGATTATAAGAATCAGATGAATCGAGTTCTGTCCACAATACCAGAAGCTCTGGCTATAAAATTTTCAATAGCAGGGAGTAAAACTAATGGTATAAAAATCTGCTTCATTGGTCGTCACAAATATGCTCACAGTCCTAGGCTTCTTCCACCTTTCCATCTTCACACTCAAATTCTTCATACTACGTCAGCTTATGGCTCCCGCAACACCCGAGGCAAAATCTGACCCAGGTTCGGCCCTTTGTAAGTACCATGGAGAAGCACTTCAAGAAGGGGAAGCATTCTTACAATTTATCTCCCAGGCGCTTGCCGTAGATCTAGAAACCTTCTGGCCTCGTTGTAAGCTCCACAGTCATGTTTTAGTGGGTCCTCGCTAATGTGCTTCGACAGATAGTCGTAGTAACCTAATAGTTGGGGGAAATCATCTGATATATCTTTTCTTCTGTGCGTCGACAGAAACACAAGTCGCGAAGGCATATGAGATGTTACAGAAATACCAAGATGTTCTTAATAAAGCGACGAAGATTACAGATTGGAGTACAATTGGTCTCATCAGACCTTCTCTTCTGAGGACAGACTCGTTTTTTCGTGGTGCAGCGGAAGGTATCAGGCATTTCTCTAGACATTAGATCAAAGTTCATCTTCCATGAATTAACTGTATAGTAAGAGAATGCATCATTAACATACAATTAGTGATTTAAAAAAACATTTGCATTATGTTGCAACCGCCGAATACGGTGTTGCTTTGGTGGGATATTGTAGTTTTGCTCTCATAAGCCAGTAGTCTCGCTGTATGACTGGTTCATACTTCTTAGGATTACTTTCTGTCGCACACTCTGGCATACATTCAATTTTCGCATCGAGATCTGGACTGACGAAATACGGTATCGAGTATCGGGCTCTGGTCATTCGTTCCTCCCCTGTGTAGCGGTCTGAAGCTGGTGGAAGGGTGACCCGGTGAAGTGTTGATTTCAACCAGTCTGTTGCACTTGTCAGCGTCCTCGGCGTTGGAAGGAACGGGGTTTGAATTACCGTTACTCCATCTCATTAGCAAGTCCCCAATATTCATAACAATGGCATTCTTCAAAGGAGTGACATGAATAAATTCCCCGGGAACATGTTGATTCTCCACCTCCAACCCTCCACAATCATCTTGGAACAGCATAGTGATAGAACCCCAATCTGAGTGAGCTGGCATTCTTGCACTCGCTTCGCTTTCTAGTTGAGCAGCTGGGATAGGTGGATAATGTAAAAGTCGAAGTTGGTTATTATGACCACTATGGTATTTCAACAAAAACTCGGGGTCTTTCGAATGCATGCCTGTCCCGATAGCCTTCAGGATTTCTTGAGAGGTGGCAGAACATTTCCAATAGAAGTCCATGAAGAATTTTCGGAAGTTAGGGAACACTTTTTCGGGTAGCCAAACGTTGGGCTGTTCTTCATTTTCTTCACTTCCGATTTCGTAGCTTTCCTGGTGAAAGTATGCGTTAGCCTATATTTTCATTGTTCTATACAATTACTCACTTTACAATCCTTCACTGCCCTCAGAGCTTCTCCGACTTCAAGGTCTGAACTGATCACCTGTGATACCTTTTCCAACCCAGGCCACGAGTATCCACGATGAACCTCTGGGCCGTCTGGATGAGGTGCCAGCATCTTTTCTTCTGGCTTGAGCTCGAAGAGTTTTTTCGACATTGCAAATGCTTCTTCAAGTAGCTCTGGGGAAACACCATGGTTGATGATTGAAACGAACCCAACGTTATGACATGCATCAGCCAACTCTTTTGCCACCTCGAGACGCTCTTCTGGAGAATTGGGTGATATCCATTTCGAAAAATCGATAATGGGGATCGAAACCGGTGGTTCTGAGGTCGAAGAAATCATCTCGACGTCTGTCTTGCTCTCCAAACGCCTCGTAGCGTGATGATCCAAAGTCCGTGAAGTAGTCACACCGTCCTGAAATACTTTGTTACACAACCAAAGACGGTTGAGAAATTCCGAGACATGCACACAAATGGGAGCGAACAAGTAAGCTTACTTAACCTCCCACCTTCCACTCATCCAATTATTTGTATCGAGAAGCTCAAATGCTTATGCGGAGAAGTTACTAACACTTGCACGATCTATATGTTACGTGAACTAGGATCCACCCTTCCGATGTCCATCCGTTAACCACCCCACTTTCGTCCCTCGATCGGCCAAAGGCCCAACCTTTCCTCTAGTAGATAGTTGAGCATGGCGCATCCCAAATCTCGAATCTACCAGCGAATAAAACGAGATAGAAATTAGCGTTCTGAAATGTGGATACTCTGCCCTTGTTTTATCATTTGCAATACCCGGTGAGGTGTTGAAGGGCTTGTGTCTGGGGCATATTGGGGCGAGGGGATATTGAGTTTCTTATCTTGTTGTTTTTTGGTGGTAAGATTATATACGGGTACCTAGGTTGTCATACTCAAACTTTGTGGGTGAGGTTTCATAAGGAATGCGTTGCGCCTCCAACATTTAATTCCTTCTTTTACGCTCCTTTGAGTCTAGGCCATGATACCAAAGATGGTCTCCCAACGGACTAAGGAGCGAATTTCGTACTGGGCGAATAAACTGGAGTGCCCGGTTGATGAACACGCGAATTACGAGAATACAAGTACCTGTTCCTTTCCATAGAGTTTCTCAGTGCACCCAGTTTTTGCATATGACTGACGAAAGTGCAGTGGTGTAACCGAGATTTGATCCTTATTCCCGAAGATAGAAGGACGTGGACATGGCAAGGCTTCGCGGGATACTGGATCATCACAGGAGCGAATAATTCAGCATGGACAGCAGGTTCTACACTTCTCGCGTTGGGATTGAGTGTTGGGCAAGCGATGGGTGTAGTTGTGGGCTCTTCATGGATCATATCCCTGATTGGTGTTGTAGCTGGTTGGATGGGAAGTAATGATTACTTGGGGTTTACAGTTATGTCTCGAGCGTTAGTCTTTCAACTTCGTCAAATGACCGTATTCGAAGTCCTTTCTAATTGAACTTCAAGGTCTTGGGGTATGCTCGGTGGATTCTGGCCAGTTCTCAACAGAATCGTTACAGCTTGTATCCGGTAAGAAAGACATCCTACCAAGAGATAGAACAGAAAACGGGTGCTTACAGCCACCAGGATGGGAGTACAAACATACTGGGGCGGTCAAGCAGTAAAAATCATCCTAGGAGCGGTCATCGGACCAAAATTCGCTTACATGAAGAATACCCTTCCCCTTTCGGCAAATGTCGATACTTGTAGTTTAATCAGCTTCTTTATTTTTCTCGCTTTACTTGCGCCGTTACTTCTCATTCGACCAGAGAAACTTCAGTTACCACTAAAGGTAAGCTTTCCTCTCCCTATTCAGCTGCATGAGGAGAACTGATAAGTGAAGATTGCTTTTGTAATGATTACCTGTAACATATTTGGGATGTTGATTTGGTCCGTTCGTACAGCACACGGCGCAGGAGAATTACTCAGCGCTCCATCAACAGAATCGGGGAGTGTACTGAGTTGGAACATAGTCTACGGGATTCAAGCTATCCTAGGACTCTGAGGTGGCGGGACAGTTGGTCAATCTGGTGAGTTAAATCTACCAATTACCGAAGTCGTCTTCATCCTAACAGACCCCAGACTGGACCAGGTATGCCAAAACCCTAACAGCCTCCTGGTTTGGCCAAGGTGTAACCTGTCCCCTAACGATAATAATTACCGCCCTCTGCGGCGTAATAATAACCTCAGCAACGAACGAAATATACGGCGAATACTTCTGGAACCCGTTCGAGCTCCTCTTACACATCCAAAAAGTCTCCCTAACTCCAGCAGCACGAGCAGGAACATTCTTCGCCGGTCTAGCATTTCTTGCCTCCCAAATGGCACTTTGTATCGTCCTAAACGCGATATCAACAGGAATGGATATGGCAGCTCTCTGTCCGCGATGGATAAATATTAGACGAGGATTTTATATACTTACCGTCATAGCCGTGGCTATCTGCCCGTGGAATTTCGTGAATAGTGTTACGACTTTCATTAATGTTCTCTCAGGATGGAGCATTTTCTTGAGTGGTATGACAGGGATTTTGATCTTCGACTATTTCCTGGTTAGGAGGCGTGAGTTGCATGTTGGAGATTTATGTAAAAGTGGGAACGATAGTACTTATTGGTACACCATGGGGTTCAATTGGAGGGCGGTTGTGGCATGGGGTATGGGTGTATGGCCTCTTTTGCGTAAGTTTTGCCCCACCGGAAACATCCCTTTGAATCCAAACTGATTAGATTACAGCTGGCTTCATCCGAAGAATTCGAGTCACTGCGGATGGAAGTGGATGGGATCACATCTACGACCTATCTTACTTCTTCGGATTCTCTATGTCAGGTCTTATACATTGGTTCCTCCACGCCGTCTTCCCAATGAAGAAACAGAGGGGAAGCAGTCCATTCGAGATGGATTTGCATCGAGTAGTAGATTTTCAAGGCCATGTACCGATAAGATACAGAGAAAGCTTGGAAAGTGGGAGCAGAGAAGGGATGAAAAGCGATACTTGATGTTTATTCAGCCTTGGGTCAGAAATAAGATTACAGGAAAATGTTTGATAGATAAAAGTGCCAGAAGAGAAGGCGATCTTAATGGTATAAAATCTATCTCTTACAGAGGTTGTGGGTTGTTGAAATCATGTTTTGCCCGTACAATACACCCGATGCACTTCTCTTTCCTGACAGAAGAATGTTGAAGTAGAGTGAATAGCCGTAGGCGTACTTAAGGACTATTTGAGAGACCTGAACTCCTAGCTAGCTCCCTATTTAATATAACTACTTTCCGACCTATATCCACTTTATATCACTTATTATTACTAGTAGTTTTAATAGCCGGTCATTTTTTCGTCTACTATCGCTACCGACAATACTTAGCTTTAATTATTCTACTATTCTACAATAAATCACATTGTTAAAACGATTAGTTTACAACATTCAAACAACGGAATTCTCAACACTGGCGACAAATAGATGAAATGTGAGTGGTTCTAAAATCCAGGGCTAATCACTCCCGTTACCCTGGAAAGAGAAAACAACAGGGGGCAGCCAGAAACCTGTGCACAGTTTTGGGGGTTGCTTGCAATGGTCTGGCAACATTGCGGTGTTACAGTTTCAAGATTGTCAATTGTGTTCCGATCGAGATAGGCCGGGCCTAGTCCTCGACTGCGAGGCAGCGGTACCTTTGGATCTTGTGGGGTCGAATCAGGGGTGCTGATTTCCTGACAAGTCCCCGGAAGGTGCCAGTAAACGGAGTTGATAGGATCAAGCTCCGTTGCTCAACCACTGGAGCAGGCAGTGGTGTATTGCCGGAGTGGTTAGCATATTTGTGCCTATGAAGCGTTCTCGAAATTGGGGTTTGTGGGAATTACGTGGGGATGGGGAAACTGCGGAGGGGGATTCATTGGTGATATTTTTCAGGGGGTGGTTCCTTTTGGAAATGTGGGTAAGTATCCATCCCTTCCTTGTCCAGTGGTAAGATTCGGAGGACTCCCCTAGAAGAAGTTCGAGACTCAAGTTCAAGATCCTCCATGATAGACAATTTGGCATTGAGGGTACGGAGTAAATTTACCCAAATTGTACGTTTTAGTTTTAGAATGAGAGAATTGAATGATGATTGAGTACATAAAGTGATACTTATGTGCAGAAGAGAATTTACGAAAATCGATTAGCGACCGATTTACCCCAGATAGCAGGCTCAAACGTCGAGAAATGAGACGTCCGGGATTGGTAGTTCGAACTTGGGATGCCTTTTACATTGAAAATACGATGCAGACTATTCTGGAGACAGTCTCTCGACAAGTTTCGGGTACTCGTATAGGCCATCCATGACTATTTTATATGGTCTTGGAAGCTGCTGTTTATAGCAAATGGACGTCTTTCTTGTCCGCGATTGAACTCGCTTATCCACTATCCCAAAAAAACATATTTACTCAAAATAATAACCTAGAAGACAAAATACCGGTACCATAAAACACTTCCTCATTACTCTTTCATTTGTCAACAACTCGTCAACAAGAATCTCCAAGTCCCAACCTCTCAACAAACTGCACTGCACCAGCCCATGTAATCACAAACTCACCCTCTCAACCCAGCAAATCCTCCCTCTCCTCCTATACCTCCACCCAACACTCTCACACACCCCCCCAAATAGCCCATCAGCCACCGCCCACTCCCCAACAACAATCCTCTCCAGACACCCCGAAAATTCAGAAAGCAGAAGCAAGGTAAAAAGTTTCTTCTGCTCATACCTCGACATAGCCTCAATACAAAGGTACCTTACCCTCGACAAATAGCCGATTGTTGGAGGATGTGGCGCGAGACTAAAAGAATTTATACGCCGACGTAATTTACAGATCGCTATAGCTTTCGCCATCGGTTCGAGGACGGTGTTGTATTTCGACTCAATTTCTTCTTCTTGAGGTCCTTGTAGTGGGGAGGGAGGCCGGAATGTGGATTCGCCTGTGATGGTGTGGGGTGGGAGGAGGATGGTTTCGAGATCTTCGAGGTGGATGCCGGTGTCGAGGGTTAGTTCTTCTAGGAAGGGACAGTGGTGGACTAGGAGGGAGAGGTGGGATGGTGATAGTGGTATTCCGGTGAGGTTAAGCGAGAGGAGTGTTGGAGGGAGGAGGGAGATGATGGTTGAGATGTCTTCTGTGGTGTCCGGCTGTGGGGTCTCGGTATGAGAAGCTTTGTAGAGCAGATGCAAAGTCTCGAGTTGATCAAAGATTTCTGGATTCGACGCCATGAATTTGGAGATGGAAGGTATTGCGTGGGAATCTTTTAAGGTCGTCACAAGAGACCGTAATTTCGACCCACCACATAGACCAGAAAGAGCTTCTGCGAGATCAACATTCGAGGTCGTGAAATCCAAATCCTGGACCCTCGGCATGGTCTCCAGCAATAATCTGACAGCCGTCGTGATTTCGATATCAGTAGACCTCACGACCATTCTCCTAACTTGAGTTTCAACTCCCTTCCTACATCGCCCAAGATAACACATAAACTCGGGGGTAATGGTAGGACCCCATTCTAAGGTCGTCAGTGAAGGAAACTGTCCTCTGGGAAGTCTTTGCAATATATGGATATCGAGTTGCGGTTCGATCCCAGAATATGCTTCATGTGACCATTCTAGAGGTGTCTTCAAGTCCCTCAATCTCGGCATGAGGTCTAGCCATTTCTTGATCATATCCGAGGCTGCTCTCACTTCAGCAAGCCATGTTCGATACGCTTCTGAGTCTACATCCGCATAACTAGTCCTCGACCTGAGAATCAGGTTACTCAGGTCCAGACTCTTGACGTAGATCCCAAGTGCAGGATATCGCAAAATCTGGCGGTGAAACTTCAGAAGCGATGAGTATGACGATAATTCGACTCGTTGATATAAAATCGGTACTGTCGCTAAGTGAAGGCTTTGAGATATTGCTAGACAAGAGATGAGGTTATGTTGTGCTTCCAGGCTGGTTGTACCGTGTAATTGCTCGGTAGGGATAACATGTTGGGTTATTTGTGAAGTACCGTGTGTTAGGCAGGGCTCTAAGGGGGATATAATTTTGTGGAGGAGTTCAGCGGGAAGACTTTCTAGACGTGACAGTTTGAGGGACGTTGTTAAATCCATGCTGAGGTTAGGATGGAAGACCAAAACTGGCTTGAGTTGTTGTAATTGGACATGAACCGTCAATGAAACATTGGCTAGCCCAAAGTTTACCGAGGATTGTTATAGTGCGATTGGTTTTATAAGTCGGTTATTGTGCAAGGAATCCACATAGAAACATACAAGTTGTCCTCCTCGCTCACAACAAGTAAAGCAAAGTAAACAAAGACTCACAAAACTCACCCTGAGAAAAGATTTACCCTTGACCAAGCACCAAAGCCCTATATATACCACCCCAAGCAAACTCATAGCCCAAACACGCCATGCCATCCCATCAAACAAACAAAAGCTTCCAAAAGCCTATTCCCAACGCATCACAATCCATGAATCCATTACCCCCATCCAACACCGTGCAGCCTCTCATGCACATCCCTCCTCAGGTCACGACATCCCCAACATGGCTACGCCAAGCCCCACACAACCAATCACTTCGTTTCACAAAGGTATTCGTGCTCGTGTCTTGACTAACAAATATGTCTTTACTACCAACCTGCAGAAATTGCGTAGTGTCCTGTGACAAAGCGGACGAGTAGGAAAGGAAATGCGGCAGGGAATTGGATAATAGTCATCGCGTTGAAGGAAGGGAGAAATGTGAAGGCGTGAGCTAGTTACGTAACTAGGCATGATGAGGGTCTGGAGAGGACCCCGACCTGGAGGATTTTGCGGGGGAGAATTTGGAGGGGAAATGCCAAGGCCGAGCGGCGTTTGTTGTGAAGGCGAGAAAACATTTTTTTCCTATTCAATTAAATGGCTAATAATCATAATACTTGGCTTAAAAAATGTGTCCCTTTGTAAGTAAAAGTTTTTCTGCCATCTCTTAGGTGATGACGTTTTGTGACTGTTTGTACCACCAAAACCTATTCGTCCTTGAAACATGCTGGTCTGAAAGCCCCACCTGAAAATTGTACAGTACTTTTTACACACACCACTTGACGGCTTCAAGTTGTTCCAACCTGCAATTATAGATCGTATTGTGACATGTTAGATGTCATAACCTCGGGTTGCTGAATAAACTATTTCGCTTGCTAAGTAACCTTGAAAAGATACTTAAAAACATACAGCATTTTGGTGGATCATGTCAAGAACGTCTCGGGTACCTCAGGACCTGCTAAAGTTAGACATATTCGAAAGTCTCAAGAAACTCGTCTTGGAAGGGAGTCAAGAAAGGAAGATTTAAACATACCCCATACATGCAAGTTTCCAGGTCCAGCTTTAGTTCGATTGATAGGAGTCTCGTCGTTGACGAGATCCCCATCGATATAATGCTCCAACATGAATTTACTTGGGTCATACCAATAATCGAATATTTGACTCCCCATAACATGTCTTCCGACTCCCCAGCAGTTCTCGTATTTCTTCTCATTCAACCAGGTGTGGCCCAACATTTGTATATCGAAGTCGAAAACCTCGAAACTCGAGTGGTGGACGTGGAACTTGGGACCTTCGAAGAAAAAGAATGAGTGGTGGTCAACCCACTCATCCCCACGATCGAGATGCAAAAAGGTTGTAATATCTTCACCAGACACAGGATCGTAAACCAATTCCGTGGGTTTCCAGTTGAAGTTGGAGGTATAGAATTCGTAGGCCTTCTTGTAATCCGTCACGCAGAGACCGAAGTGCCCAATTTTGTGTATGGGCGCAGGACCCTTCTGGAAACGCTGGGTCTTGTTGACTGGTCGGTGTTTCGACGTTGGGAAATTGTAGGCCAACTCTGGGAAAGTCTGCGTTACTTCGACTTCAGTCTGCCCATAGACGAGATGGAAAGGACAATTATCGACAGGTTCGTAGAAAGTCACACGCTTTCCACCACCCGGCGCATCCGAATCGTGTATTGGAGTCGCTCCTGGGAGGGATGTTGCCAATTCCAAATCTTCCATTGAATCCACCACCCAGCCAGCCCCGCCAAATGCATTCTCCTCCCCTTTTGTTGCGCAGTAGACGAAAGGCTCGGTGCCATATCCTCTGTAGTAAATCTTGTCGTCCGTCCGCGATGTCACACTGAAGCCGAAATCGAGGAGGAATTGATGAGCTACATCGAGGTCGGTGTGTGTGTAATACACATGAGCAATGCGCTTCAAACTGATTTTCTTCTGCGTGGCCGATGGAGACATCTCGTCGGTTCTTCGGAAGCGTGCGGGGGAAGAAAGAGGTGATGTTGTCTGGCTCTTTAAATAAGTGACCGTCTGAGGTTGCCTTTTCCGTGAAACCCGACGCGTGAAACTCGAATTACGGGAGGGATTGAGATATATTGAAAGGAGCTAAGGAGGTGGACATATAAAGCCAACATCCTGTCCTTGCGTCCATTTGGAGGGGAAAACTCCATGTGGGGGATTTGTCGGGGGGTTTTGGTGGTGTTGATGTGGGACGCGATCGTGAAGGAACGAAGGATGCGGGGCTGTGGCTGTGGCCAACAGCAAGCCTGCCGTGGAGTGGCTCTGGGGTTCCCGCTACCGTAGAGTTCTCCACTTCTGACAGGTACGCGTACGTATTACTCACTAGTAAAGTTAAGTCTCACTTCTAGGAAGAGGTTCACTTTGATCCTCTTACTGAAAGGACGTTCTAAAACTACCTCGCTAGGGCAACATCATGCTGTAACATAAGTCGCTTAAGGATTTATGTTTCAGGGGCCCCCGGAGCGAAATGCCGAGAAGCGAAGCACCCAAAGTCCGAATCCATGGTGGGGATCAAAGCGGATAAAACACATTTGCCGGTCCAAGAAGTGTTACATCATTGCTCAGGATGATAAATATGTCCGTCAGCATAGCCCTCCATGGGTCAGCGGTGGGGGGATGTGTCTGGAAGCACAAGCTTTTACCTTGAATAAGACTTCAATTGCAAGATGGTTCTCTCCTTATCTTCTCTGTCCAAGCCCTTAGATGGGAGGTTACTTCTTCTTTCATATAAAAGAAGTCGGAAGGGGCTGCTTGAAAAACAGACCTTGACCTCGAACCCTTCAACAAAATGACTATTGATTCAACCTCTCTGCCAAATGGCTCTGGAGCTATAAATGGGGGGAATGCCACATCCTCCAAACCCGAGATGATTGAGACGGACCTTCTCATTATTGGAGCTGGACCTGCTGGAGCGGCTTTGGCCTGCTTTTTGGCACAGCATGGTAAATTTGTTACTGACATGTTTTTGTATAATTCTTGTGCTAATCCGATATACAGGCCTCAAGGGTATTATGTTGGCGTCCACGCCAAGTACTGCTGATACACCTCGAGCACACATCACAAATATGGCCGCCTTAGAATGCTTACGAGACATTGGGTTAGAAGAAGAGTGTAAAAAAGTGGCCGTAAAAGGAGATTCCATGCAACACACAAGATGGTGTAGAAGCATGACCGGGGAAGAGTTCACACGCATCTATTCCTGGGGAAATGACCCGGCAAGAGCGGGTGATTATGATGCTGCGAGTCCTTGTTCACATGTAGGATTTTCAGAACTATCTTCATTTTTAGAGACTAATACATGTAGGTCGATATTCCTCAAACAGTATTAGAGCCCATTCTCGTACAGCATGCAACCCACAATGGCTTCCACTGCCGATTCGATTCTACGTTTTTATCCTTCGAACGCCAATCCGATGGTTCCCTCATCAGTAATATTCAAGATAATTTGACTAAACTCACATACAAGATTAAGTCAAAATACTTGTTTGGCTGTGATGGAGCTCGTAGTCAAGTTCTTCGTCAATTAAAAATCCCACTAGTAAAAAAACCAGGCCAAGGATTGGCGACGAATTGTCTTGTTAAGGTCGATTTATCACATGCGATCAAATCACGCATGGGGAATCTTCACCAAATAATGCGACCAGATGAGGAGGTTCGTCCTTTTGCCTGGACTACTGTTGTTCGAATGGTCAAACCGTGGAACGAGTACGTGCATTTTCTCTTCACGTAGATTGATGCACGCTTTTGCTGCGTTTATTTTTCTTCTAGCATACCGGAAATTGTGCCTATTCTATGCTAATGATTATTAGGTGGATGTTTATTATGCTTCCAACACCCGGAGCTGGTGTTGACTTCTCGCCGTCTCAAGAAGAATATATGGAAGCTTGTAAAGCCATTGTTGGCGATGACTCAATACCAATCGAGATTCTCGGGATCTCAAAATGGTTCATCAATGAAATTGTAGCAGAATATTACTCTGATGGAAACATGTAAGACTCCCTCTTTACCCCAGGAACTACGAATATCTAACCGTTTTGTGAAGCTTTTGTCTGGGTGATGCTGTACATCGACATCCTCCATTCAATGGGCTAGGATCGAATACGTGTATCCAAGATGCATACAACCTCGCGTGGAAAATCTCTTATGTTATGAAGGGAAAAGCAGACAGCTCCATTCTCAAAACATTTTCCCACGAAAGACAGCCAGTGGGAGAATCCATCGTCACTCGTGCGAACCAAGGACTCCGCGACCATATTCCCGTATGGGAAGCTCTGGGCATGATGGATCCATCTCTCGAAGTCCGCAAGAAGGAATTTGCTGAATTATCAGCCGCGACACCAGAAGGTGTTGCGAGAAGACAGAAGCTTCAAAACGCTGTTAACAACACCTCACATGAGTTTCACGGTGTGGGTGTGGAGATGAACCAACGCTATGTATCCAAAGCGGTTTACCTCGAAGACGAGACTACACGACCAGCTCTACCAGAAGATCCAGTCCTCCATCATGAAATCACTACATTCCCTGGAAGTCGGCTGCCACATGCCTGGCTCAATACCAAGAGTCCCGGAAAGCAATTCTCAACCATCGACCTTGCTGGGCACGGCGTATTTTCCCTCTTCACCGGCATAGGAGGCGAAGAATGGAAAGTCGCGGCAAAGAAAGTTTCCAAGACGCTGGGAATCGAGATCCGGCCGTATTCCATTGGCTTTGGACAGGATTATCAAGATGTTTATTTTGACTGGGCGAAACGAAGGGATATTGCGGAGGATGGGTGTGTTTTGGTGAGACCGGATCGGTTTGTGGCGTGGAGATCTCATGGAATTATTGAGTCGCCGGAAGAAAGGTTGATGAAGGTTATGAGGTCGGTACTTGGGTTATAATCTAGAATCATGTTGAGAAACTTTGCGGTGGTTTGGATTGTTTTTTCCGACTTTTCGACTGTTTTCTACTATTATGAGCCTTTACTAAATGAATTTATGATACCATAACTACTTATCAAATCCTTTGTTCCGCTTATCATGTTCTTATACAGGCTAAATAGTTCGACCACCATGACATATTTACTCACTCCACTAGTGTGCAAACCTACGGCTCAGAAGTCACATTACCATCCCATTTATCAATCCCCAATTTACCCCTTATCCTCGGCAAAATAGACGGATAACTCACGAACAGAGCGAAATCTGTCAACATGGCAACAGTTCAGTTCCAAAACCCCATTGCGAGTCCCCTCTCTACAATGAGATTTATCTATCATGAAAGTCCAGCATGGGAACTTCACGATATGATAAACCCAGACCACTAAGGTCATCAAGACTCTTTCGACTCTTCCTCATCATCCTTCTCTGCATCATCTTACCATATCGACTCTTCTCCCGCATCCAACAATGGCGCCATCCATCCGCCGGTCTCAACCTAGCATACGCAACCCTCCTGTTCGAAGACTCCGCACACACCACAGGCAAAGATGCAGATGCATACTTCGTCAGCGTGCGAATGCTAAACTACCAACTCCTGCACGACCCCAAAACTAGAACGAAGAAAAACATCCCGTTTATAGTCTTGACAACCCCCGGAGTGGACATGTGGAAAGTGGCCCAACTCTCCATGGACGGAGCAACAATCATTCCAGACGAGAAACTAGATACGCACTGGATCCAACCCGGTCAATCGCGCTGGCAAGACGTGATGACCAAACTACGAGTCTTCGAACTCGTAGAATACGACCGAATCCTCTTCCTAGACGCCGACACCTACCTGTTCAAGAACCTGGACTCCATATTCGACGAGCGCGGAGCCCAACCCCTTAAAACCCGTCACAAGAAACCCGAGATCAAAAACGACGAAGCGAGACTCCCAGATGAATACCTCTTCGCAACCCTCTCCGAAGTAACCCAATCCCTCCACACCTACCCACCCCTCCCCATGTCCTACTTCAACGCAGGCTTCTTCCTCCTCTCCCCCTCTATCGAGCTCTACGAGTACTACCTCTCCCTCTTCCCGCTCAACCGTTTCGAAACCATCTACCCAGAACAGAACCTACTCAACTACGCGCACCGGCAGAACGGGAACATGCCCTGGAGCCGGTTACATTACTCCTGGAACATCCAATTGCCTTCGATGCAAGATGTGAAGGAGGGGGTGGCGAGCGTGCATGCGAAGCTTTGGACCGGGGGGAATGAGTTGCAGCCTGTGCCGCAGGAGTTGAGGGAGCGGTGGGAGGCGAAGAAGTTGGAGATGTGGGAGTATTATAGTAATGGGTTGCAGCAGCAGCGGAGGTATGAGGAGGATTGGAAGAAGGGGCTTTATGGGGGGCCGTTGCATCGGCATATGAGGTATGGGTCTGGACATCGTTGATTACTAGTCGTGTAGAGTAGAGTAGTTTAGTTAAAACGCTGGTAGCAATTTTCGTCACTCACTTAGTCTTACTCTTATCTTGTTCTTTGGGAGATTGTTGATGCTTGACTCTTATTCTAGTTCGGGAATCGGGATTCAAGAGGTCTTATATTCAGCAAAAAGTCTCGCTCAACTCACTTCAACATTCCTACCTAGTGTAATCCAATTCAATAACTTCACATCTCCCCCCTGTTATATCAAAATGCCGATAGTAATAAAAATGTAAGACACGCAGAAACAGCTTATTAAACAAGCAGCCTCCGTCCATCGAAGACCCCGTCACACTAACATCTAATAGAACAGTCTATCCATGATATCCAACCATAACTTTTCATGTGCATTGATTATTCCTCTATTTCATCCAAATCCTATTTACTCGACTAACAAGCGTAAAATCATGTGGCAAGTTGTGCCCAGTATTTCTTCGTTAGTGTCGAGAGTTCGATGTAAACCAGGAAGATTATGGTGGTAGCGACTTACTTACAGTATTACAACCATAAAGAAGTGGGCGGTGTAGTGTCAAATAGAGACACTGGGAACTAGAGAAAGAAGAAGGGGGGTTATTAGAGTCTTGTTTGTGCGAAGTGTGTGTTTACCGCTCCTATGTGACAAGAGATCTAATCTAGAAGCTGTTAAACATACCAACGTAGATAAGTATAAATCTTATATTAACTCTGCCACCTAAACCTTTCTATACCTACCAAGCACATACCCTCGCTACCTATCCCTTTTCCCTAGGAACCCCTAAAATTCCTTATCTAATACTCCTATCCCAAATCCGAACTACCCACTCACCAAAAGTACAGTTAACTCGCCATCTCATCTTCTCATACCTAGCATATACGTAACAAGAGAGTCGCAAACAAAACACTTTCAACAACTGCAAACCATCTCCAATCTTATCCCCCCAAAAATTCACTTACAGCAAGCGAGGATATAAGTCCAGCATTTCTAATATTCCACTCTATGAGTAGCCTCTAGTTGTATTCAGAGTAAAACTGCGTCTCTTGCTGTCTCAGAATTAGTTGTTGTAAAGTTCTCATACTATCCGGTCTCCGTGTGACGTAGAGTAGACCCATCCTTGTTGTTAGAAGTGAAGAGCGAGGAAGTGAATAGAATGGTAGTTGGATAGTGTAGAGCTTTAATAGAGCTTAAATTAAATTACGATTCTCACTTCTTGGTTTCCAATAGCAGTGATACAATAACTTAGAAGTCGCCTAATACTTGACTTTACGCAGCTTTTCTATAGAACGTCATCCCAGTGCGAAGGGTTTAGTATCAAACCACTACCAAACCTCCAACGATTTCATATCAGTGAGCAAGCGATCCTAAATAACCCCCAAATTCCCAATAACCCAACATTAGCTATCACAACCATTCACTAATCATACTATGAAACCAGGGTTTGAGGGAAAAAGAAGACCATCTATTCATTTCTTTCAATTCAACGAAACCCCTGCCATGCACTTTACGCCAATGTTCCTCGTATCCATGGAATCAATATCATATCATATCATATCCATAACCTCAATTCATCAACTCCATCATTCAGATCCACTTATTTCCCTCAACGTTCAAATTTCATATCCCCTCCCCTCCTCCTTCCTACATTATCCCCCTCTACTTCGAATACACATTCCCCGGCTGTACCACACCCCCCTGCTGCCCATAATACCCCTCATTCGCCCCTCCCTGTCCATACCCCGGCGGCGCACCGGGCGGGGGCGCGTACTGCTGCTGTCCATATCCATTCTGTTGCTGCTGCCCATACTGCTGACCCGGCAACGCATACCCACCATACCCGCCATTGGGCGCCAGCGGTGGCTGGGTATGCATATTCAGCATACGCGCGCGCTTGCGTTTGCGCGAGAGGATCATGTACGTGATGAGGCAGAAGATCGACAGGGAGAGGAGGACGCCGGTGACGATCCAGCGGCCGTAGCGTTGCCAGGCGGAGCAGCGGTAGGAGACGCGGGAGCGGGTGCCGTCGCTGGGGGGATGTTAGTTGGTTGGGTTTTTTGTGATGGAGGGTGTTGGGAGGAGGGACATACAAGTTTCTGACGTTGCGGTAGCAGGTTGTGTCTCGAGGGTAGATGTGCGACATCTTGATGGGGTGTTTTGTTTTGTTTTGTTTGGTGGTGTTGTGGTGTTGATGTAAAGGAGAATAGAAGGGAGAAGCTTCTTGGAAGTCGCGGACCCTTAGCAGGTTCAAGCTTCTTCTCTCGTAGCAGCTTAGCTTAGCTCGTCTCGCGCAGTCTCAATGAATGATGATGTAACGAGGAATCTCTTCTCCAGCACTCGCGTAGCCAGAAGGTGAGGTGAGGTGGCTGATGCGTTTGCGTCGCTTTCGTGTGTCTGTCTGGCTGTTTGTAACCTTCCCCTTCCTTACAAATGTACAAATGTACAGAATTCTCTCTTTCCCGCGCGATTCGCTCTCGTAGGTAATATAAAAAAAAATAAGCTTACTTCCAAAACACAGCAAAGAATCCGGGGATTTTCGATGGAAGCACAAAAACTGGGAGGGCCCCAGCATCTCTTTATCTCCTGCATCCCTCCACATCATAAGGCGTCAACGCCACCTCAGCCACCATCGTTGCCCCATACTTTCTACTCCCACCTTGCCATTGTTTCACACACACCCCTATTTCCCCATTCGTCATCAACACCATCATCTGTGTAGTTTTAAGGGGTGGATGTAGCGATAAAACAAGGATCCACAACCATGCCCAGCAGCTAAAACATGCTTCGCCCATTTGCCAATGTTCATCTCTAGTACCCGAGCTCCGAGCACCAGGCAAGGAACCAGTCATGTCATCAAGACATCGTCATTGAACACCAGGATTCGAGCCGGTGAAACGAAATATGGGGAATGGTTTTCTGTTGGTGGGGGAGCTGAGGGTGTTAGATATATAGCATTTTTTGAAAAAAGAAAAAACGGGTTTTTTGACGGAGGGGAAAGGAACGTCTTGACTCAAGTGGTAGTGATTTGGAATGGTGGTGGATGGGGAAAGGAGGGATTGTACTCGTATTGTAAGGAAAAAGAGGCGTTTTTGAGCTTCTTTTCCGTGTACGAGTATGTCGATACAGAAGTGAGGTGAGATACAGTACAAGAAATAACACAGGATGAATCTCCCTCCCTCCCTGCATCCCTTCCACTTCCACTCCCCTCAACACTCAACTAAACTCCACCTAATAAAACATCGCACATCAAAAAAACTGTTTCCCAATTTCAGAAACAGCTTTTCTTACCTACGATGTATACTTTACAAATTCAGCCTCAAGAGACTCAGGGCGTTCAGTCCAGTTCAGTACACCACTATGTACTGTACAGAGTTAGGACGTTAGCCGCACTGACCTAACCTGACCTAACCGTTGAGGCGAGTTGAGTTAAGGTAAGTGCGCAGCCACTAGACCATCAAAGACTAGGACACAACGCCTTTTTGCGGCTGAATGACTATGTTATCAACACCTCACTCGACCCATTCCACCGACTTCAGCTGTATCTCTTCCAAAAGGACAGAGACGGAACTAGGTCCTAGGAGATGTCAGGTAATTATACTCATTACGCATTAATATACGAGTTAGATACTTTATATAACGCCATCCATCCATCTGCGGTCAATATACATAGACTCAGTAAACACAATTGACTCCAACGGGGTATCACAAATTTCACCTCTTCCTGTCCATGTCCCTACCCAACCCAACCCAACCCAACCTAATCAGCCAGTAAACTCCTATATATCCCCTTTCTTGCCTTACCTCAGCCATGACCCAAACGCCCATTCGCTATGTCGCCAAAACATATATATGCTATATAAAAAACCAAAAGAATAGGAAAGAAAAACGTTTAAAACCCCCCATAAACGCCATCGCAAAATATGCGCAAGAATGCCGCTCGCTTGATTGCAAAACAAGGTGAAATAGAATAATGCAAAAAAGATCAATCATCGGACTGCCTGCCGACGACCCAATGCCAACGCCAAAAATTCAAAAGAAATGGAGCAGTCGAAAGAAAAGAATCCCATCATCCCTTCACATCATCTCTATCCACCCCCCAACTGTCCCCTCTCCCCTCCTTATGTTCATAAGTAGGCAACCCAGGACTTCTCATCTCCTCACTCCGCGACCCACGAATCTTCCCAATCCCCGCTCCCAAAATATTACTCAGCCTCCGAACCGGCTCTCCAACCGCCGGATAATACGTAGGATCAACCTGCTTCCTCGCCTTGGGAACAAGATTAAGATAAACCGGGAATAAAAGTCCAAACGCCGAAAGGGCAACGATGATACAGAACGAATATTGTACACTTTTCCCACCCAATCTCTGCACGGCAAACATGACGAACGGGAACATCGCACCACCACTAGTCGCTGCTGCGATAGCCGAGGCCCCTATTTTTGTTCGTTTCCCTAGACCTCGGATGCCTATGGCGTAGACCATGGGGAAAACAGGTCCTTCGAAGAAATAGAACACTAGTGTTGGGCCGGCAAGGCCGTTGATGGGGATGTGAAGAGCCATGATAAGTGTGGAGAATAGAAGACAGCCGAGGAGGGCAAGGAGGAGGAGAATGCGCGGATGGATTATGAGACAGAGTGCCCCGAAGAGGAATCTTCCGATAGCGAAGGTGGTGTGTCCTACGAGGATAAAGTTGTCGATTGTGAGGGTGCCCTTGCCTAAGCCCTCGGCGGCCTGGAGCGCGCTACTGATCCAGACAGACATGCTTTCTTGAGCAGCGACGTAACAATATTGAGAGAAAACGGCTAATCCTAGAGTGACGTATATGAGGCGAATATTTGGTGAAAAGACAGTTTCCTTATGATCCACTCCAAGATTGTCGGCTTGAATTTGGAGGTCGGCGTCAGTTGCCTCGGGTAGAGGCATATAGTGAAAGAATAAGGCGAGGATAACAGTAAACAATGCAACCGCGAGATAAGCCCATTGAATATCAATCAAGCTATTGTTGCGCAGATCTTGAAATAACACTTTTTCTGCCAATAACTGACTGAGAACACTTCCCACCGCTTGCACTCCCTGAGCCATGAGGAGGCGAAACTCGGCTGAGGAGCTCGGACCGCAGAGTGCGATGAATGGATTTGCCGCAGTCTCGAGCACGGAAAGTCCAAATGCAACCACAAAGTTGGAGATAATAAAGCCAGGATAGGAGAACAAGACAGCTGAAGGCCAGAAACACAATGTCCCAGTTCCGTAAATGCACAACCCAACAACAAAAGTGGTCTTGAATCCACAATGTCGAAGTGTCCATTGTCCAACAGTCATAGCTCCGAAGAAATATGCTCCAAAGTATGCTGCTGTCAGTCCCAGAAGCTGTTCCGTGGTCTGCTTCGCAATGATAAAAATCTCATTATTCAAAATATTCAGAAGGCCATAAGAGAACCCCCACAGGAAGAAAAGGGTAGTTACCATGGCGCAATATTTGAATGATTCCGTCCCATGTGTTTTGAGCATACTCTTAGGTCTTTTCATATTAACAAAACCAAAATATAGCGAATTATCGCTTGTTTTGTTCGTTTGCAATGTATGAGACCTTTCAGTGGGTGCCATAGTCATAGTGCCGCCGGGCGTATTGATGTTCTCCATGCCTTGTGGGGTCGTCAGGAAATCCATCATATCCACCTCAGCTTCATGGTCTCTTCCTTGCTCGTGGGGAGGAAGAGCACCGGGAGGTCGAGCTCTTGGTTCGTCTCCAGCTGTGGAAGGTAATCGATCGTGTATGTGATCCATCTGCGAGTTCAGTGATCCTGCTTTTGTTGCAATTGTATGATTCGAATCTCTCAGAATGTTTGGAAGGATGCGTTTGACGAGAGGCTTCAGTGTTGGAATACATGCGCAAATTATTCCAACATTGACTTCAACGGCAGACCACAAAAATGCAGTACTGGCATACCAGCCGAAATCCGTCGTCGCTCCGAATGTATTTTTTCGGGTAGAAAGCTGATCGGAGGACTGCTGGAGGTAGAAGATTCTGATAACATCAACGATTGTGACGAAAATTCCCAACGTAAAAGTAACAATCAACACTGTTTTTTGTCTAGATGGCAATCGCATGCCAGTCAATACGGGAATAGGTAGAACGAGAATGGCGAGATCTGTAAAAATGTTGACCGGGGCAGAACATAAATACAGAGTCACTATAGACATGCATTTTGCCCCAATCTGATGGATGTCATGAGCGGCACTGGCAGGATTGCATTGGAATGCGTTCAAGAAGGTCAATGTAAACCCGCCGATGTTGACCAAGGCCAATGTGATGTAGGAAGCGAGTCTCAAACGGTTCTGGGCACACTTCGCCATTCGAAGGTAGAATATTAAAATGGAGGTTTTGGTTGCCATCAAGGCCGGGTTCTATAATGTGTTAGAGCAAGCCCTCTTGCAACCCCATATTGATTCCAGATATATCTCGCATATTCCATTAACTAAAGATTCTAGGACAGTTGAACCAATTGTCCCCAAAGTTTTGAATGACTTGCCTAGAAGAAAGGAATAGCGAAGGAATGGTTTACTGCGAATTCTTTTGTCCACTGCGATTGGGGACAAGTAAAAGTATAGGCAAGACAGAACTCACGTAGAGGATGGTAAATGCATATTCAGCACGTCGTAGTGACGGAAGCCAGTCGGAAGGTATATCCACATCACGGCGTCCCAAACCTTTAGCAGTACCGTAGTCAATGGAGAAGGACAGTCCAAAAGCCAGGAACTTGGATGTATTAGTTTATGTCTGTAAATTGGCTGTTCTTCACTCACCCATGCCACTATCATACACCAATCATCGGCTGTGCGAGTCTTTAAAATCACAAACCGGCTGATAAGCCTCGCAACGACAAACACTGTTGCAAGGGAAAATGTGACGGTAGTCACGACGAGCGTGGCGTCACCTCTTGATGGTATTTCCTTGGACACCATGTTATTGTTGGCACGACATGAGAGTTCCGTGTATGAAGATTGTCAAAATTAAGTCATGCTGCCGCCGAAAACCAGCTGCCATCTGGGAGTGAAAGGTAGACGGAAGTGAATATTCTGGTCAGCCTTTACCATCAATCGACGAGTTGGATTCGTGTTGGTATGCTGAAAGAGCTCGGATGAGAGGACGAGGTGGTGTAGAAGTTGGAGGAAATTTGATCCTACTTCTTCTGCGGCGAGGGTGGTAAATTTGGCAGGACTCTCGAGAAACAAGTTTCTTTGGTCGAGAACGAAATTAGATTTAATGACGGGGAGACCCCAAAATTGTAGTAATTGACGGACAACGGTTGTTGAACGGGGCCGGACGAGGGGGAGGGGTGGCTAGTCATTACCATGCGGAAAGTACTTTCAGTTGTACCCCGAGATATGAATCGAGAGCTAGTCATTGACTGTGTAGAATGGGATGGGAGGGTGCATCTCTTTCTGTGCCCATGGGAGATGTTGTGCTCTGGTGGTGGGCTGGCGGGGTTGACCCATCATGCTCATACTTAAATCCCAGGGTTGCGTGGCGGCGGAGGACGAATCATGAATAGGCGAGGCTGATCTCCCACCCGACCAACCATTCGCACCACCCCACTACTCTAAAAGCCCCCTTGCGCGACTTTATGACATAACATTGTTCAATGGCTGCGGGAGTCTCAAATTAAGGGCAGATTTGGAAATCCCCAGAGCCCCAGCTGCCCGTCTCAAGGAAAGGCCGGGGAAGGTGTATATTTCTGGGACGACGAAACTGGAAACTCAAACTGGTCCAGTACCGCATAGATGGATGGATGACATCCACCGTTTTCTGTCACTTGTACCTCCGTAGTCTGTACCTACAGGACGTGAGACGAGAAGGGAGATTGTAGGGTTCCACCACAGAAAGGCGGGAGGCTGAGGTGTTCAGCTTCTCGAAGTTTAGCTGTCATTGATACGGACGACGTTTTTTTGGCGGGCATAACTTTTTTTTGAGGTGACGCCTTCTCGGTAAGCGCGCCCCGCATTGATCGACGCAGATGACGTGAACTCTACCCGTAGGTAGCGAGCGACCTGGGTTCAGGCAACAAAATACCCGAGGCAAAACATCAGATAGACGGCTGCACACGCTTTTGCTTTCGAGAAACAAAAGAGACTTTTGAAGTACAAAGCATTGATGTCGCACGTGGCATCCCTTGAGCAAACATCCAACTGTTCATCCTGAGGTTCGCATCTGTTTTATTGGTCAGCATTATTCGCCTTGGAGAGACTTCAAATGGGCAGATGATCCCTCTCTGCAATGGAAAACTGGGCAAAGCTAAAGTTTGTGGGGTGAGTGAAAGAAGGAGAAAATCCACTCCGACGTAATCCAATGAGCGCGCATTTGCCTCTTACCAAGCCAACCAGTGCTCAACGCCCTGCCTGAAATTGCCTCACATAAGCTGTCATGCACCACAAAAACTCTTTATCGGCTCATATGAGCAGCGGTGAAACAACTATATAACCTACGCTTTTGGGCCCTTTCAGCAATCCAACGTTACTTTTGATGCTGATGATGATCTCCATTTCCCAAGATTCATTTCTCCCCGCCGGTTCTCTCCGTCCGAGTCGGGCCGTGTTCCTTCCGGCTTTGACTACGAGCCCTGTGTGTGGTGCGTGGTGACTTGGAGACTTCAACACGCTTTTTCTTATAAGCTCAAGGATTCTCTTCTTCAAAACCTCGAAACAAGCCGTGATTCAACAATGAATGATTTTACTATTCTTTGTCAGATGAATAAGTTCAGCTTCTGGTGGAAAAGTCCTATATAAAAACATTGTGTAAGATAAAACCAGAAAGACTCACCAGGATATAAATGGTAGACGTAATAAGCCAATGTATCCAGTGCCTCCCAGTAGAAATGAAAATTGGCAGAGACCTCTTTTATCTTATCCTAACTTAACTAAAAACCATTGTATTAACGTAGTCCACAAGCGAGTTGGATTCCCAAGCGAAATGGATTTCTTTTCTTGGCATTTTATAAATTCTTAAATATCTCACGACACAATTAATTAAATTAATTACAGTATTCAGAATCGGAATCCTCACATATTTCTTCTCCTTTTTGACAAGTTCGTATGTTATGGCCATGTTTCCCACATAGTCCACAGCGCCGGCGAGGTACTAGACTCGAGCTCGTACAATTACTATTTTCTACTAAAACCACTTGTTCTTGCGAATCAACATTACTAAGGACCCATAAATCTTGCGCATCTTGGAAAGTAAGTGATCCTCCTTCCTGTAATCGGCGCTTTTTCGTACGACGACGCCGACTAAGTTGATCATTTGCTGTACGAAGTGTAGCATTCTCAGCTCGTAATAAAGCTACCTCAGTGATTGCACGCTGTGCACCCTTTACAAGCTGGTCTAGGCCATATAGAATCTGGGTCGGAGAACTATCTTGGTGTCGTACGACCTTGTTTTGAATATATGACGTCTGGGAATATGCCTCTGTTATGTTATTTGGGGTCTTTGGTTCCCAAATAGCTAGGAGGCTTGTTGAGGTAGATGGACGTGACGGAGTCCTTGGACGTATATCAAGCTGTGAAATCACAGAATCTGGGTCGTACGGCACTAAGCCAGATCCTCGAAATCCTCCTCGAATGTTTGATTCAGTCATTGTCGTACGAAAGGCAGTATAGAATGTTGATAAGAAATCCTCCTTAGAAACATATGTAATGTGGAGTCGCATTAATTTCTCAAGTTCAGCACCGTACGACCTTTTTAACGCTCGAAAACATCCTACATCGAGTGGCTGGAGTCTATGAGAGGAATGAGCTGGCATGCAAAGAGTAATAATGTTATTACTCTTACAAAAAAGCTCAAAATCGACTGAGTGGTGGCTTTCATGGCCATCAAGCACAAGCAGCCGGTGAATGCCCTTCGTACGAAGCTTTGTATGCCGATCGAAATGAAAAATCCAATCTAGGGCTCGCTCATTTGTTGTCCAGCCATTTGTAGTTACAGCAATTACCCAGTCGCGTGGTAATTGGCTGTTTTCGTACCAGGAGGAGAGGTGGTTCTTCCCCGCCAAAATGATATATGGAGGCACTACAAAGCCGTACGACCCAACACCTTGAATTACTGTTGCCCATTCCCGGTTTCCTTGCTGTACTGTACGAGGCCGAGAAAGCCTTTCGGTACTTGTAACAACCATTTCTGATGTAATTTGGCCCATACAAAACCCAGTCTCGTCAAAGTTATAAATATCCTCCTCCTGAATCCCATATTTGTCAATTATATTTCGTACGAGGCAAAACCACGCGTTATACACGTCTGGATTTTCGCATTGGACTCTTTGTTAATCAATCCTTCGATTAAAACGCGTCTTAAGTTCAGGTTGTCGTCGTACGAAGTTCGAAGTCCAGTTCTTGCCAACGCGTCCTGCACCCCGCTCCGAGAGGATACGATTCGCCATATCTTCATCACAACGTACTCGTGGGGGAAATGATCGAGAATCTAGGTCGAGAATATGTCGTACGATAACTATTTCTACAATCTCTGTAAGTTTTCGAGATTTAGCGATAGAATCTTGTCGTGATAATATTCCATGAGTTCGATTAAGCAATGTCGTATAAGGTACTTTTTAGATCCGCGCAACCTTCTTAACTTTTAAATGTGGGTTCGTACGAAGCGTATTTAACGCAAGAATCATATCAGACTCTGTCTAATGCTTAACCATTTTTTATGTTAAGAAAAAACGCGCTCTGAATAAGTTTGTGGAGTGCCAAGAAAAAAAATCCATTTCGCTTGTGAATCCAACTCGCTTGTGGACTACGTTATATTATTTATGTAGAACAATTAAAGTGACTTATCGAAAACGATAGCACAATAAAGGCAATTGTTCTAGACATTTGAAACATTTTAGTACTTAGAACTTACGCTAATAGTTCAAAAAATGAATCTCTGCCACTTTTCTTGTCCACCGGGAGAGTGCCTCTTTGCTAAAAACAAGTCTCATTAATCAACCTCAGACAGGATATCGAGACAGGAAATCCCATCGTGAGAATGTTTACATCACGTGATCAACCATACGCGACGATGTGGATACTTTCCTCGGTAGACCTCGCCAAAGTTGATATCATTAGAAACTTGAAAAATAATCTTGGAAGGGGTATAAGAGAGTTATCCAAAAAGGTGGTGGTGGATCATCACGGGTTACCATAAAAGGCTAGCGTTATCGGAGATCGGAGCGGAATATCTGATCGGAGGTCAGAAACGCCCAAATCAGCTAATGCACAAGGACAGACCTCCCAGCGAACAAAACACCCGATTTCTGGCCAGGATTAGCCGGGTGCGTCCCAGATAGTTAAGGATCTGCTCTCCATCTAGGTTTGCGATGTGACAACTGAAAATCACGGTCCTGTCAACACCCTGTCAATATTGCCAGAAGCTGCATGAACAGTTGAATAATGTGAGAACTCGGAGCACTTGACAGTCACCACTCACCACTCACCACTCACCACTCACCACTGCATCGCATCGCATCACCCGCATCACCAGCATCAACACATTTTGCCTAAAGTCACTCCCAGCTCCTTGTTGACACCGCATCTTGCAGCTCGAGGCGCACGGCATCATCACAGCAGCAGCGACAGCCATTCCAGGAACCGCGCATGCATCCACACCATCTGCGGACGCATCACTAGTTTCAACGCCGCTTAAATCAACCAGCGACCGCTCTTCAGCAGCACTAGTCCCCCGAGACAGGTCAAGTCTGCAGCCAGTCTAGTCCAGTGTGGTGCAGTGTAAGGACGAGACGCTGTCTACGTTGACGCGCGCAACACTTATCAACATCTCCATCAAGACAATCAACATTGGGCACCAACTACCGCACACGAGTCCCGCGACCCAAAAATGCCATAACGTGGAGAAGGGGTCCATCGACAGCAAACATCTCCAGCGGCAGCTTTAATCAAGCTTCCTCCTTCTGCAAAACCACACATAAACATTCTCGTGGCAAAGGGTCAAAGACATCATGGATCCAAGACAACCAAGCCTGCCCTTCTCGCGAAATACCGCTTCACCTTATGACGGTCGCACCCCTTTCCCTCCTGCCTCGAACCCGTCACCTTTTCCTCCTTCCTCTCATCCTCCTAGTACAGGATCAACATATGCCGAACAACACCATCGAAGACCCTCAGATCCCCCATTCTACAATGCACAGCGGAGTTATGCGTCAGGAGGAGCGCCGATGCCCGGTCAGGGTCATTCAAGACACCAGAGTGCTTCTTCCATAAACCATGGACCATCAGCAAGTCGGGGAATGCCACCCCCTTCTTCTCCTCAACAACAATCTTCTCAAGCCCCACAGCATCATAGTTATGGGCAGCCCTCTATGCGTGCTCCACCTCCAACAACTACAGGACCCCTGAACTTTCAGTCAGGACGCGAGCTTCCAACATTACCTCCGATCGGAAGCCGACCTCAAGGTGGCATGTCTATTTCCTCGATATTAGGAGGCCCACCAGCAGGTAGAGAACAAGCACCACCATCACAGTATGCATCCCCAATTGGAACATCTGCTCCTTCAGGCCCATCATTTCCTAGCACAACACAAGCTTCGCCACGAATGAACTCCATTGGGCAAGATTACACACCATTCAGACGACCACTAACACCCCCCGAGCATTTGAGAGCATATGAAGCGAGGGATACTCGTGCGAACTCAGCAGGTTCTCCACCCGGCGCGGCGCAATATGGGACACCAGAAGCTAGAGGAAGGTATAGTACACCACAAACGTATTCGCGACCTCCTCCAGCCATTCCAGTAGCCGATGAGCGTCGAGAACCACTGCGTGTACCCAATCAGAATGCAATGCCACCACGACCTCAAAGTCAACCCAATTCTGGACCTCCATCTCAACGCCAGTACGAGAATCCCCGAGTGTCAACACATGGCGAGGGCGTATTTCCCAGGAGAGAACCCTTAGGAAGACCCACTGATCCAAGCTCAAGAGAACGAGAGGCAGCATACGGAAGGCCAGCATTCGATGATAGGCCAAATCCTGTGTATACTTATGCCGAGAGAGACAGACAAGAAAGGGAGGCAACTATACAACGAGAGAGAGAACGTGAACGTGATAGGGAACGTGATATACGCGAGCGCGAGAGAGATCATAGAGAGCGCGAGCTGGAAAGAGATCGAGGAAGGGATATGGAAATTGAAATGGAACGGGAACGATCGATGGGCCGAAAACCCGACCATCACATGGATTTCGCTCGGCATGTTGCCGCCCAGAGAGAAGCATCACAGAGAGAGTCAGCTCATAGGGAAGCGTTTCAAAGAGACGTTGCTCAGAGAGAAGCTGCGCAACGAGATGCTCAGACTTCCTACAACAGACAATCTGAACCTCGTGAGCAGCCAGCATGGATGCGACCAAACTACGAACCTCCTCGAGCCCCTCCTTATGAACCCATCCCTCCACAGCCAGAAGGACCAACGCAGCAGCGTCCTGCTTCTAGCAGGAACGAGTATCCCGCGAGCAGCGCACCGCAGTATAGCGGGCATCACGCCTACGCTCCTAATGAACCACGATACCCGCCAGGTTCCCAAGCACCTTCTATGCCACCACAGCACAATGCACCAGCTCCACAATACGATACCTCTATGATTGAACGCCACCGACTTGCACAACAACACCAACACCAGCAAGGTCAGACTTCATATTCCAACCCCCAAAATGGCCCATATCAGCCGCATGAGTCCCCAAGGAGAGTCATTGAAGAACCGCAACCAATGACCCACCCGATGCAACAGCAGCGTAGTTTCTTGGGTGTACAAGAACTCAATCGTAAAGGTCGTCTTTCTCCACTCCCTCAAGCTGTTCAAGGAGTCCAGCCTCAACACGGTGGTCCCGGCGGAGAGCCTGGTATCAAAAGCGAATTTGGTAGGATGTTCTCAGGGATCGGAAGTGGTGTTGGTAGTACTGGAGTGTCTAGCCCCATCTCTGCTGGTGCTCAACCGATGCCTTTTTCCAACCCTGGCCAACTTCGGCGTGAGGATGTAGACAATATAGCAAACCAGGATTCGCCAATGGAAAATGGTGGACATAACCCACGTTCAGCTTCCCGTGGTGGCGCTACTTCGAGACGACGAAAATTGAAAGAAGACGATAGCAGAGGTGACGATGAAAGCAGTACTGGAAGACGTACTCCAAGTGGAAGAGGCAAACGTCCAAAGACGGGCCATCACCACCACCACCATCAGTATGTTTTCCCATTTCCCTTATTTACTAACCGCTAACGGCGCTTTGATTGAGTCACCATCACCACCACGCAGACCCTGCAAATAATACTTCATCGCCTGGACCAAATAACATGACACCATTCAAGAATGCCAAAGGATCTGCGGTACCTTCGCCCTCCGATGCTAAAGCAACATCAGGAACGCACCATCACCATGCCCCAGTTCCAAAGGCACATTACCACCACCACGCGCCGGCATCCAGACCTGCTCCGCCAATAAGCCCCATCATTCCGATACCAATACGAAGAGTGGATTCTCGAAAGATCCTCGAAAGTGTGGCGGATAGACAAAGACTACATCTCGGATTTCAGGAGTACCAGGCCAAACTTAAACCCAAAGGAAAGGAGTCTAGAACTCGAGGTTCATATACCGGCTTTGCCAGCACCCCGCTGCCACTGCCTCGACTTGAAGGAAAGGAGAATTGCACGATGACAATTAAAATTCCTCGAACACACCTGTCCGATATTAGCCGAGAGGAGATAACGCGCCGTAAAGCGGTATGGGGTACAGATATCTATACCGATGATTCTGATGTAATTGCTGCATGTATTCACGAAGGTTGGTTCCGCGGTGCTTGGGCTCCAGATGTGGATACATCATATCTTGGTCTCGAAATTGGAGAACGCCCTACAGGTCCCATTGATTTCGGACAAGTCCTTACAAAACCTCCTCCATCTGGACCGTGGCAAGTTCCGAAAAGACACGATCTTCATGTTAAAATTTTGATCTTGCCAAAATTGGTTGAATACAAGGGTTGTGTACGATTCGGTATCAAGAGTCGTGAATGGGGTGTTAAGCAGGAAGGATATAAAGGTACACATGATGGTTTGAGTTTCAAGATTATGAGTGTACAATGGGTTGCTGGTGCAGGGGTAGGAGTTCCCAGGAAAAAAGCTGTTTTCAATGAACGACTCACGAGGGAAGAACTGGAGGAAGAAGAGAGGTTTGCCAAACTGCTGTCAAATGGAAATGGTAGATCGGATCGGAATATGGTCGATATTGAGGAGAGCTTCGAACGCGGAAGTGATAACTTATGGACGGAGGAGATGACGGGCGTTGGATCGAAGTCTTGGAATAAGCCGGTAGCGAGGCCCGCCCCAGCGCCAAAGCCAATGGAACCCGCACCCGTGGAAGACAGACCAGAACCAGCAAGGGCCCAAGCTCCGATTCTGACCCTATCACCACCTCGAGTACCACTCCCCCCACCCATCCCATCACCTATCGAACCTCCTGCGGTACTTGAACTTGAGCGGATGTCACAACCTAATCGAGGCTTCGCACCAGTTCAGAGGGAAGTTGTGGAAGCGGTCACTGAGAGGATGATTGAAAACGCCAATTCGAACTCGGACGAAACGCCAACCAGCAGTGACATGGGAGCTGTAGCTGTTTTGTTGGATGCTGCGGCACGAGCTTCGGCGTCGGCTCAGGGAGACGCTAGTCACTCTACTGAGATGAACGGAGATGGTCCAGCACCTGCTGCTGTCTAATTTTGACGGAATTTCTTGCAGTGAATGGGGCAGAAAAGTGCATCAAGGATGGATTTTGTGAGGATTGTTCTCGAGATGTGAGGGAACCAAACATATTTGTTCATTTTTGGTGGATATGAGGGCCTTGACTTTTGCACGTAATGCTTCTTTGATTATCCAGACAGGATGGATGGATGGATATATGGGAGAATCATTGAAGCGAGTGAGGCATTCAGTACCGTGCGATGTTCTCTTTGTCTTTTGTTTTTCTTTTGAAAAAAGGCATCGCTTATGGCGTTGTTTTTTTTTTGCACCATAATTTTGTTCCAGGGACTTGTGTGTGAGAAGGCTACTACTTCTTAGCATGTCTGGTCTTGGGATGGGATAGATGGAATAGATGGAGGGGGGGGAGTGTTTTGTAGATAGTGTTTTTTAGGTAGTTAGTTGGTAATTAATTACTAGTCTGTGACTCTAGTTTGTATTACTTTTAGCTTAGTTTAGAACAGCGTATAAAATGAGTAGAGTAGAGTAGGTGTAGTAGTACCTAATCTACTCTACTTAAGGGCTTAAAAGCTCTACTTAACTTAAGTAGTACTTGAGTATCTCGGGGTTTAGCCGGGCCGAGTCGCCGTAGCGCACCCTAGGTAGGTAACCGGTAACCCGGGTACTCTCGCCGGTCCGCCTACTCGGAACTACTATAGCCGAGTTAATATACTCCTAGCGAACTATTTCGAAGGGAGATAATACTATCTCGAAGAATGTTAAATAAGCTAATATAATATAAAAAGGAGGCTTTTAAGGTAAGAATAAGCTTTAAAAAGCTAGGGGAGGGAGGAGGAGGAGGAGGAGGTTAAAAAAAGGCTCTTTATATTATACTATACTTTACTCGTACGAGTAGTTACGTTTTTACTACTCGTATATTATTTAAGTAGTTATACCTACTAGTACTTACTACTAATTAAGTAAGTAGTAAAAATTAACTACTTAAGTAAATTGTTAATTTATTTATTTCTACGCTAGGTTAGAAACCTAATTCGAGCTATAGCTCGCTGACTCGCGTCGCTAGCGCCTTATAAAACGAAAAGATTCTATAAGTAGGAATAGTATAACTAACCCTTCCTACGAGTATAATACTTCCAACACCTATCCTTCCTACTATACCCATTTTAACCCCCCCTAAAAAAAAAAGAAGAAAAAAAGAAGAAAAAAAAGAAAAAGGGTATAACGTGGTTTATCAGCGAGTCGATCATATCACCGAGTCGATCACTTTTTCTTGGCACAGAACTTTACACCTAAATAAATCAACCACAATATATTAAATTAATTATCGCTCTCTATATCTGACGAACTAGATATATCTATAACTTCTTGACAAGTTCGCGCGTTATGACCAGCTTTTCCACAAGTTCTACAGCGCCGCCTAGAAGGTTGCCCCTCCTTATAACCAACCCCCGCCTCACGCATGTCGCGTCGTACTTGCTCATCTACATCCTCCTGAGCTAACATATCCTGTACATCCTCTACTATAAGTGCCCCTCCTTGGCGGACACGAGTCTTTTTAGCCCTACGGCGTTTACTTAGGGCTTCATTTGCAGCGCGAAGGGTACGGACCTCAGCAGACAAAAGGGTCATCTCATGTGCCATTCGCTCTGTACCCTTTGCTAACGCAGCAACTGTTTGAAAAAGTGGAGTTGGCGAGCTTCCTTGATGACAGGCTATACGATTTCGTACAAGAGTTGATTGTGAAAGGGCTTCAGTTGGGTTGGAAGGGGTCTGGGACACCCAGGGGAGGGAGTTGGCACTACACGTCCGAGGGGGAGTTGGAGTCCGTAACCTTACGTCAAGCTTTGAAAGCACTGCTTGCGGGTTAAATGGTACTAGGCCAGCTCCGCGGAATCCAGACTGACAGTTTAGGACTGTCATTGTTTCCTTGTATGCTGCTGTAAAGGCTAGAAAGAACTCAACCTTTGTAATATGGTTGATATGGGCCTTGATAAACGTCTCAATCTGCCGACCATACGCTCGTTTTAACACACTATAGCACCCAACATCAAGTGGCTGGGTTAGATGGGATGAATGAGGAGGTAGTCCAAGAGTAATAATGTTGTGTTTCGTACAGTAGTCTTGGAACTCAGCCGATTCATGACTCTCGTGCCCATCCAAAACTAGTATTCGATACAGACCCTTTGCACGAGCTGTAGTGTGTTTATCAAAGTGCTTTAACCATTCCAGGCCTGTTTCATTATTTGTCCAACCATTGCTTGTCGGTTTCATAACCCAGTTAGGTGGGAGGCCGCCGTCGGTATACCAGTTGGAGAGATGGTTCTTGCCCTGAACTACCAAGAATGGAGGAATACTCCAGCCCTCCCCATTAATACAGGCAATTGCTGTAGCCCATTCCCGATTGCCTGGCTGAACTGCCTTGCCTCTACCACGTCGGTCTGCACGAGTAACAACCATTCTAGGACAAATAACACCCATCATAAAGCCTGTCTCGTCGAAGTTGTAGAAGTCGGAGTCTGTAACCCCATATTTCGCCCTCATATTCTCTACTAGCCGGAACCATGCGCCTAGCACGTCAGGATCTTCGCATAAGGCCCTCTGGAAGTCGTAAACGCGATTAAAACGCGTCTTAAGGTCTGGTTGTCGTTGTACGAATCGATGGGCCCAGAGCTTGCCGACGCGTCTTCCCCCCCGCGATTCAAGGATAAAATTAGCCATATCTTCTACACCAGCGAGCCGGGGCGCAAATCCTCTGGAATCCATATCCAGTATATACCGAATAATCACTTCCTCTTCTAACTCAGTCAACTTATGACAATTGGCTTGAGAATCTGGGCGGTAGGTTCGGCCAGCCATTCTGTCGGAAAGAGTCGTATATGGTACATTGAAGATCTTTGCCGCAGAGCGTTTGCTTAGTTTTTTGGACGACCGAATAGCCTCGATAGCTAGAGTAATTCGCGCTTCTTGAGTTTGAATTTCCATGGTAAATAGTTGAAGAAAACGTGTGTTGAAGTTTGAGGAGGTAGTGCCAAGGAAAAGTGATCGACTCGGTGATATGATCGACTCGCTGATAAACCACGTTATATATATATATAAAACCTAAAAGCCTAAATAAATAAAAACCTGAAAGAAAGCCGAAAAACTAAACTAAACTAAACTACTAATATACCCCTTCGTACTTACTGGTTGGTACCCTTCCCCCCTTCCCTCGCTTACTACTCTACTCTACTCTACTCTACTCTACTCTACTCTACTCTACTCTACTCTACTCTACTCTACTCTACTCTACTCTACTCGTATACCAAGTACCCCAAGAAGAAGAAGAAGAAAGAGAAGAAAAACGCGTCTTGATGAAAAATGTCAAGTTACTTACTCTACCCCCTTATCCTAAGCATCCCTATCCTTACTATCACCATCCTCAAAATCACAATCATCACACATCACCATCACACATCACAATCACCCATCAATGAAAAAAAAGAAGTATATGTATTATCAAAATACAAAAAACAAACAAACATCAACTATAGCACCCTCCCTCCCCCTTATCCCCGTCCCCAATCCAATCCAATTCCAATTCCATTTCCATTTCCATCCCAAGTTCATTTCAAGTCATATCCTCATTTCGTATCCTAATTCATTCATTCAATCATTGACCACCATTCATTACCATCCGAAGAAAGAAAAGAGAAATTCCCTGGATCCCCTTATTTGCTCCGTATTTGCCTTTCCTTCGTGGTCGTTAGTGGTACATTCCTTCAATCCCTCAATCCCTGTCTTTCATCCATCCATTTATCCTTACTGCCAATCCAATTGCTAAAACGCGAAGATTTCCCATCTGAATCTCTCCAAACTCTCTCCATCGCACCCCCTCCAAGCCTAAAAACACCCCATCCATCTAGATATCCATCTTGAACCCTCCCCAAAGAGAACCCCACTAAATCTTCAATCAAATCATCTCTGCTTTCTCCTCCTAAGCACATCATCCACCCCACTCCTCACCTCTCTCGGATTACTGATGCTAGAACGCAACTTCTCACTCCTCTGCTGTCGTCGCTTCTCCGTCATCCTCTCCTTCAGCGCACTCCATCCCACATATTCCACTCGAATCCCAATGCCAGGAATCGTATGCACCCTACCCCCATTTCCCTCTTTGAAACCATGACCAAAAGTCCCGGGTGGTACTTGAGCATATTGTCGTCGTTTGTTTCTGTCCCTTCTCAGACTGGAATTACTCCTCTGCTTTACAACACAAAGATTACCACTGGTACTCTTCCGCATCGTTCTTCGGTCTTGAGAATGCGATCGATGGCTAGGCTCGTCCTCGAGTGGTAAGATAGCAAAGGTCCGCTTCAACTTGCCACTAATACTTCGCTTGGGAGTTGGTCGGTTGTCGACAATTGGGTAGCCACCACCAAGCTCATCATCTGCAAAACCTTCATCCTCCAAATCATCCCAGAAATGTGAAGGTCTCCAAAATGGGTGTAACTTAGTTCCATCCGCTGGTTTATCATCTACTGTAGGGTACAGTGTACTGAGATTTGCAACTCCTTTGGATGTCTGTGTCGATTCATCCTGCCGCTTCGTTCGATTACTCAAAGACAACGTGCGCTTAATAAATCCAGGATTTTTGTCCACAGCGGGTTCGGAATTTCGACGGGTACTCAGTTTTCTAATCAATGATGGACCACGTTTTGGCCTTTCATCTGAGGGGCAAGGCTGTGGAATAAACTCGAATCCCAACTGTCTCTCCTCTTCGTGTCCCGGTGTTACCGCAGCAGGCGTTGCAGGAATGAATTTGATCGCTGGTGGTGCTGGAGGCGCACGAGGATTGCGAAGAGGAGAATCAACTTCATCCATTGGGTGTCTAGGTTGTGGAGGGGTAACTGGACCGCTTGTAGGTTTAATACTCAGACGCATAGTAGACCGAGGTTCCTGTGAGCCAGAAGCATCTCTTGACGCTGGAGGAGAAGAGTCTGAAGACGAATGTTGGACAACAAGTAACGACTTGTTTTGATGAGGGAAAATAGATACCGCTAAAGCCTCTGATACCTCAGCTGCGGTTCCTGCGGTTTCATAAGATACTTGCGAGAACGGAGTTACTTGAGTTGAACATCGCTTGCCAAAGAAGGGATCTCCATTGTGATCGACATTCGCACGAGGACTATAAATCCCCACATCGTTGGGAGATTCGACCGATGGACTCTGTACGTGCTTAGCCACTACATGCTCCGCCTTCCTAGCTTGAATCATATTGTGAGCTTTCAAACTCTCGGCAGTCAACGATCCTGCTCTCGAGGTATTCCGACTTGTAGGAGCCGATAAAGAAGATCTTCTTGCTGGAATATCTGGTGGGAAGTCAATCGTTCGTACAGAGTCAGATCCTGCCGATTCCGAATAATTCCTTTTGCGAGGAGGAAGAGTATCAAAATATCCCGGCTCATTGAATCTTGAAGAATTTGAAAGTGGTGCTGAGCTTAGAGACATGCTACGTTTCGTTCTCCGGCTACTGGTTGATCTCAAAGAGGGTGTCTTTGCAGATTTGGTAGAAGAGTGTCTATCCGGAATAACAACCACAGGTATTCCTCCACGTTTTAGAACTTGCCGGCGTGCTTTACCAGAAGCTGTACTACTTACAGTTCTGGTTGAAATCTGGCTCTGATGCTGTAGGAGTCGTCCATTGGAATGATGTAAACGATGAGTCTGTTCCATTGATATTACTGAAGTTGGTGCGGAAGGTATCGTTGACTGATCCGAGCTCATATCTCTAAGCCCAATCTGCTTCTTGGTATGTCTAAGAGTTTTCCTTCGTCCAGGTGGTCCATCTACAACCATGGCCTCAACCACGGTTGAAGATACTGATCGAGTCGATACAGCGGAAAACCGCCGAACATCAGGAGTCGTAGGTGAATCCATTTGAACCCTAGGTGCTCTCTGCGCAAATTGATCACTCACAGACCTGTTCTTCGTGTCTCTCTGCTGTCGATGTCGGTCTATCCGTTCTTGTAAAGGAAAATTCCGCACAATCTTGGTCGCCTGAGTTGGCGTGATAATGTCATCTTCATAAACCTCATCCATGTTGTCGTTGGTAAACATCTGGAAATTGCGCATTGGTCTCTTGCGTACTGTAACATTCCTCATAAGATTATCATCCCATTCCCGCTCTACCTCACTTGGTTCCGATATCCATTCTCCGTCAAAGACATGAGATTCTCGGCGAGGCGTTCCTACTCGTGGTCTAGGCGTGGTCGTACCTTCATTATCCGATTCAAGTCCCAACCCTAAACCAATTTCTTTCCTTCGATGTTGTAACTTTGGAAGTTGAGGTACTTCAAGCGCAGAGGTCCTCGTCGAGGGGATGGCCGGGCGCACAGTTGACGCTTCTTCTTCTGAAGAGTCTTGGGATTCTAGAGCGGTTTTGAATGATTCTGCACGCGAAGAAGGATATCGATCAAAAATTGGAGGTCGAAATGACAAAGGCATATGTCGTGGAGGTGTCACGTCTGGCGTGGGTGGACTTCTTTGGTTCGTAGGAGTGGTGGGAACGGATGGAACGTTCGAGCTGTTCCTAGACGACGCTGCATCCTGTCTAATGCTGGCACTGTTACTTGAAGATTGACGAGAATGGGTAGGAGGAGTCGGTGGGAGACTATTGATTCTTCTCGACGCGTGTTTCAAGGTGGGCGGGCTGGATGTTTCCGAACCTGTTCCTACGGCAGTATCAACCACGAGTCTTCGAGGCTTCGTCGCGGGCGTCATTGGTTGAATGGGCACACGGGGTTCTCGAGGATGTGGTAGCATCTTGTGCTTTTTGAGCAATGTGGTACCAACGCCTTGAACCCCCTTTGGAGCTTCCAAAGAGCTGCCCCGCTCTCTGGGCGGCATCCTGAGCCAGTTGGTATTGGTTTGCGTGAGAAGCATTCACGGCGATTGTTTCTCTTGGTGAATTGAATCACGGTTGATTACCTGTTACGGGTTCGAAGGGTGATTCTCGATGCGGGCTATCAGCATGCATGGCCTCGGAGTGACATCACAGGAAGATGCTTCTATCGTGATCGCGATATCGCAGCCTGGAGGTTGGCGGTTGGCGGTATGGCGGAAGATTCGGCGATGTCAAGTATCGTGGGGGGTATGAAGGAGAGATGATAGACAGTGAGTTCAAGGAGCGTGGTACGTAGGGCGAAGTACTGTGTCAATCTCGACCTGTGTGTGTCGTGTAAGAAAGGTAAGTGTACTTGAGTAGGCAGGCCGTGGGCCGTGGCGGGTTGGTGACAGGATGCGGCGAGGAGAACAGGAAAATGCCTGGACCCGAAGACTCGTACTGGCACTCGGTATCGCAACGCTGATTCGGTGATGGGAGGAGGAGGCTGGGGGCACAACCTTCAGCTTTGCGACGAAGCGGATGTAGCAGTAGCTGTAGCTGTAGCCAGTGGCCTGTAGGTCGGTGATGTAGGGGCTGCAGTGCTGTAGGGGGCAAAGGTACAACAGAGTTTTGCACTTGGGATACTTTTTTCGTGTGGGTTTGGAAGGTTGTATGGGTGGTTTGGGTATCTTGAGGTTCAGGCTGCTACGCTACGCTCCGGCTACTACCCGACGAGATCTGTCGCAGAGACCACCCAAAATCGGAGTCTGTCAATCTGATGTTCTGATCCGTAGGACCCTGAGAACGCTTGAAAGGGAAGGCTGGCAGTGGCCGTTACTAGTGGTGGCAGCAGTGAGTGGCCGCAGCTAGAGTCGTAGTGAAGTATATAGGATGGGGATAGGCACGATACAGTACTAGAGCTGCAGCTGCAGAATCAAGCACGATTCACAGTGGGGTTTGGCGTCACGGCAATCCCCTTCTTTGGTCACTGGACGAACGAGCGCCTCGGGAAGCTCCAGTCGTAGTGGGAAACTGGATTCCCTCATGGCCATGAACATCCATCGCCATCGCCCATGCGGATTTGTCTTTCTGTGCATACATACACGTTCCACTTTGAAGCAGAAACTCTCCCTCACCGGCACCATACACGAGCACCATCGACCACCATCTGATACCGCTGCCATGCACCACCACGAGCGTGCGATGGAAAAAAAGACTAAAAAGACTCGGCGGGGGATCCTATTTACAGCGAATGACAATGACGAACCCCTCAACCCGCTGTCTACCGTCTGCATCTGCCAGCCCTATTGGTCGCGAGGAAGGCAAGATAGCTGCTGCTGCAGTGGTCCTCGAGCACTGCACTGCGTCCCCGCCCTTGAAACTAGTTCCGCTCTGTTCTGTTCTGCCTGTACTCCACGAGCCATTTCAGCGTGTAGACTGCAGACGGCACTGATGTTGTGAAATGGTCACAAGCTAAGCACCTCCCCTTTGCCCCGACGAGGGCGGTCACGTGCTCGTGTCACTTGTCGGTGGGTAGCCTTGATTTCGAAGATTCTGTCGCGTGGCACAGAACCATTCTGTCGGGCACGTTGGTTGGGTTTCATGATGGTGGAATGGGGAGGAGGGAAGGTGCTTATTGGGGTTGTGGTGGTGATGGTGTTGTTGTACAGGGTTGGTTGGTATGTTACCTTTCTTTTTTCCTTTTCTTTTCTTTTTTGGTTGTGATGACATGTTAATATCACACTGTCGCTTCACGAATCCGAAGCCCTTTCTCAAAGCTGGTTAAGGTAGCAAGATTCCGGGGTGTCTCCAGCGTGTCACAGATTACAGGTATTTCGTCAGCTAAGGTACTATGTACGTGATTTGTGTTATTCCACGGGTTGCGTCTTACTATTAATACTTTGGAAATAGCCATCCAAGTGTAGTCAGATATCCAACTCAGCTTTCCACTGCAAGTGTACTGCTCCTCATAAACAAATTAACTTGTCTTGTCCCTCCCGAGATGTAATTTGATCGATATTTCCCCATCAGCGTAAGAAATTCATGCCGTAAAATAAAGACTGTGCATCTACTCTACTCTTCTCTCCTCTCCTCTCTATCGACCCTGCTCTACTCTCCTCTCCTTTTCTCTAACCAATTACGAGTAAAGAATCTTGATTCCTTATTATTATTGATCGGTCCCTTAGTAATCTCCTCGCCAAGTACTCGAGTCTCGAGTAGAGTAGTCTTGGGAGAGGATTCAAAAATCTCCATCTCTTTTACGCTATACTATACGGTATATCTCTATTCGCCAGTATATCATATAGTAAGCGTGAAGTATTTCATAGTGTAGGAATATACACCCAACTAGAAATTCAACGTGTAGGTGTGTGTAAGATCTTACCTTCTATCCTCTCCTCTCTTCTTCTCTTCTCTCCTCTTCGCTTCCCAACTCAAAAGGGTTTCAATATACTTCCATCTACTCTCTAGTAGTCGATAGAGTAGAGTAGAGTATCGTTGAAGTACATTTCCTCTTACATTACACTGCACTGTACAATATATCTCTTATATCCATCACCACGCCAAAGAAGGGGAAAGAGGTGTTATCGCCATGTGTGTTTTCTCAAAGTGAGAAGGTGGTGGTGAGGATTCCTGGTGAAGTGACAGCTTTTTGTTGATGTTGGAAGGGGGGTCCAGTATCCTGAACGTTGAAGAAATACTTTTTGATAGAAAGGATTCAGGAGTTGTGTAGTGTATGTATGTATTATGTTATCACGGACGACTTTTCACCATTCACCTTGGTCGATAGCACTGGGGATTCATGTGTGGTGTTTTAATGATGTGTATTCTGTATTCTGTGTTCTGTATTCTGTGTATGATGCGCTCTGTGTATTCCGTAAATGTATGAAGAGGATCTTGTCAATGCAAGTACCATCCCAACCCCAATAATACCCAATTCCGACCAAGACAACCCCTAAAAGCGAAGTCTCCTTCCTAAGAAGAAAATCCCACCAACCGCACACCCGCAATCAAGAGATCATCAACTACCCCCATCCCCCCTAACAATCAACCTGCATNAATAATACCCAATTCCGACCAAGACAACCCCTAAAAGCGAAGTCTCCTTCCTAAGAAGAAAATCCCACCAACCGCACACCCGCAATCAAGAGATCATCAACTACCCCCATCCCCCCTAACAATCAACCTGCATAAAAACCCCATTCCACACCCCTCCCTCCCCTCCCGTCTCACTCAAACTCCAATGCTTCTTCCCCGGAATCACCCCGCCCAACCCAAAAATATTCAACTCCATCCCAAAATACGCCTCTCCAAACCCCACCCCAGGGAGAGCCGTCGGACACGGGACCTGCTTACGTGCTAGAGAGCCATCCCAGAGGAGCGCGTTGATAGCGGCGTTGTGGCGGTTGGCGATCTTGTTGGTGGTGTAGGCTGTGTTGTAGGTGATGGGGGTGTTGTGGAAGGCGTTGGGGAGGAAGGAGAAGAAGTTGATGGTGGAGGGAAAGAGAGGGGAAGAGGAGGAAGGGAGGAGGACATACCATGGAAAGTAGCAATACCAGGTTGATTATCACTATGGACTACAACGAATCAGTACAACTTCAACTTCAACTTCAACCTCAACTTCCCACCATCCCATCACAGTTCTATCCTGCCTACGACTCCTGATAAAAGAGCAAAGAACAAAGAAACTCACACAAATCACTATTATCGGTAATAATCACCGTCCCCGTCTGTCCATCCCCCGGCGCAACATTAGGGAAAACCCGATCCGGCTCCGAGCTGGAAACCGTTTGAGCAGCGACGGGCATGAGGTTTCGGCATTGGGCTGTGACGAGAGTGAGGAGGGAGAGTAGGGTTAGTGGGATGGTGATGGTGGTGCGCATTTTGGATGTGTTGACCCGTGGGTGGGCTTGAGAAGGATGGATGTTGGATTGAGAGTTGTATATGAGATGAGGAGAGTCTTGGGAAGTTTGGAAGGGTTGAGAGTTGGAGAGTTTGAGAGTTTGAGTGTGGAAGAAAAAGGAGGGATTGAAGGGCGAGGAGAGTTGTCTTTATACTTGAGCTGGAGGCTCTTCTCGCTTAGCGGTTCGAGTCTGGTGTTTACTATTCTTCCACAGTGACCGAGGTAAGAGGGGGGTTTTAATTGAGTGGCTTGGGATTCACTGGGTATCCTTGCTCAACAAAGTTTATTTGACTGAGGGGTTGTGAGGAAGTGGAAAGTGGAAAGTGAATTAGGATCTTTGCACGTTTTTTGGTTCTTGAGGAGGGGTGAGGTTACTTTTACTTCTACACTTACACTTAATCAGGAGAAGTATTGGAGGGCTACTTTTGATATGAAGAGATTGGTTTGGGAGTGGTGTCCTTATTTCAAGATTATGGAGGGAGGACTTGGATGGGAGGTAAATACGTGGGCAAGAGGTGAAGTCAAAACTCGGTAAACATGAGCTTCACCAAAAGAGGTATTTGGTTGGTATGCAAAAGGCGTGAGTAGTGAACAGTCAAGGGGATAGTGAATTTCAACCTGGAAGCCATGATACTTCTGATTAGTAAACAAATCCACGAGAGCAGTGAATAGTGAATGCCTAAACCAAAATAGTGAATTGAAAGTGATGCTACGATCCTGAAGATTAGATTCAAGCACTCGGCAACAGTTTACGACCTCACTTTGCGAAGATCTACCTCACACAACCATCAAGAGCCTATCGTTCTCTATCAGTTTACGAAACTCAAGGAACTTGACCTGAATCTCTTGAATCCTTTTGGTATAACCGTCCTCACTTCATGAAGATTTCCCCCTCAAAACTACAAGGTGTTCCAAATCATTCTCCAAAAGTGTATACAGCTCTGATGAACTTGGCTTTCTTGTTCTTTTATGTCCTGTTAGTATAATCCTCCTCAAATCACAAAATTCTACCACTCCCAACCATCAAACGATCCAACCCATTTCCCACCAGTCCATGAAATTCCCAGGAACTTGACCTGAATCTCTTGACTCCTTTTCGTATAATCCTCCTCACATTACGTACATCAACCCTCCACCACCATCAAGAGGCTAGAGCCTCAACTCATTCCCCACCAATCCATGAAACTCAAGAACTCAACCTAATCCTCTCCAATCTCCTCCAGTCCCTGTGTAACAACAAAACAACCCCAATGAACATGCAAAAAATGCAAAGCAAAGGCTTTTAAAATTGTTCAACTGTATTTGGATCACGCAACAGAAAACAGAGATACGTGTAATGACAATTTGAATACTGAAGCGCATGAGATGATGAATACCAGACGTCCAAGGTCGTTTACCGGTTGAAATTGCTATATACTTGAGAATGATGAATCGATGGTGGCTGATCAAGGCGGGACATCATTCGCTCGGTGGACTTGTGGAGGCATCCTGTACATTGGTACTCCGCTTGGAGTTTTGACAACAGCAAGAGCCCACCATAAGGTTGAGAGTTTTGAAAAGAAAAGAAAAAGAAAAAAAGAAAAACAATCAGGATATGATCAGAAAACAAAGTTGGTTCTGGCGTTGTGACACTCTTACCCTTAAAAGAAAGTTTCTTTGATGTTTTACTGCACTTCACAGAATTCTGGCAGGATTGAATTCAGAATTATCAATCCATCTTGGCTTTGGTTTTAGAAGGTGGAGCGGAAGTTTTTGAGTATCGGTATGCTTGAAAATTTGTGAGTTGGGCGTGGTTGCTATGCACCTATGATGATATCGAAATGCGAGTAGCACTTTCAACATGTCATTTTTCACACGGGCAAAATTGCAGAGGCTTCTTGAGATTGCATTGATATTGCTCATCTATCGAAGCTGCCTGACCATCCCAACACTTTGGCGAACAGATGATCGTGGTTATGCATTCGTAAGAACAGACCGGAAAGTAACTCTCTAATCGAAGAGACCGAAACCCATGTCCTCGTCTGACTCTTCCTTGTCTGTCGAATTTGTTAGCACATGCGATCCAATTTCTTATCATCTGAGAAATGTACGTACCCTCAGGCTTCTCCTCTTCCTTAGCAGCCTCTGGGGCAGCCTCACCACCAGCACCACCGGCAGCTGGGGCACCAGCGGCGGCGGCACCACCACCGGATCCAACGTTCAAGAGGAGGTCCTTGACATCCTTACCCTCGAGAGCCTGTAATTCCATGTATCAGCAATGTTACTATTCAATTCCATCGCGCTGTTCGTACCTTGGCGAAAAGGGAAGTCCAGATTGGCTCGACGTCTTCGACACCGGCGGCCTTGATCAAGGTGAGGAGCTTGTCAGCCTGGAGAGAGAGTTAGCAATGTGCGTTTTCATAGATAGTGTCCTCATCACAAAATCACAAAGCCTTCAGATGCGCCATCGTCTGCGACTGGACAATTGAGGAGCTGGGGAAAAGCGTACAGTGATATCAACACCATCATCGGCGAGGATGAGGGCTGCGTAAGAGACAGCGAGTTCGGCAGTGGACATTTTGAAGATTTGTGAAGTTCGTTTTTGGGATGAACAGGAGAATCAATCAATTTAACCGCGAGTTGGGCGGAGACTGAAACGACAAGTTCGGGTGGTTTGATTGTAGACGTTTTTTCTTGGTTGAGAGCACTGAATTTCGATGGATTTTAGACTGCCCGCTCGAACTTTGACCCTGGTTTGTGGGAAGACGCTCATTGGTCACCTTGCCGAGGGCGCACGTGCCAATCAAAGCCGATAAGCCCCGCTTTTGCCTTGCACCTTGGCGCCCTCACGCCTTCCCCGCCTTGCGTCTTTCGGAAGTGACGATCGCAAAGCGAGAAGTACATAGGTAGATTCCGTTTCCCATGACACCTGCACTCCGCTTGTAGTCGCATATCTCCCAACCCACCAGGCTCCATACACACCTCAGCACTGGCCTACATACCTACATCGCAACTGACTGCGGAAACGAATCGGAATCAGATCCAGAACCATACCAGGTTATTATCTAACAACACGCATCATACGATCAGATCAGAGAAACCCGTCAGTATGACGGATACACCTACTCTGCCTCCTCCCCTCGATCCAAGGGAACAACCCGTCCTGGATAACCTTCGCCAGTTACGAGACCAATTGAATCTGCTCAAGCAGGATCGTACAACCTATGTCAAGTCTTCCGATGTTATGCCACTGTATGAAAAAGTTGTTGCACAAGTAAAGGTGCTCAATGAACTGCGAGCCGATAAGCCAGATGAAGACAATCAAGGTTCGACCAGAATCGCTCGCGCATGCGATATTTTACTAACGATCTTACAACCAGTGGACCGAGTTCTAGATGGATGCTTTCAGCTGTTATCACTCTTCTTTATGACGATCGGCAAAAATAATGAAGCTCCTGCGGCATACGCTTTAACATCTACCATAAAGCGACTATTGGATCATCTTACGGAAGTCAACCTTTATACGGAAAAGGACACAGCCCATTGTTCTACTGTTCTCGAGAAACTTCGCGAAATAGTCAAAACAGATTCAACTCACGAGCCAAACTTTCTCAAACTCCTCTCAAATAGAATCGAAGTATGCCAGTTAGCTTTAACAAATCTGCAGAACCGGGCTCCTCGGCTTGGTGGAGATCTGCCAGCTATACATGAAAAGTTGATATCAATTATGCGGTCTATGTCTTCTGCAAATACCAAAACCAAGGTAGGCATTTTCAGCACGGCTAGTGTTATGACTAATACTTGCGTTCGATAGTTTTCCACTACCGAAGTTGAGAAATTGCAAGCCCAGATGAAGGAGCTCGATGCACAAAGGGTAGACGGAAAGTTTGTTACAGAAAGTGGCGAAGTACCTGAGGGGAATGAAGGAGTCTGCGCTCTCCTGGAAAAGGCTCTTAAGTGGTCTGAAATTGTGTTGGAATGGTACGTGTTTGCATCGGGAGGACCTCCTCATACATTACTGATTTCAACAGGAAAGGAGTTTTTCCCGAAGCTTTCCGATCAACCTACGAAACACTGATCGAGATTCGAAACAAATTAGAAAAATTGTCTCTCACACAAGCCTGGTCACTGCGAGAGACAGATTTATACGATTTTCAGAGGCAGTTGGATAGAATTGACGAGAGTCGAATAAATGGTAATTTCCAAGATGCCAATGGAAATTTCGCGGAGCTTTATGTTCAGAGGGTTTGTTTTGGTCTTTGAAATAATTTGGGAATACGCTAACATACAAAAGACGCTTCTCTATCTCATTCGACGAAGTTATGCTTATATATATCTCTTGATGGTGTCTTCAGAACCTGTTTCGGAAGCACTTTTACCAGTCTACAACCAACTCCAGACGCTAAGACGATGTCTTCTCGAGGTCAAGAACTCTGGAGGTGTTAGCTCGCCGAGGGAGTTGTATCCTTATAGCATGAAGGTAGGTCGATATTTAGGAGTCCGAGTGGTTCATGTACTTACTGTCTCGCCTAGCTCAATTCTATCGACAACATGCGTGTGGATGGGAAATTTATGGTTGGTAAAGAAATCCCGGAGGGACAAGGGAGTGTAATTGAACTGTTATCCGAATGTTTCGAGCTCAATTATGAGCTCCGGATTGCAGCAGAAACGGAAACAGAAGAGTGATTTGAGAGGGTTATTATGGCGTTTGGCAATTACATTGGCAGGCGTTAGTGGTATTTCGACTTTGGGAATTTCGGATGGTTCCAAGGCTGTACAATACCAATGTGAATAGGGGAACAGGGTGATAGGATAGTCACTGATAAATTGAAGAACTAATTTGTTCTTAGGACAGGAGACCTCGATCGGGAGGGTGATCCGATCAGATATCCAGTATGAAGTCTTTAGCACTTTGGTAGACAACGGAAGCAATTCAGAATGTGGACGTTCTATGGAATATAATGCAATGTTTGTACATAAGCAGCTTGCTACCTAAGCTTTTTTATTTGACAAACTGGGATGACTTTGACAAGGGTTGACTCTTTTTCCCGCAAAGGGAAGAATTACTTCATTTACTGGGCTGTTATCCCCTCAGCTGCGGCCAGGAGCTCCGTGAATTGTCGCTTGCAGGGGGTGGAACATCAACTTTTTCAACATCTTTATTTACTTATTAGAGACCCCCCATAATACTAAAAGATATTTAACAAGATATAAAAGATCCAGTTACTCGTAGTCTATACATTCTACTATCAAATTAACCCGGAAAACGTATTAAGGCTATAATAGTACTAGTACTAGTTTATACTAGATAGTACGCTCTAAAAAGGAGTACATTAGACTTGATTACTATTAAAAGTACAAGAGTGAGAGTTCTACAGTAAACCTACTACGCTTATAACAGATATATCAATTATGTTTATAAAAGAAGGCCGTTGTCTTATAGTTTTTGCCAAATATAGTCAAAACTGCTTTAAATACAGGGTCCTATTGGATCGCTTAGCACTCTTGGCACTACGCTTGGGCTACGGAGCTCCTGGCCGCAGCTAAGGGGATAAAACCCCCAAGGTTGCCGAGTTGTGGTGGGGGCAAGCATACACCCCAACAAATCCGCCGAAATGCCGACGCGACGTGACCAGCCGCTGCGCGTGCAAGTCTAAAAGCTCTTAAAGTTAACCAACCACTTCCCAAAATCCTCCTCCTCACAACACCAAACAGCATCAACAAACCTGCCCCCGGAAAAAAGACACAAGATGTTCAGCATGCTACCACCCACACCCGCACACCACACCTTCAATCTAAACCACACCTATCAATTCTCCCCCGTCGTCTCCTCGCCTCTCTCCTCGTCTCCTCTCCGCTCCTCGCCCACGCCTTCCCCGCTCAGTCCTAGAGATGCGAATGCGCAGGTCTACGATTTCAATTACCATCCCAATAATACCACCGAGAAAATAATGACGTCTCCAACGCCCCTTTCAAAACCCAATTCTTCGGCCTCGAAAACAAACTCGCGTACACAACACGTTCCTAACATCAACCTCCCCTCGCCTCCGCCGTCGCGTGGGGAGAGAGAAAGAGAGAAGAAAGAGAGCGTCTTCGCGAAGCGGGCGAGTAAACCGAATCCATTACTCCATGGAAGGAGAGAGGGTGATGAAGGGAGGGAGACGAGGCGGAAGTTATTTTTGAAGAGGGTTCGTGATGGGGCGGAGGAGAAGAGGTGGAGGGATAGAGGTGGTGATGAGGAGATTATGAGGGTGCTGTGGATGGGGGAGGAGAGGGAGAGGAGGAGGAGGGTGGAGGTGGCTATTGCGAGGCAGGTTGGTGGGGAGGGTGTGCTTGATGAGGAGGATGTTGATTTTGGTATGTTTTTATGCGCGAGTGATGATGGGGTGTGGCTAATTGTGGATAGATGAGATGATGGCTGAGGAGGTTGCGATGACTGAGGAGGCGGAGTTGGAGGCTAGATTGGGGGATGCGTTGCCGCAGAGTCAGGAGTCGAATCGTGTCAATGAGTGTCAATCCTCGCAAGAATTTCGAATGGATCAAGACCAGGAGACAAGCTTTGGAAGCGATGACGACGAGTATGATCACATTTTTATGGATGTCGCCAAGGCTGAGGAGGGAAACTCGAATCAGCAAACACACGACCCTGCCTATTTACAATTTGACCAGGACCATGAGATGATGGATATGAGCTGATTCTCTGTCTCAGATCATTTATCTTGAGTGGATTGGAGCACGTCTTTTGTAATTGTTCTGTATTTAGCGATGGAGTTTTGGGAACCGCAGCGTCTATTATAATGCGCTTGCGAGGGAATTGGTTGGCGTTTTGGGCAAGATCACTGTGGTCACTATACTTTTGATCATAGAGTACGGGAACAGATGGGTACTCGTTTATTTATTGTGTTGGGCAACCTTCAGGCGCCCCAAAGGCCTCTTGGGCGGCTGCCATATCTCCCACGAGATCCGGAGGCGGAGAGCCAGCGGCTTGCATCTGCAAGAAATTATTAGTATAGTAATTGAATTTGCGGAAGTACAAGAATGAAATACCTTCTGCATCCTATCCACGATATATTCTCTGTCGGCTACATTGTCATCACTGTAGCCTTTCTTCTCAAAACGACCTACAATTTCTCTGACATAAACCTGTTGCTCCTTATACCTCTTCAAATCGTCCTTGTCAGCTTTTGAAGCATTGCTTTCCAACCATGAAGGGTATTTATCATCCAACTCCTTCATTGGCTCGTAAAGAATTTCCTTGTGGGTCAATTGCTCCATCATGCCTAGCAGCATTTTCGACAAATCTTCCTCGCTCCCTTCTCCATCCAAACCCGAAGCTTGCATCGCCTTCATCATTTCCGCCAACATATCATCCCCGGATTCTTCAGTTGCAGCAGCAGTGGCTTGATCCCCCGAGGCGCGCAAACGTTCCATGTTCTTCTTGATCGTTTCTTGGAATGATTCTTCTGTAGCAGCTGCTGCCAAACCTGCCTTTGCCTTTTCCTTGGATGCTGGTTGAGATGCGTCTTTTGCGCTTTCGCCTGTCACTCCTTCTGCCCCGCCAAGTTCCTTCATCAATGCTTCAAATTGCGCCTGCATGTCTCCTGATGTTCCTCCGAGCCCCCCTAGAAGATCCGCCATGCCTTCTTGTAATTGTTTTGCGAATTCATCATCAGATACCCCCTCTGCTCCTAAGCTTGCTGGGTCCGCGGTTGGTATTGGTGGTTTGCTGGTGACTGCAGGTCCGGCTAGTTTAGGCTCTGGTATGGCTGGGACAAATTCATCTAGCATGTCTGGGATCTTTTGTTAGCTGATACTAGAACTTCAAAGAAGCGGTGGTCTTGCCATCTAAGTCATCTAGATCATCTTCATCTGGGTCTGGAAATGACTCTGCTGGTGGTGGGGCAGTGGGTTGAGAAGAAGAGTTGTCTGTGGTTTTAGACTGTGACTCTGGCTGCTTAATAGCTGGGGAAGCATCCGTAGGATTCTTCACATCCTCTGTCTTCACCTCCTCTGTCTTGGTGTCCATGACTGTAGTGTTGTTGGTAGTTTTCTCGTGAAAGGGCGAGAGCTTGTGACAGTACCACTGTACTTGTAGCGCGGGGTTGTGATGCCAATGCTTTGACTCTTGTGTACGAGTACTCGGGAACGGAAAGACAGTATTCAAGAAACTCTAAAGCTTCTTTGTCGCGCAGGGCAAATAAATCAACCCCTCAGCCACTCTGCGTCAGAAAAATTAATACTTAAGGTTTAAGAGGGTGCTAGGAAAAAGGTGTGGTCTGCAGTGGAATATTCTGGCTAAGGCCGAGGCACTTAATCACCACCCCTGCTCACTCACTTTCTACCCAGCGCTCTGGGCTCACTTCACTTCTCGAGGCTCAAGAACTTCCAACGATCTTCAGCCTTCTCTCCACAATACAACAACATAACAACACAACAACAAGCTCAACCAACATCAACCACAAGCATGGCGCTCTGCCAGAACCGACTGCAAGAGGAACGCAAGCAATGGCGTCGAGATCACCCCTTCGGATTTTATGCAAAGCCACAGCGCAACGCTGCAGGTACTCTTGATCTCAAAACATGGGAGTGTGGTATCCCGGGCAAGGAGAAGACATTATGGGAGGGAGGACTATTCAAGTTGAGCGTCGTATTTCCTGAAGGTGAGGACACTCGACGATGGGGCCCAAGTCAAACATACTAATTCACGTTGCAGAGTACCCGACCAAGCCACCCAAATGTATGCGCCCGCCCATCTTGTGAGTTGCGATAGCTAATCACCGCAGGTAAATTCACGCCGCCTCTTTTTCACCCGAACGTTTATCCATCTGGTACCGTCTGCCTTTCGATTCTGAACGAAGAGGAGGGCTGGAAGCCAGCGATCACCATTAAACAAATTCTTCTCGGAGTCCAAGATCTCCTCGACGACCCAAATCCAGAGTCTCCAGCCCAAGCCGATGCATACAACCTATTCAAGAAGGACCGACAGGCATATGAGCAAAAAGTGAAGAAGATCGTTCGTGAGAACCCGGCTCCATGAAAGGTCAACGAAGAATGAGGATTTGCATTTGGGCGCACAGAATCACGATCACCAGAGGCGTTTAACGGGGATTGCGACAGAGATATTTATTGATTTCGAATGGGGGACGGAACATAGCTTTACCTATGGTAGATCAGCTGCGATGCGAAAATGGTAACACGAACTTCCAACTTCATCTTTCCAATGTTGCAAACGGAGTATACAAAACAATTGTTGATGCCATAACAAGCCATCAGATTGTTTGCAATACCCCGCTATCTGATTTGCAGAACACCTTGCAAGTACGCGGTTCCAACTCAAGGAGTGGGTTTTGCAGAGATACACAGGCTTTGCTGAAGTCACAGATGCCCTTTTCCATGGAAGTGTGTAAAATGTGAAGATAATTGTATTTGTTCCATGGACAAAAGTATGTCCTAGGTGGAGCACTTCAGCTTCGAGTCATATAATATGTGCAAGAGAATTTATAAGGTCTCCCCTTCATTCGTATAGGGTTCAGAGTAGGTACCATTTTAGGTTTCTTTTCTTTTCAACTGGAATTGTCTGGAACAATCCCAAAGTATGGTACAAGTTTGCCATGACTCTTCCTACCCTGAGTCGTAGAATTTATGACGGTCAGCCCCAGTCTTATCAGGGTCCCGATGTCGGCCCGTCAACCCCACCACCAAAATAAATTCCATACATGAAGCCCCTCGAAAGAGTCATATCTCAGAACACCCAAACATCAGTCTCCGTAGGGATATTGAGGAACCAATTCCTCTTTTAAAAGTCGCTCCTTTTGAACATACATCCCCCAAACGCTTCCATACTTTCTTCGAGCAATTCAATTGCCCATCTACAGAACTCTGCCTCGTCCCAAATTTCACCGCCCCCACCACCAAGATGTGTGGTATCGTGGGTTGTCACCATGTGCCAGACGCAAAGGCATTCAAGCCTACGGCTCTGAAGATGGCCAAGCAATGTCGGCATCGTGGTCCGGATTGGTCGGGAAGCTACATGGCAAACAACACCAGTCAGTCATTTATCAACACTTGAAGTAACTCTTACTGATCCTTCTCAGTCCTTGCCCACGAACGATTGAGTATTGTCGGTGTTGAGAGTGGAGCGCAACCGTTGACCAACGCGGACCAATCCATTGCTTTGGCAGTCAATGGCGAAATCTATAACCACAGATTAGTTCGCAAGAACCTTGAGACACCTTATCACTTCAAGACACACTCCGACTGCGAAGTTATCATCCCTCTGGTGAGAGGCTCCGTCACATCATTCAGATACTCAGTTTTGGGGCTAATGTTGGAGTAGTATATGAAATATGGCGTCGATGCACCAAAACACCTCGATGGCATGTTCTCGTTTGTGTTGTATGACAAGGAGCAAGATAGAGTTATTGCAGCACGAGACCCAATTGGGATTACCAGCTTCTACCAAGGACGGTCGAGCACGATGCCAGGAGCGGTCTTTTTTGCCTCGGAACTGAAATGTTTAGTCGGTGTATGCGACAAGATTGTGGCATTTCCTCCAGGCCATGTTTATGACTCAAAAACCGATAAAGTCACCAGATATTTCGAGCCTTCTTGGTGGGATGCAGAAAAAGTACCTACTACACCAGTGGACTTGAAGAAAGTCCGAGAAAGTTTGGAGAAGTCGGTCCGAAAGCGGTTGATGGCAGAGGTTCCATATGGAGTGTTGTTGTCTGGTGGATTGGATTCTAGTTTGGTCGCATCCATTGCCCAACGAGAAACTCTTCGTCTGAAGGCTGCGGCTCAAGAGCAGATTGATAATGGGCAAGCCGAAAAGCCTCTAGATGAAGACCATGGAGAGGGTCTTGTTGGAATTGACGATGACAACAAGTTGTCCACCCTGACATATCTTCCACAACTCAACTCCTTCTCCATTGGATTACCTGGAGCTCCGGATACTCAGGCTGCACTTAAGGTTGCAAAATACCTTGGAACCAAGCACCACGACATGACTTTCGAAATTGAAGATGGCTTGAACGCTTTGTCCGATGTCATTTACCACTTGGAGACATACGATGTAACCACGATCCGTGCTTCTACCCCCATGTTTTTGCTTTCCAGAAAAATCAAAGCTATGGGTGTCAAGATGGTATTGAGTGGGGAGGGAGCTGATGAAATCTTCGGTGGGTATCTGTACTTCCATGCCGCACCAGATAGCAATGCTTTCCACGCAGAGACCGTTGCCAGAGTGAAAAACTTGCATGTTGCGGATTGCTTGAGAGCAAACAAGTCTACATCGGCATGGGGTCTGGAAGCTCGTGTTCCATTCTTGGATAAAGAGGTGAGAATATCCATATGGATAAATGAGGACATAGCTAATGATCAACACAGTTTTTGGAAACCACGATGAACATCGATCCTCAAGATAAGATGATCACCAAAGAGAAGATTGAAAAGCACATTCTTCGTTCGGCCTTCGATACCAAGAATGAGCCTGGTGCTAAACCATACTTGCCAGACGAAATTCTCTGGAGACAAAAGGAGCAATTCAGTGACGGAGTCGGTTACGGATGGATTGATGCCCTCAAGGACAACGCCGAGCTCCACGTTACTGATGAGATGATGAAGAACCCAAAGCCCGAATGGGGAACTGATATTCCAGATACAAAAGAAGCGTAAGTGCAGAAAGTCTCGCTAAAACTGAAAATGCTAACGAAATCAAGATACTGGTACCGAACAATGTTCGATGAGCACTTCCCACCATACTGCGCCGAGAGTGTGGTAAGATGGGTACCCACCTGGTCAAAACAGACCGATCCCAGCGGAAGGTAAGCGAGAAGTGTAGAGTCGAGCTTTGAACCGTCGAGCTAACCACTAAATAAAATAGGGCCATCTCAATCCACAACAAAAAGTACGACGACGTCAAGACCAAGGAATAATGGAATCTTTCTCACCCACATTTCTCGACTTTTTTTCATTTGGGGGGCATGTAACTGGACCTTGGGGGAGATAGCGGAGTTTGCGTTGGCATAGATAGATGCAGTTTTTGTCTTTTTTGTACATAAGTTTCACCTAGAGTATTAAATTGATGATAGATTCCATTTCAATGATTTTGCTTATATATATATACTGTCCAAGTATAAATTGGAAATATACCTGGGTACGTCGTATAATTAGTTGTCCTTGGTATGTATAGTCTATCCCACTCCTTTCGGAACCCCGGCGGTGGCTGAGGATCTCCGTACTCGAGTATGCAAGGCGACCGACCATACAAGCTTGCACTTCCATGCTGCTTTTGTCATCGAACCCCTCGCTCGGTGAAGCGGCGCGGCAGGCATGGTGGAAGTGTGCAGATATGCATGTACCTATGCATGAGATAAAGCTCTTATCATCCATTACCTCATCGTGTTCATTGCGTTTGAGAGGTATCGTATCTTTACTGGTACAGTACTCGGATAAAGCACAGGAGTAAAGTATGGTTCTTTATACTGTCTGTATGATGTCCTGTAGTTCCCAGCGGTGCTGTATGGCTGGAAGATGGGGGTTTTTTATTACGAAATTATGATTATGGACGGGCGATGGGGTTGGGGTACTAGTGTGTAGTTGGATGGGTTGATGAGGAGGGATGGATGGAGGTATGGAAGGAGAGGAGGATTGATAATAGGAGTGGTGGGTGTTGCGTAAGTAGTACGATATGATGTGGTGCTTTATCTATGCAAGATGCCTCGCTGTTACTGTATAGTCCAGTCCAGTCCAATCCAGTTTAGCAGGCTAGGGAAGAGGTGAGCACTCGATCGATATGTACTATTATATCATCTTATTTCATATCCTCCAAACTTGGAACTAGGTGTCCTCCCTTATTCTGGGGAAGCTGACAAGCGGCCGTTTTTTCGTTTTCGTTTTTGTTTTTACATAATGAATATGGATGGATAGAGGAATGGGATTCCGGCGGCTGCTAGTAGGGAGATAGTAGATTGGAGTGTCTGTCACTACCGTCTGTCACTACGGACTAGTTCGTTGACTGTTTCGTGGATAACGGGATGACCTGGCTGGCTCCTTGGAAGACTATCCCCTACTTAGTGCCGTGGTCCAGGGGAAGATAGAGGGATGGTGTTCTTGGTTCTATCCTATAATATGGTGTCGTTGAGTTGAGGGATGCTGGTGCAGTGCCAGCGCAACGTGCCGTGCCTGCTTAAAGTATGGTGATGCCCACTGTTGGAGGACTCTACTCCCCTTCTCCTTCTCCCTGTTCTTTCCAATTGAAACTTCAATTGATTTTGTGACTTCGTTTTGTTCCACGTCGTAATCATGTTGATGAATTTCTTGACTGTGGCGAGCTTTGCTGCTGCGGCGTTGGCTCATGGGGATCATGAGAGTCAGGTTCCGATTGCTGGTCCTCATAAGGCGTTGTGGTATAATACCTTGCCTGGTGATGGGGGAACCCAGGTAGGTTTCTTTGGGTCTGTCGATGGTTTTGTAATCCAATTGACATTTATTCAGGCCGATTCGGTGTTTTCTGGGATCTCGACTTTTGGTCGGCTGCCTTACTTACCATGTCTGGCATCCGATGAAGTGAAGTATGATATTGCGTTCATCGGTATGTCCAAGCTTCGTTTTTGCTCCCGGGAATACTTGATATTGATAATGACTGTTTGCAGGAGCTCCATTCGATACAGGAACTTCGTATAGACCAGGGGCTCGTTTTGGCCCATCCGGAATCAGACAAGGTTCTCGACGCCTCAATCTCTAGTCAGTTTTTCCTCCAAACAGCATAGAAGCTGATTTCGTCCTTTGATCGGAAACACAGGCTCACGTAGAATGGGAATTAGCGGAGGGTATAATGTGCCGTTGGCGACGAACCCGTTTAATAGCTGGGCTACCATCTTGGATTGTGGAGATATTCCTGTGACTTCGTAAGCTATGGGTTTGTTGGGAATATGGAGAAGTGCTGATGGTGTGATTGCAGATATGATAACACCTGGGCTCTGACTCAAATCGAGGAAGGCCATCATTCGATTCTTACTCGCAACCCTGCTACGGATGCGAAGAAGAAAGGGCCCGCGAAGAATGATAAGACTCTTCCTCGGGTTATCACACTTGGTGGAGACCATACTATCACACTGCCGTTGCTGCGTTCCATCAATCGTGCGTACGGTCCCGTTTCAGTCATCCACTTCGATTCCCATCTCGATACCTGGAAACCAAAGGTATTCGGAGGTTCCCCAAGCAAAGTGGCGAGTATCAACCATGGTACCTACTTTTACCACGCTGCACAAGAAGGTCTTCTTGCAAACGATAGTAACATCCATGCTGGAATCCGAACCACTCTAAGTGGACCAAGTGATTATGAGAATGACGGGTACTGTGGATTTGAAATCGTGGAGGCGAGAGAGATTGATACCATCGGTATGGAAGGTATCATCAAGAAGATTCATGATAGGGTTGGTACTACCAAGCCCGTCTACCTCTCCATCGATATCGATACCTTGGATCCAGCATGTAAGTACAACATACCCACCCATCGCTTGAATTTCTGCACTGTGCTGCAACACACCTCGGAAGCAAGCTAATACGGGATCGCATAGTTGCACCTGCAACTGGTACACCAGAAACCGGCGGGTGGTCAACTCGTGAACTTCGTACGATTCTGAGAGGCTTGGAGGGTATCAACCTTATTGCTGCGGATATCGTGGAGGTTGCACCGGCTTACGATACAAATGCTGAACATACCACGATGGCTGCTGCGGATGCTTTGTATGAGGTTATGAGTTTGATGGTTAAGAAGGGGCCGTTGAGTAATATGGTGAAGAGTGAGGAGGAGGGGAGAGATGAGATGTAGAAACATAAGGGAGTAGGTAATGAATTGGGGAAATGTTTATATAGAGATAATGAGTGAGAAGGAAAGGGCGGATTTTCGCATGTTGCAGTTGGGAAACAAGGGGGTTTAGTGAGATGTATCGGGGTGATGGTTGCACATTGCCATCAGGGTGTTTGTGATAGGACACTTTATGGTTCCCGAGTTCGGGGACCACGAAGATCTCCCGGGGTCACGTTCAGGCCTTATCCAGAATCCGACATACTTCTCCGTATTAAGAGCAGGGTCGGATCCTTCGTGATCAACAATAATCATTGTATTTACAAACTTTGTTCTTGAAAAGTGTCTAGTCTCGAGACTCCAAATAACTGAGTACTGGGCATGAAGGGGCAAGAAGGCCTTTCCGTCATAAGCTGAATAAGCTTTTATACGTGTATGAATAACAAAACAAAACAAAACAAAGATATTTCCCCTGAATCCGACTTGTTTTCCGTGCCCCACCCGCTAAAATAGCGTATTCGCTTAATAGTACTGTATTTTACTGACCACGATTCGCTACTGCATTGCACAGTCCCATTATTCCAAAGCTGACTTTCGCATCGCTGCGCCTCCATGCAAGCCAGGTGTGGTGGTGAGGGAGTTCCTGACGGAATCAATCAGCAACCAGTGATTCAGCCCGTCACATCGTGCTGCATGTATCTGCACTGCTGCGGTAAATCCGCTAAGACGATGCCTGTCTTATTCTCTCTCGTCTCAGCTCTGATTTCTTTGCCTGTTTTCCTTTCTGTTTGAAATAATTCGCAATCTTATCTCTTGGGAAGTCTTATTATATAGCCGTTGCCACCAAGATCATTGTGTATTCAACGGACCCTCGTCCAGTACTTTGTTGATTTTCAACCATCCTACCTAAGAATCAGAACGCTCAAGATGGCTTTTCCGTTTACCATATCGGGCAGCGGTCCCTATGTTGGCTTCTCTCGTCCATCCTTTCCCATGACCCCTCCAATATCTTCACCTACTCCAATATCCTCACCTACTCCTACATACTCATCTACTCCCACATACTCGCCCACCTCAATTTTCATCTCGCAATCGAGCAGTATTTCGGTAGATGATCCAGAGGATCATCATGGTCGTGGTGTATGGAAAAGTCTCCCTGACGGTGCTCAAGCCGCGATCTTAGTAATCATCGTGGTTAGTGTCCTGATTATAATCTCGTTTTCCGCCTGGTTCTGTTGCGGATGTTGCGGATTTCGGCGGTCTAGACGGAGAAGAAGGCCACAAAGCAGATCAAAAGACATAGCTCAAACCCCGAACGCCGGCAACGGAAGTGCTGTGCCATTACATGCGGTCAACAATCAGGGACCGCAAACCGGATTCAACGAAATGCCAGTTGTAGAAGCATCTCCACCCGCATACGAAGAGTCGGTGCCGCCACGGCATTCGAGAATTGCTGGCGGTATATCAACTACGAGCGATGAGACCGAGGGGGTGATTTCGGATGGCAAAATACCTCTAAGTGAGATACCATTCGAGGACGTCAGACTTGACGAACACAGCACTGGATCCTCTTCAAGTCATACATTCGAGCAAGCTCATCATGATCTGGGACCAGGCCAAAGGCACCTTGATTTGGGAGGAGATGCTCGCTTACAGAGGCATTTCGAGATGGGTGGGGATACTCGAGGACATACGAATTCGTGAAATTGGGCATGGCCACGAAGATAATTTTGGGACGGAGGAATACGTGTGAACTACATAAGAATTTCGGTTTAATAACAGCATGAGAATCCCGATCTCCAAAAGTACAGAGGCTACATGGAAACAGATCAAATTGAACGACCGAGCTGTTCGCGCCGAGGATCAGGATGATGCATTAACAACGAGGTTGTATTTCGGGCAGGGCCCATGTGGAAAGAACATGAGGCAATACCTACGAGAATTCGAGGGCCACCAGCGATATCTGGGCCCCAAGGACATTTGGAGAAGGAAAGGGACAGTGGGATATGGCATAACGATGAAGAAGGACAAAGGGGAATGTACCACGATCAGGATTCAGTCATATGATCGATAATGTTTATTTTGAAGCAAATCAACTGCAACCATTATCTATTTTCCCATCATATTATCGTGTAGCATGAGACATGCAATCTGATGCTCACAGAGATCTTCATTCGCAATCTGTAATTTTTTACGATGGTCGGTGTTCAACGAATTGAGGCTTAGACATCCGGTACGCCGCAAACAGTGAGCTGACAACTGTTTGTAGTCCCCAAGGCACCTCTCGCCTAGGTGGAGTAGGGTTACAACGCGAGATTTTCGAGATTAGGGTGACGCGTTCACAGCATACCTGCCTTATTTGGCCATTATTCTCGTTTTGTTCTTGAGGCTCAGCAATGAGCTTACGCGGTTTACCGTTTCCAGCCAAGTTTACCCGCTGAGGTGCCAACTTCCATTCGCTTCATTGTCAAGTTCGTTCTCGAAACATGTGGCTCTGTTTTTTTCTGTCGTATCTCGTAAAATATTGTAAAACTTTAATTTCTAGCGCCGGGTCGCTTTCTACCAGGGTCCTTGCTTTGTGGGACACCTATCATGTCACCGCTACAACGACAATACAATCGAATCAAGAATTCATGACACACTCGATCGATCTCTCAGAGACCGACTGTTTTTTGTTCGATATTTTGCAGATATCAAGACATCGAGTTAAAGATATTAGTCAACTCGAAAGCGCAGAATTTCGTTAAGATGGCCATGTACAACCACCCTGTTATCTCGGTGTTATTGCAATCTCGCGGAATATGACCTCGAGATCTTCGCGCCACAAAAGTCCACTACGTACAGCGAACCCCAAGACCAAAAGACAACTTCGTTCCTCAAGGTGCAACAAGCTTAAGATTGTAATTGCCGATTTAAAGCCATCGGGTTTGCATTGCATGTAGAAAGCCACGATGTGATGTGGACATGCATGCGGAAGATACAGTCATTAAAGAGGGGAAATGCAAGACAAACAAGTGTTACGTACTTTGATCTGTATAGCTACGGGAAAAAGTTATGTAAAGTATGATTTCCCATTGGAATTCTGCGATTGAGTTTTAGTCCTCCTTGCTCCTGTTTTGCCTTTCGAGATGTTTCTTCGGTGGTACTCGAGCAAGTTCCTCCTATTTTCCATACCCCTCCTTTTCAATCCCTCGAATGCAACACCAGTTGCCCCCGTCCAAAATGGGACCTGTAGAACGACAAAAGTAGCAGTTCTAGGTGCGGGTATGGCAGGAATAGCAGCCGCCCAAGCTCTACATAATGCCTCTATCTCCGACTTTTTGATCATCGACGTGAACGATTACATTGGTGGCAGAGTAAAACATACCACCTTTGGCAAGAATCCCGCAACAGGCGAACCATTCGTCGTCGAATTAGGAGCAAACTGGATCCAAGGCCTTGGATCACCTGGAGGGCCGGAAAATCCGATTTGGACGCTTGTGAAGAAATGGGGGGTTCGGAGTGAATATTCCAATTTCTCGAGGATTGAAACTTTTGATGAGAATGGAGCGGCGGATTATATGGACCAGATGGATGTCTATGATAAGTCGTATGTGACAGCGGAACAGGATGCGGGGAGAATCTTGATTCAAAATCGGCAGGATAGGACGATGAGGACGGGGTTGAGTATTGCGGATTGGAAGCCCAAGAAGGATATGAAGGCCCAGGCTATTGAGTGGTGGAAGTTTGATTGGGAGTTTGCTTATGCGCCGGAACTTTCGAGTCAGACTTTTACTACTGTGGTATGTGTTTCCCCCCCCTTCTTTTGTGTTTGAGACATTTGATAATAACTTAATATAGGCTTACAACAGCACCTTCTATCAGTTCAGTGACGAAAACAGCTTCGTTATTGATCAGAGAGGGTATAACTACTTTATCGAGTCCGAAGCATACACTTTCCTTCAACCAAATGATCCCCGTCTTCTTCTATCCAAAAATGTCACCTCCATCACCTACTCACCCAGATCTGTGACCGTCTCCCTCTCTGATGGTTCATGTGTGACCGCCGAATACGCAATATGCACCTTCTCCCTAGGCGTCCTCCAAAACGACGTAGTAGCCTTCGACCCCCCTCTCCCAGCGTGGAAACAGGAAGGCATAGAAGGAATGGAAATGGGAACCTACACCAAAATCTTCCTGCAATTCCCACCTGCTGCCGACGGTTCCTTCTTCTGGGAACACGGCCCCTTAGCCGGAACAGAGTATTTCCTGTACGCCGACCCCACCGAGCGAGGTTGGTATCCCGTCTGGCAATCGCTTACACCCCCTGGTTTTATCCCCGGTTCTGGGATTTTCTTTGTGACGGTCGTTTACGCGCAGAGTTATATTGTGGAGGCACAGGATGATGAGACGACGAAGAGAGAGGTGATGGATGTTTTGAGGAGGATGTTTGGAGAGGGGATTCCGGAGCCGCTGGATTTTATGTATCCGCGCTGGAGCTTGGAGCCTTGGGTTTATGGGAGTTTCTCGAATTGGCCTCCCGGGTTGAGCTTGGAGACGCATCAGAATTTCCGGGCGAATCTGGGAAGGTTGTGGTTTGCGGGAGAGGCTACGAGTGTGGGATACTTTGGCTGGGTTCATGGTATGTCTGGCCTTTTTTTTATTTCTTTGATTTCGAGGGTTATGACTGACGTTTTTCGAACAGGTGCATATACGGAAGGCCAAATGGCTGCTAATACGATTGCGGGATGTCTGACGGGAAACAGCACAATTTGCAGGAACAGAGCTTCGTATGAGACAATTCGTGGATGTACGACTGGTGATAGGATGATGACGCCGGTGAACGGGTTTACTGTTGATACTATGCAGACTTGGGGATATGGTGATTGAGTTTTGAATTTAGCTACGAGAATCAAACATGGCAATTAGTCAATAATGTATAAGAGGTCGTAGTATAGCTTGGTTCCTGGAATAGAGGGATCTTGATTTATGACCTATTTTTGTATCAGACCTCGATGACGCGATAACCATATCAAATTCTTTATCATGTTATGTGTAGCTTTTTACCCTTCCAATGATTCTGCGGAGCAAAAAAGGCAGTTGCTAGCCTCATATCAGCGTAACTCGATCCAAGAAATAAAACCATGCTAACACTCTCAAGGTACCAAGATGAGTAACTAAAGACCTAGTATACTCAGATCAACCGCTGCTAGAAAAGGCTTGGAAAAATGATACTTGGTATGTGGTTATTAGTCATAATGGACTTATCGTTTGTGTAAAGTTGTTGGGCGCGATTTGTAGGATCGATTGGGAAGGCTCGATTTGATTTACGTGATTATTTTACAAAATCAGTATAGTGAGCGAGACGTGAAGTGGTTGCGTGTCTGTTGCGAATGTGCCGTAACTTGAGCCCCTTTTCCTCGCTTATGGTCTTTACATTACATCCACCAGCATCTTCGGTGGTAGAAGCTTTAGCGTGCACATACTCCGCTGTGTTGAATTGGGATGGAAGGACTGGTCAACCGAGATTTATGTCCTTGCTTTACAAGGGGGGTTTCAGAAACTATTCGTGAATGTCTGAAAGATTGTCAAGTAACATACTTTGAGATGTGGATCTGCGTAAGATCTGGCGGTAGCATGGCCGATGAAACCCTTCTAAATATTTTCGTTAAATTCTTAGAAACTTTGTGTCATGGGACTATTGTGAGAAGTGATAGGCGAGTCTAAAGTATTATATTGCAATGTATAGGACGTAGAATTTGATTTGGTTGGAGACGTGGTTATTACTCTGTATACATGGAGGTTTGAACTAATCTCTTGTGTCAGCGTATACGAGGAATAAGCGTATCGGACGTCTAATCCACGTATTAGATTATAAGTTTTATAAGCGTATTTCGGACAAATTTAATTAAACCGACCTATACTCCTAGGTTGTAACGAGTTTATAGATACTATAGAGGAGTAAAAGTAGGAGAAAGATATAGCTAATAATACCCGAGTTATTAAAAGAACTAAGGCCCCTAGGGCTAAAAAGGATAAAAAAGTAGGTCGGGGAGTAAGGATAAAAAAAGGGGGGGCGGTAGTAGTACTCGAAAAGGTGCTAGGAGACTTGAAAACGTAGCTCGAAAGTAGCTAGAAATATCCTTATATATATATTCCTATATATACATATACATATAATATTGAAGCAGTTCGGCGTACTTATACGTAGAATCAATTAAAAAATCAAAGTGTCGTCTAATACTCGTAATACTCGTATACGCTGGTACAATGGATCATGTGGAACACCCGAATGACCGATTTCAAGGCAGACGACAATCGCACTCTGTGTTGGGCAATATTTTATTGGAAGACAGTCCCCGGTCGTTTTCAGAACCAGTTATTGGAGTTGAAACCTTTATGGAAGGTGCATCTGGCCTCCTTTCGACTTCAGACAACGTGTCCGTACACCGGGAGAAATCTCCTCAAGGAATGCACAACTCTGTTCAGCAGTCACGATTTCCTCAGCAACAGTACTTCTCTACGCGAGTAAGCCTACGCATGCGCTTGGGTCCGCACTCAGCTACCAGGCCCTCTGAGAATGCTCAGTATGAATATCAAACGTACGGGCGTTGAGCCTAAGCCTAAGCATATCATGGCGGATGTCACAGCAGGCTCACCCTCCCGGTTGTATCTTTACCGTCAGAGACTCATGCCTGGCTCGTCTGCTAATGTTGCTGTTTGCTTCCAGGGACAAATACTATTGTCACCGTTCTTGTAGATGCATGTCCACTTGAGGACGGAGGAGACTGGATGTCTCAGATGATCATGGAAGTTATCTTCACTTCACCCACACACTCGACATGACTACGAGTAACTTGCAAAAACAGCTGCCGCCAAAGTTCTCGACCACTCACTCACGCTGAACGCACACAGGAGAAAAGTCGAGTGCCGGGTACTGTATAAAGCCTATATTGCGTCTTAAGGATTACGCAGGTAGATATCACCATAATGCAACAAACTTTTGGATAAATATAGCAGTTGTTCAAGATTGTTTGTCGATTTGTTTCATGGGAATGGTACGATGAAAACGTTCGAATTTCGTCATTACTAAGACGACACTTCACTTGGATAATCTCGTTTAGTGAAGCTGCTCGGCGGGGTGTACATTGCTATGATATGGTGCATTATCTTATACGATTCTTGAATGATAGTCGGGGTATTCGTTGGTTCTATTGGCATTTACTAGAGATACTGGAAAGGCACCCTATCTTTCTTGAAGTTACAGGAATAGAGGAGCAGTAGTAGGACACGAGAGAAGCAAATGACACACAAAATAGCAAAACTCCAAAAGTTTCTATTCTCCTACGCTAATGAAGAAACCTAAAAAAATGTGAAAAAAACCAATTGAATCGTATAAAGGAACTCCTACATATATTGCAAGCCGCTCTACTTTATCTCAACATTCCTCTCCTTACAATATTTCTTAACCTCCTTCCTCAAAGTCTCCCTCTGCAAAATCGTCGCATCCATAACATCCTCACACTCTCTACCCGACTTCTTCCCACTTCCCTCCCAAACCTCAACCATCCCATTCATCACAGCCTGCAACTGGTTTGGCAACCAAGTGACAATGGGACTTCCACCCGTAGCAACAGGATGACTTGTCTTCTTCAAAATATACTCACGAGTGAAGCACCAATGACGCCACCTGAAGTCACGAACCTGGTTCATGGCTAATAGGTAGAGAGCTGTGGATGAGGGGTCCTGAAGGGCGTAGGACTTGAGAGATACTTGGAGAGAACGATGTTTGACGTACTCGAGGAATTCTCGGTGGTTTCCTGGACGGTACGACCGGAAATCTTGGAGGATGGTGGTTAGTGGGGTGTCTGGCATGCTGATTTGAAGAAGGTTGTCGCAGAGAGGGATCTAGAAGATATTAGAAGGGCTTGACGGGAAGTTGCATATCACATGTGGACTTACCATGCTATCATTGGCACCAGATTCTCCACGAAATGAGAGTGGCTCTTCGGAAACACCTTCGTAGACTACACCATGTGGAAACATGGATTGACTAGTAATGCCAAAAATAAAAGTTCGGAAGGAAGTGTAGTCTCCTGGTTTACTCTTTCCCCACATCATTTCCATGACTTTGTTGACCTTGGTCATACTTGAAACAACTTTTTGCATGCCGACGTTGAATGCATCACGATCGCTGTTGTTACAGGCATCCAAAGCAGAGACGACACCATCAACCAGAGGGCCAGAATTCTGAACCATATCAACATGGACGAGAACAAACCCTGCCTCGGATGACTTTGGATCAAGTCCATGTTCAAATGCACGGATCAGTCGGAGGTTATCGTATTCTAGGCCGCGTTTAGGATCCTCGAGTCTATAGTTGAAGAGTGCATATGATCCAGCATATTCCATGAATGGTTTGAAGCCAGCGCTAGAATATGATGAGTTTAATGATAACATAAAACGGGAAAATGGATAGCTTACAGTTCAGCACACCTTGAGATTGGAAGTGAGATAACTGATGGAAGTGTTTGACGACCAAGACCATATGCTTCTCCTTTCATGAAACGTTCATGGCATGGCTCAAGCAGATAAGCTGAAGCTAAGAAAGAAAAGTCTCGATATAATGCATTCTGTAGGGGAAGGTTGTCTTGATATTTGTTGATGGCTGAGGTAAGATCAGGGAGTTCTTTGAGCACGGTCTCGCCAAGTGTTGATGTGGCAAGGAGACCTGGTGTACCATCAAGACACTTGATCGGCATACGAGAGAGAATGGACTCAAGTATGTCGAACTCAGCAGGAAGCTTGATAATAGGCTCTTGCCGAGGAAGAAAGCCACGAGTCGTTGACACCATGAACGCCGGGAGAGTAGTATCCTCTGGTTTTGTGTCTCGAAGAACCTCAAAAGAGGAGGAAGGGGCCATAGAACCCATTTTGATATGTGGGAAAAGATGTTTTGAAAGGGTGGGTTGAGTTGTTGAAGTTTGAGGATTTTGTGATGAAAAGAAGACAACGAGTTTTTGAGGTTTGTGGGAAAATTCTCTGCTTTTATCATCGCTCCAAGATGGCCGGAATAAAATCCGGCCACGAGCATCATTCCGGCCTCACACAATCCACCTGCTCTCTGACGAAGTTCTCATTGATAAGGCAAACCTATGAATGGTGGGTTCTCGTCACTTGAGGAGACTCCCAAGATACTGCGTGCGCATCGGAAGTATCTTGACACATCGTGAAGCCATACGCTTGTTAAAGTGTATACGGTGAAAACAAAGATCAAACAACAAAAACATTCCAAAGCAGCGTGGGAAAACGATCCAAAGAGCTGCTTTTATAAATCAGACACCAGGTATACGAATTCGGTCGTCTAAACAGAGCTTTGCCATTCTGATCATCTTCATCGAGCGAACCTTTGGTGTTCGTGTTTTGGTGAGTACGATGCAACAATGAACTGATGATATCCAGCAATGGCAATTACCCAATTACCCCAAACCCAAGCACAACCGTGGGCCTCTGATTGGCTGCGTGGCCGGAATACAACCGGCCTTTAGTCAGCATGGTGGTCTTCCAGGAGATAAGGAATGTTTTAGGGGATGCCAGGATCATCTAATCAATGATTGGCTCATGACCACTCTTTGCCCCAGTTTGATTAATTTAAGATTAACCATAAATCCCGTGACGATAAACTCTCCCCGCAATTTCTTTACCGCTTCAAGCTCATAAGCTTTCCGACTCTTTTCTAGGTGTCAAACTTACTTTGCACCCATACCTGCTATACGGTCCAAGTCGCCATTTCTCTGTCCATGGATTTCCATCTCTGCTCTCGATTAGAACAAACTCCTGCACCATTCTAGCAGTCACATATGCTGCTTCTGTGTTGACCAGCGTTTGAGCAGGGCAAGTCCTAGGACCTCCACCAAAGGGAATAAAATTCCAGTATGGTTTCAGACCATCCCACCTCTCCGGACAAAATTCTGCCGCATCAGGACCCCAAATATCTTTATCTTGGTGTAGACAATAAATGTTGAAGGAGATGTATTCTCCTTTACGGACAAGTAGTGGGGATTTTCCATCTGGTCCGCCACCTGTAGGGAGTACCGAATCGGCGAGAACACAGCGTGGGTTATTCTGTGAAACCAGATACATTCTATGGGTTTCATTGATTATCCATTGCAAGTACTTGATCGATTTCAAGAGCTCGAAGGTAAGTGGTTGATCTCCCACAGACAATACTTCCTCTCTTAGCTTCGACCATATGACAGGATTTCTTGCGAGGACGTGAAATATGTTGGATACAAGGGTACCACTTGTGTCACGACTTGGCATGAAGACTGCAATAATCTGGGAGCGAAGTTCCAATTTGTCTTTGATTTGCTTGGCCATTTCGTTCAAAAGGATGTATCGATGGTTTGGGCCTGTGGCATCTTCGCTGGCATTACTCATCTCGGATTGTTCGGATTCTTCAATTGCTTTGTCTATATGCTTTTCGACAAAAGTATGGACATTGCGTATTGATTCGAACCAAAGAGGGTCCCGATATAAAAACTTTAGACGACCGAATCGTACACGATTCCCCAGACCTTCCATGACATAATCAAAAGAGCTGATAAACAATTCTCCTTCTTCTGATGGTACAGGAAGAAGCGTGTCAGTGGATTTGCCGAACAGAAACTCGGTAGACGTATCAAGAAACTGGGATCGCAATAAGCAAAGGCACCTCATTAACCCGGCATCAACTTCCACATACCAGACGAGAGAAAAGAGGCTGCAAATCCACCGTCTCACCATCCTTCGGAAGCAGATCAAGCAGCTGACCAAAGTGAAACTCCAACGAGTCCAAATTACAGATTTCCGTCCTGGAGAATGTAGGTTTGATCAAAGAACGACTATATTGCCAATACTTCCCATCCGTCGTATTTATTCCACTACCAAAGAGAGGCATCGCGAGGCCCTTACGAAGAGGCTCAAGTCCATAATCTTTAGCATTCAGACCCAGGACTGTCTTTATGTTTTTAGGATCCATAGTCCGAATCATACGCGCACCAAGGAATTTGATCTCGTGGGTCTTCCCATATGTTACGAATTCACGTTTGATCTATTCGAGGTATACACCGCGCGTGTGTTATTTTGTCATTTTGACGAGGAGGTCAAGGCCGAAAAAGGGTTCTGTGTGAAAATATTTGACGGCTTCTCTGCAATTGTGACGATGCTTTTCGCGGTTGTAGGACCTTCGCTGCAGAAATTTGGTTATGGAGATGTAAAGAATCCAAGCAACAGCGCCGGCTACAAGGAAGCGGGATATTTGGCCCATGACGAATGAATTTTTGAGGTCAAGCGGGCTGAAATGACTAAAGATATAGAGTGATGACCAGAAATTACTCTGGATTTCCGATGGGTGTTGGAAAGATTGAGACGTTGGAAATTATATATAAGATTATCCTTTCCAACATCCGCTTAAGTTTGCTTCCAACATTGTAACATACTTGATTCGTCCTGACCGCATCAGCTCTATCTGAGCCCTTTCGACGCCGCAAAAGGTCTCGCACGTCATAACTGATATTCTGTTGCCTCTTTGAAATCCTCGCTATATATAAGGACTGATTTTACAGAGATCTGTTATTGAAGCAAAGACATACTTCTGGCGGTCCAAGATGGAAAATAAACCGGCTACGAGGGCAGGCCAGAACTGTCGATTTCATAATTGTGTATCAATATAGTTAAATACAATGAATGGATGTTAAGGCCCAAGCTTGACAAGTATGTACCTGAACTTACGCCAACAATTGCTAAGGTTTTTGGCTCAATTGTATATATTGTGTTGCTGCAAAAGTACCGATGCAAATCACTATTGTTGATGGCGGCACCAGGCGGTTTGGCTGACACCACTTCCGCACATTAAAAACAGTTCTATTCAGAGCTCGGCACGCGTTAGCCGATATCCTGGTCACGCTTTAAACCACAAAGCGGATAAATCTTTCAACTACAAATAGCTCCCGAAATTGTTTAACAGAAAACTCTGCGAGAATTGAAACTAGACCAATTGCTTAAAATACGCCTCCCGTAATTTAAGTCTCTATGTAGTTAGCGTATTGAGGTGATTTGGTGTGTCTCATGACAACCCTGTAGACATTGAAAGCGGCAGTGATTACCAATCGCGCGAAATCAAATAGCACAACGAGGCGAAGCCATGAAATGCAAAAGATACAAAAAAGATTTATATTTTCTAGACTTCAGTTGGTATAAAGCTTCTGAGTCTGGTTTGCGCTAAGGCGTCTGTTGTGTTAGAAGGCATTCGGAACCCATGCACTGACCCCCCTGCAAGCGTCATCACTTCCTTCTTGTGGGCTACGAGTACCTCAACTGATTTCCGGGTGGCGGCATTGCGTATTCCCATCACGGGTACCATTAAAGAGTCGAAGAATTCAGTCTCAACAAACAGAAAATCAGAACGCCGGCAATGGTGGAAGAAACCACCGAGAACGATAATGACACACAGGTCATACCCAAGGAGGAGCGTGAAAGTTCTCCAGAGAAGCAAAACATTCAACCAGGCTCCGATACTGGTACCAATCCTTCGGATAATGTCCCCGAGACGGAGCGAACGAAGTTACAAACAGCAATTATCATGGCTTCACTTTGTTCCTCTGTTTTTCTCGCAGCCCTTGATCAGACCATCGTTTCCACTGCTCTTCCAACCATCTCACAGCGTTTTCAATCCGGAGCCGCGTATACATGGGTTGGATCTGCATATGTACTTGCAACCGCTTCAACAACACCATCATGGGGAAAGGTCTCAGATATCTGGGGCCGGAAACCGATCATACTTCTAGCAGTGTCAATCTTCTTCATTGGAAGTCTTCTTTGTGCTATTAGTGTCAATATTGCTATGCTTATTGCTGCTCGGGCGATCCAAGGAGTGGGAGGTGGGGGAATTCTCTTGTTGGTGAATATTGTGATTGGGGACCTTTTCAGCCTGAGAAGTAGAGGCCAGTATTACGGAATGGTTGGCATGATTTGGGCTTTCGCTTCTGCTATCGGTCCCATCTTGGGAGGGGTCTTCACGGAAAAAGTCTCTTGGAGATGGTGTTTCTACTTGAATCGTGAGTCTCTTTTTCTTCGGAATAACAGTTCAACTTTCGAACAGACATTCAATTACCGAAGAATATCATAGCTAACCAGAGAAGTACCAATTACCGGAGCTGTTTTTGTGCTCCTGGTTCTGTTCCTCAAACTGGATAATCCAAAGACGCCTCTCTGGGAAGGCTTACGAGCCGTGGATTGGCTCGGGAGTATTGCAATAACTGGCGGTACAGTTATGTTACTTCTCGGACTCCAATTCGGTGGCGTAACGTACCCATGGGGTTCTGTGAAGGTGATCTGTCTTATTGTATTTGGGTGCGTACTTTTCGGACTATTTGCCTTGGGCGAGAGGATTGTACGTTATCCCTTGATACCCCACCGAATCTTCAACAAATCCAATGTTGCGGTCTTTGGGACTTGCTTCTGCCATGGCTATATCTTCATCGCCGCAACCTACTTTCTCCCACTCTACTTTCAGGCTGTGCTGGGTGCAACGCCGATCTTGTCAGGGGTCTACTTTCTAGCTTTTACTCTATCCTTATCCTTTGTGGGAGGTTTTGGAGGTTTTCTCATCAAGGCTACTGGGAAATATCTTCTTCTCATAAGAGGATCATGGGTCCTTGCAATTGTGGGCTTTGGATTGTTCACTGACCTGGATCCCTCAGCCAATTGGGCGAAAATATTTATCTTCCAAATCATCGCAGGAGCTGGTGTCGGAGCAAACTTTCAAGCCCCTCTGATCCCATTACAAAGCCATGTAGCACGAGGAGACATTGCAGCGGCCACAGCAACCTTCGCATTCATACGGAACCTATCTGTCTCTATTTCCATCGTGGTTGGTGGTGTTGTCTTTCAAAACCAGGCATTGAAAAGGAGCTCTTCGGTGCCATCCGTTAGCCAGGGCCAAGGTCTCAACGCCTTCGCCATCATCGACATTATACAGCGACTTGAGCCTGCGCAGCAAAGACTTCTTCGCGAGATATTCACGGATTCGTTGAGGACTATGTGGATTATGTATGCTTGTTTCGCTGGACTGGGTCTTATTTTCAGTCTTTTCATTGCGTCGAAGGTTCTCAATGAGAAACATGAGGCCACCACACTTGGATTGGCAGCTGAGGAAGCCAAGCGAGTGAAAAAGCACAAAACTTAGATGACGGAAATTCGATGTAGTCTTTTCACGTCAGCATTGTATTTTACTTGAATGGGTTTGGTTCGGAAAATGTATGTAGGCGGATATCATAATGTCTTGAGCTAGCATTTGAAAAGCTGTATATAGAGATCTCAATAAAGCTCTGTAAAATACCCCGATTAAACGCATATCAAAAATACAATCTACGGCTCTCCAACCCAGTTGGTTCACACGTCTTCAACTGCTTTCTCCCCTCCTTGTTCAAATTCAATATCAGGCTTGTCGTCTCGTTTTGGCAGAGCCGTTTTGGTAAAAGCGATGCTGTCGCAATGTGTTTTCATTTTGAAATTACATTCACACTCTGCATCACTTCAAGACCATTAGCAAAAGAGACTGGGAAGCAGTATGAACTTGAGCTCTACTCCCCCTTCTGAAAACGTGGGTGTTATACGGGTGAGCCTGTCAAGAAAAGGGAGTATTTGTCGTAGAGGGATTCATATAAAAATAAACACTTCCGATTCTCAATATATCCTTCACTGAAAATAGGGTGCTGGGTTGACCCAATCTCCACCCAGGATCGACTCATTGCACACAGCCTGGTAGAGACACCAACTAAGCATCAACTGAAATGATACTAGCCGCCGTCCTTGATATTGGGAGCCACGTGGGACCCTGGTAATCGAAGAGTGAATGGAGGCACCCACGCACTAGCGCCAGCTTTCGCTTCTAAGCGATGTATTGTCATTGGACGACTTCAACGTCCTCAACTACTGCGACGTGCAACAAAACTTTTTTTGGCCCGGCTTCCTACCTCCGTCTGTCGAATGTGTATTTCACTTGGATGACATCATGCTCATGGCTTCGACGTGGTTGCAGCTCGCCCAGTACGCGTGCGACTGCACGCGCCACTTCTATTTTTTACCTTGTGTGGTTCTTTACTGTGGTGAATAGTGATATGGTCACAGGTTTATTCAGAGGAACCATACCTCTCTTACTAAAGGGTAGCCTAAATGTAGCCATGGCAGAATTGCGCCTCGGTCACTGTTCAATCGACCATCCCGAGTTCCAGATCAAGTTACCCAAATTGAGCTCCCAAGACCTATAGACCCAGTACCAGTAACAGCGCCGCAGGATATGTCTCTGAAACTTAATCCATGAGCTTCTTACCACTTAGTCTTCAGTTAAATTATGTATCAGCATCACTATCCCCGAGTCATTGTGATCGGTATCGGTAGCGGTATCTTCTTTGACAGAAGCGGCCTCAGCATTTCAAAAGTATCGAAACCCGATCTACTACTTACAACAAGTCTTGAAATATTAATTGCTCTAATGATCGTGAAATTAGAGAAAAACATATTCCTGTGTTCACTCCTTCAGGCCAGTGAAGTCATGTTGTGAAGGCAGAAGGGCTAAGCGAGGTGATGCCTTGGACGATGAGCGGCTGCTATACGCCAAGACACATGTCCAATACATAGATAGGTATTCCAAGCTCTCACCAAACATTCACCTTCAATTCCGCCAATATAAAACATTTTCGTCCTCATCCTCCCTCAAAACAAAACAACGCGTCCAAAGTCTCAAACAGCACTACCTCACAAGACACATCGCCACAATGTAAGATCAATTGACTTCCTCTTCGCCATTTCAAAAACTAAACATTGTTTGTAGGTCAAGAGATATGACACCCCTACCAGATACTCTCGTCGTGCGTCCCGCCGGGAGTCCCATCTACCGTCAACCCTCTCTATTCGACAAACCCAACGCGCGCCTTCAAATCTCCAACACCTTCCCAAGCGACGATACCGGTCTCGCAAGCCTCTGGCTCTGCAACGAAGAAAACTGGACATTCAAAGGCACCGGCCACATCGTGGATGAACACAGCAAGGCCTGTTTCGATTGCTACACCGATCTCGCTTTCGACATCACCCGTCTCAACTTTGGCTGTGGGGCTTTCACTAGATACACCAATCACATCATCCACAATGAGCTGAAGTATACTTGGAATAGCGACCTGGCAAAAGATTACGTCAAGGATGAAGAGTTGGTTAAGAGGCTTACGGATAAGTTTGTGCAGTTTATCTTTGATCCGAGAGCGGGACAGATGACGATTTCTGTGCAGCATGATCTTTTGAGGAATAACCCTTGGAGGGGTGTGATGGGCGGTTGGCTTTGGGCGTTCTTTTCGCAATTTATGGGGGTTTTCTTGGGGAAGTTTGCGAATTCGGTGGATGCTAGGAGACTTAATCGTGAGCGTTTGGAGAGAGATGTCGCGGCACTTCAAAATCAAAATACTGTAAGTTCTGATGAAGATGAAATTTGCGGAGACCAAATTTCAGAAACTGATTTAGTATCAGGTTACAGCAGAGTCTGATCAAAACTCCCAGAACACTGAACTGAGTCACTACAACCTGCAGCTGTTCCAATTGGAAATGGAGTCCGCAGCACGGGAGAATGCGGTAAGTCATAACACGCCTCACAAGTAAATTCCCCAAGCTAATTCATCATCAGCTTAGAGCAGAAATGAACCAAAGCACCCCGGCAACTCATTACAACTACCAGCCACTACGACCGGGACCACAAGTACATCACAATACAGTAAGCCCCAACAAAAAACAGATTAAATCGGCATTACTTCTGAATGCTAACTTAAGATCAGTTCGTAGTAGAATACAGCCAGATCGCTCCAGTCGCTCCCATGTTCACTCCACACAATGAACAACATATTGAAAGCCAATCTCAAGTACCTCATCATGAGGTAAGTTTCATCTACAATAGAGCATAGGTATATCAAGTTCCAATAGCTAATCCAGTATCAGACTCCAGCAATATACAACCAATACCACCAAAACATCCCAATCGACCCTCGACTTTACAATTACCACTACATACAACCCTCACTTTCAGGGCCACAGAACCACTTGAACTGCAATCAAAACATACAATACAACCAGCCTGTCCACTTCACCCCTCACAACGACACTCACCGACCCCCCCAACCCTCCCCCACAGCACCCCAAAACCCACCAACGCCCCATCAAACCACACCATACCCAAACCCCCAACCCACACCCCACAACGACACCCACCACCCACAACCCACTCCACCCCCCCAACCAGACGCCGCAAGCACGAACTACCCCAAACTCCACACCTTTCCCATCCCCAGCCCTAATCCGGCATAGGCCGTCCCTAACAGCACGAATGTAGAGGACTCGACCTTCGACCTAGAACGAGAACGTGTCTACATGCACTATCTCCAGAAACTTGGGATCGAGACGGCGCTACGGCGGATGTCGCAGGAGACTATTGTGTGGATTGGCGGCCGAGGCGGGGGTTCTGTTGGTATGGGTCGGAGGAAACACGGGCATGAGTTGAGGTGGTTGGTGAGGCTGAGAGGAGGGGCTGGTGGCTAGGTTGTGTGGGTGAGGGATGGGAGGGTTACATTGATATTGAGAATACGTAGAGACGTGGGTAGATTGATTAATTTAAGTCTTGCGTTTCTGAAGTTTAGATGGAAAGTGAAGTTATTTGCCTTTTGCTCGTCAGTAGGTAACAGGGTGAAGTCTTTTCATTTCTACAATGAACGGTATCTGGATCATCCCCCTGAATCTTGGTGGGTTTGAATTTCAGCGACGGGCGCCGTTCATCTGTCCATCAGCAACGATAGAATAGCAAAGATATCGTTGTGGCAAGTGCAGGCAGTTCTATTTCGTCTCCTGACACCATAATAATTCGCCATTTGCTAGTGCTCGTGTGATAATCGAATTGAAAACTCATGGAGGTAGGATAATTTTCTATCTGTTATTTTATGAGTGTTTATTTGAGCTTTTGATCTTTCTTGTAGATGATGGCTGAAGACTTTTACGTTGTCGAAAATGAGCGAGCGGAAACTATTCTAGGGTAGGAGGGGAGATATAAATAGGGGTTTCCAGCAAGGGAGTAATAAGCGACTTCTTACATCGTAATGTGAGAAGCAAAGGTAGAATTGCTCTTACTAGTCAAAGAATGTCCCGAACTATCAATTTTATGCTGGTATTTGTAGCAAGAGAATTTGCCTATGTAGAGTTGAGTCTTTCAAAGCGATTATTTCGATTCCTGATGTTGATGGGTAGGAGAAAAGAAGGGGGGAGAGCTTATGGTGGATAAATATTTTACCGTCCACGCTGGGGGTCGGGTTCGCTGGTCTTGGAGCCCGAATATCGGACAATTACATTCCCTGACCACCTTATTTTGACGGCATCACTACTTGGTACTGGTAAAGGTATACCTCTACTGATACAGTATATTTCCAGACTGTGTGCTTCGAGGACTGCAGAGGGACTCGGATAGCGACGAAGCCGGTAGTAATTGTCTGACACCCCACCCACGGTTCTCAGCAGTACAGTATGCACTACTTGGTACATGAGATTTGAGGTCGCTTTCTCTGGTGGAGTGCTTGGAGAGATCTACGACTGTACGACTGTACGACTGTACCAGCTAGTGCGCTATGCAGGCTTTGCATTCTCAATGAAATTGGGGGTGTTGTGGAGTTGTCCATACGATTATGCGATCGTGTGAAGTACACAGACTGGAGATGAAAGTCGTTGGGTAAGGCAAAAAACGGGGGGATTCGACGTATTAACATCTCACAATGAAGATACACGTCACGACGTTCCCTGGGTTTAATATGATTACGCAATTCGTCTGATACGAATTCTCAAGCTCGGATGTTGGCCCGGCGGCTGCGGCTCAGAAATTGGAGCATTCAGCTGGATTGGTGGTGTTTTCGAGCCGCAAGGTCCAAAGTTCCAAACCAGCTCATGGTAGGAGGTGGCTCAGTGCTTCAAATTCGTCGCTGGGACGATATGAGGCTGCCGAGACCTTTGAACTTCATCTTGAAGCTGCACTGTGGCTGTACATGCTTTCAGTTGGTGGATTAATGTTGTGTGCGAGATGTTAAGATGGTGTTGCTACAGTGCAGTTCATCGAGTTTGGTAGAGGTTGTTTTGTACTTGGGTCTGGGACAAGGCCAAAGATTTCTGCTTTGCAATATCTTTTCAGGGCCTGTCGACGTCTGATGTTTTCCGGACGAGCACCCACGCCGTGGCCGCACCTTGTGGTCTTTACGAGTAGCTTGCTTGGTAACAATAAGCTAATCTTTCATAGTTTCATCCAATTGGAATGTTCAATTCAATGGCTTCTTTGCTTTGGCAGGAATTTCGCGTTGGGTCCCAAGAAACTGTGGTGTTGGTCAACCAATCACCATCGTGCTGTGCCTCAGTACGGGAAGGATGCCGGAAGGATTCGTTACACACTCGACGATCACGTTTTCCAAGTTTGAGATGCATGGCAGACAACTCAACTTGGGTAAAAAATGCACCGGCAAAATCGAAATTGCGGAGCTTCAACAACGCAGCGACGGATGGAACAGCAGAACTTACCACCAAAAGGGTAGTTCAATATGGAAAACCGATCGTCATGTACTCCCCCCTCATTTATGAGCGTGCACCAGGTTCTCAGCCCGCGGCACCAGGAAACCATATGGGTTTCGTCGGATGATGAGAGATATGTTACTTGTACCTCTTCCTCGCCCTCTCGCTTGTTTGCGTCATGGATGAGTGGTTGACCCTTTACGAAGAAGATGTGGCTACGAAAGGAGAAGAGTATGAATGTGCCGGTGGTGGAGGTCACGGCATCCACTCCTTTGAAGGCGCATTTTGACGACTTGGGCATGAGGAAGGAGGAAAGTGGTGTGTACAATTCCTCTGTTGTTGACGACGAGAAGGAATTTGCTGGGCCCCCCAAGCCTAGCTTCTATCAACGGGTGAAGTCCGCTTTCCATCTCAGCAGTAAGTTACATCTTGAGAAAGGTATGCAAGTAACTAACATTCATAGGGGAGCCACTTCCTAATATTTATTCCGATATTTACTATGGAAAGGCTGACTGGAGGTCAATTGGCAATTTACTACTAGCAGTATACGCCACAGTCCTCTCTGGTGTATCCCTCGCTATCGCAGTCTGGCAACCGCGATATGGAAAATGGATTAGTCCCAATGGACCCATTATCCCCTCCACGGCAGACTTGTTATTTTCCATCATTGCGAAAAGTATTGAGATTGCGTCGGTTGGGCTATACATGACCTTCCTCGGACAATGTCTCACCAAGCGCTGTCTTCGCTCACGTGGGATCGGCCTTCCTGACATCGCGGTTCGCGAGTGGCTACTTCAACCCGGCTTTGTAATTTGGAGCTTGGAGAATCTCAAGTATGCAAGCACGACCCTTTTGGGATTCAACTCGTTCCTGACTGCGATTGCGGTCTTCTTCTTCACGGTAGCGTCGAACTCGCTTGTTTCACCGCATATCACGCTCGGGAACTGGGAATCCACGCAATTCTACGGCGAGGCTCGACAGAATTTTGGGAACTCGGTCATTATCAAAGAGGAGTGCTGGGCACCGATCAATGCGAGACTTGATAATCAAGATGTTGGGGAGTCTTGTATGAATGTCCTCGCTTCGGGGCTTGCGCTTCAAGATTTAAACAATTATATGAAGGAGTGGGCTGGGCGTGCGAAGGATAACAAGAACACCACTGATTCTGACCGGCCAGTGGCCACCAGTTCGATATTCACTGATACACGGACCTCAGGACGTTGGGTGGAAAAGTCAACACCCAACATTTCTGCTAACTTTGATACATATGGTAGAGTTGTGAATAACGTCACCCTCTCAATGCCGCATCCAGTTGTCTATTACTCAGTTCGAAAGGAGTTTCCCAAGGCAAAGAAGGGTTCTGGCCTCGGGGAGTATACTATGAAAGCTTCAGTTTTGTCTCCGACGAGCAACACTATGTGCGTCAACATGAACCGATCTGAGGCAGCACCTCTGGTATACCTCGAATGGCCTGGACCTCACATCACACCTGGTGTCGCACGTAGAGGCTGGGATAAAGATCTATATGGCAACCACACAAATTACAAATCCAACATCACTGCAACACACGTAGGCTCCATCTTCAAATGGGGATCCAAATACGACCGACAACCACCCATCTTCCCTCAGGTACGTAAAGCTACAACCAAAATATCAACCAGCCCCTCGCTAACCCTTCACAGTGGCCAATCGACTTCAACTCCGTAATCAACATCAACATCCCCCATGGCGACTCCATCTACATTCTCATCAAATCCCCCAACACAACCGACTACACCATCTGCCAAATGCAAGGCTACCTCTCCCCCGACTGCAGCACTAAACACGTCCAAAACGTCGGCGCCACATCCCTACAAAGCGATTGCGACGACAAGGACCTAAGTTTCGCCGCCTCCATCGCACCCTCAACCTTCCACTCCCGCCCAGACAAAGACTTCCGCGACGTCCTCGGCGCCTGGGCGATAGCCGTAGGACTGAACAGCGGCCTCCTCTCCTCCAACACCTCCCTCGGCCACGTCCTCTCCCAGCTCGTCATTCCCACGCCTGCCCCCTCCAACACCAGCACCCAGACCCAACCACAAACCCAAAAACTCCGCTTAAACCCCACCCTCCCCTCCCTCTCCGAAGCCCTCGCCGTCCTCTCCGCCTCCATGCTCCTAAAAGCCTCCATAAACACCACCAGCTTCACCAACACCAGCTTCCCCTTCCCGCTCCCCGTGCCCCGCACCTCTCTCTCGCTCCCCTACCCCGTGCGTGTCCAAACACAGCAGTTCCGCTCCGGGCCCCCGGCCCCCTGGCAGGGGATCCTGTATCCGGTGCTGCTTATTATGTTTTTAGCGAATGCGTACTGTTTGGTTTATTTTTTGAGGGAGGGGGGGTTGGTGGTGGATTTTTTGGAGCCGGGGAGGTTGTTGGAAGGGGTGGGGAGGAAGGGGGAGAAGGGAGGGGAGGGGGATGGGGATGGGAGGTGGGGGCTTGTGAGGGGGGAAAGGGGATTGGTATTTAGGAGGGTTGGGGATGGGGTGGGGGAGGTTGTGAGGGAGAGGAGTAAGAGGGATGGGGGGTTTTTTTAGGGTTTTATTGCTAAGATGGGTTACTTATAGTTGTATGATGCTTAATAATGATTTTCATGATTCTTGGATGCCGTTTTGGTATCTTATCCAAGTTATCCTGGTTGACTTTGTTTATACTCCGCCTACTAGTACTACCTACTTCCTAGAAGGTCCCCTGCAATTCCAACGCGAGAACTTGATTAAGCGAAGATGAAGAAAAATTAAAATATATCGTATTATACATAGATCAAAACCACCAAGTCCCCTCTCAAGATCACCACAAGTAGCAAAATATTAATCCACTATATGTAATATATCCAATACATCCCCTTCCCTTCCCTTCCCTTCTCTCCCCTTTCCCTAAAATCTTTCCCAACACATTAACACAAACATAATACACCTATAATCCTACCTGCTTCTAAACACTACTCCCCTTAAAATCATTTCACTCCTTCAAGTTCCAACTACTATTCTATCCTTATTCTATTCTATTCTAATAATCCTACTAACACGAAACCCCTATCTATATCTAAACACTTCGTAAGTAAAAAAAACTAAGAATATCTACTACTATATCGCGACTCGCTACGAATAAAGAGGTCTATAGTGATAGAATAAGGGATAGGGGATAAGGAATAAGGAATGGAGATATATATTTCTTCATTTTAGATCCCTCGAGGGTAGGAAGGAAGGATATAAAAACTTTAAGGAGCTTGAGGCTTGGTGTGAAGATTAGTAGTTTTTAGGGAAGTGGTTTAAATAGTGTTGTATTATGTTTTGTGGTGTTATGGTTGTGATTGTGATTGTGATTAGGGTACGGTGTAAGACTCAATATATAATAGTCTAGCAGTCTAGTTCTCTACGTATATATAGATGTAGAAGTAGAAGTAGAAGGAAATGCTGGATAGCTTTGGATTTGGATTTGGATTTGATGGAGGGGTAGATTAGTAGGTGGGTGAGCTTGATGTGCGTTTAGGAGTGTATTGTATTCTGCTTTGCGTGTTGGAAGACTGATATTTCTGGGTTGAAGTTGTAACTTGTAACTCGTAGAGCCATTTTTTGTCCATGAGTCTAGAATGGAAATGGTTGTAGAAGTGCCCTTTCGTTGGTGGACAAACTTTCTAAACGGACTTGGCTATTTAGACTTGCCATCCAAGCCAAGGTATGATATACTCCGTATCACTTATCAAGGTGTCCGTAATTGAAGCATTCTTTTCAGTTGCCGTGTGGTAAATAATTACCGTGATCTGACTCCGTACAGTACGAGTACTCCCCCAAACTTCCAAGTTTTCAAAGACGAATTTAATATCGGCAGTTCTTCCCCCCCTCTCAAATAATATGAATTATGAAATCAGTATCAAATGTGTTATGGAGATTCATCGTTGTACTGTAGGTAAATTTAATTGATGTTCGTGATCCTTAGCCATCCCAGCTTAGTATCGTACGAGTAGACTGTAGCTTCCAGGTTAGGGCTGAGTTGTCCTGCGGCCAAGCTCCTACTCCCTGGTGGTAGGGGCGGGGCCCTCGCCGAATCCCGGCATTCTGGAAAGGGGCTTACGATAAAGTAAGGCTCGCTCGTCTCAACAAGGAGAGCTTGGCTTGTGAATCTGTAAATCGTTTCTTCGCTTCTGCATTTGATCTTCGGGTTCATTTCGATCATAAAAAAGAAAAAGAAAGTTGAAGATATACTCTCCGATATATATGGGGTGACATGATGGGATGAGATGGGATGTATGGATGAATGGCTTGAACTTCCAATTGTCAGACATATGATGGCATCATCCGAAAAGTCCACGAAGGGAGGGATGGTTTCAGGATGTCATGATGGGGATGCGGTTTGTGGCCGTTGGAAGTTTGCAGCGAATCGTCGATAGCATCTTTTTGTTTCAGCTGCCCCTCCCCATTCTGTGTGGCTTTTGCTCGTCTGACCCCTTTTCATTGGTCGGTCGACGACCATTGAGCTGGAGAGAGCTGGTGGCATTCCTGTACTTGTACTGTAGTCGCTTGGTACTTCTCGAGTCCTTTTGTATATTTTCAGCTGGCTGGTGGAAAAGGAGAGTTTTGTTAGTCTGGACGGAATCAGGGGAGATGTGGCTGGAGGTGAGATCAGGAACTCCCGTGTGCAGAAGTCCTACTGCGCTGCGCCTCTTAGGGGCTTCTCGCTGGTGGGCTGGGCTGCGTCTACAAGACCACTCCAGGCCGGTTTGTAGCGTGCCAAACAGATGCTGCAGATGCGGATGTAGATCCGCGGGGAGGGAGGTATCACAACTGCTTTCTTCGCTTCCTTTGGTGGACTTGACCGAGGATGAGTAGATGCAGATGGCTATGAATGGGTTGTACTGTATAGCATTCATGATCAATGGCTTGCTGAGTAGTCGGGAAGGTGAAAATATACACATACGAATGAAGTACCTATGTATTGTGAATCCTCAGCAACCAAAACCACGTGAATAACTTTTTGTTGAAAAAAAACGGCCCTGCATCTCCCCATTCTCTCCGCAATTGTTTGCTTAAAACACAGCTTAAAATTGCTTGCGCAGTCTTGGTTTGCTCCTTTAAATTTACTCCGTACGGACTCCAAATGCGAACGCTTGCCCCCTGTTCATCCGCCAATTACCAACCCAAGGCCGTGAGCCGTGAACCGTGAGCCCCCCCCCGGCATCAGAAGCGACCTGAACCACCTCGAAATAATAATTCTGGCGAGTGCAGCGATCACCATCCACTCCAGCACCAAACTCTCCCTGGCTGCTGCTCTACCGCCTCTACAAAAACATCCCACCTAACCAGCTCTCACCGCCAAATCATCCTCTGCAGAATATCACGAACTCCTTCACGAATACCCTCTCGCGGAGACTGCGCGGCATCTGGTTCGGTTGGCCTGGCTACGGAGCCCCCCCTTTGATGGCTGTGAGCACCGGCTGAAGACCTCGACATCCACCAACTTCCTACCACCCCAACAGCATTATGGCGGACCACCAGCGAACCGAGTCCCAGGACACGGTCGAGTCGAAGAAGGAGGAGGCAGACACAGAAACCATGGAGTCGAGTCCCGACAGAGGCAGGAGGCAGTCGAGGGACTCGGAGCTTGATTCCTCTGACCGGGAGAATGTACGTTCCAGTTCCTTTCTTGCACCGCCCACCATCAAATCCCCGGACCTGCATTCCAGTACCACGAGAACTTGGCTGACGCTGGCGGTTTTGGTAGGACACGTTCGAGGATGCCAATGACACGGCAGTCATCGAATCTGCACAAATGGCAACCGCCCAGGTGGTAAGGTCGAGGTCGCTCACCCGACGGCCGTCCTCCTCGATGCAGAGTGCCAAACGAGACTCCTCGTCCTCAGACCAGCAACTGCCAGTGCCCGAGAAACCGATTCCAGCTTCAGGAGAGAAGCTCGCGACGAACGGATTGAACGGGAAGCACGAGGATCATCCAATCTCCCCCGGGACAGTTGATCCAGATCATACCGTTGATACGGGTGACACCACGCCGGAAATATCACAACAGAAATCTCCTTTATTAACCTCCCACCGCCTCTCAACTACCTCTTTAGATAACGTAAATCTGGACGAAGAAGGAACACCAACTACAAAGGAGGGACCACTAAATGGTAAGGGTACAAATCCGGTTCTATGGTGACCCAGTTTAATATTGACTCTAATAGTTGTTTCAGAAGACAAACCACCAGCTCTACCAGCAAGAGGCTCAAGACCATCCCTTGGGCTATCCGGCGCATTGCCGTCAGTACCTTGGGGTGCTCCCCCTGCAGCACCACCTTCAACACAATCCGCTGTCCTCGACGCTCCTCCACCTCCGCCATCCAGAAAACTCACCAGTCCTTTTGCCTGGCTGTCACGAGGTTCTCAATCTGGCAAAGGAGCATCTGTCTCTCCCCTTCCCTCTCCAAATAACGAACGAAGAAATACGGCTTCTTCAATTGCCACGATTAGTAGCAACCCGGAAATGATGTTAAGCAAGCTTGAGGAGGGCAACGAGTCGGATGGGATCAACCGGCCAATGCGGAATAGTCTGCGGGATCGATTCAAGCTTCTGCGAATGCGAGAAGAAGCTGGAATTACAGGCTTAGAGGATGGCGAAAAGGCTGGGACTACTCTGGCCGGCATAATAGAAAGGCGTGGCACATTGAGCGCTGGAACACCGGAGAGAGAGTTGACACTGGGTGCACACTCCCCTCTTTCTCCTGTACATCCATCGAGTCCGAATGTTCACACACTCAATCCAGCTCTGGCGCCAGGAACGGCTTCCGGAGTTTCCGCAGGCCCATCTGCAATTGGAGATCCAGATGCACCCGTGGACTGGGATTTATGGCAATCTGTGGTATATGAGGGACCCGCTGCTGTGGCTAGAACCAGCCCGGAGGAGTTGAATAGAGCCATCTCAACCGGTATTCCTAATGCCATTCGAGGTGTAGTATGGCAGGTACTTGCTCAGAGCAAAAACGAAGACTTGGAAAGCGTATATCGAGACTTGTTGGCTCGGGGTACAGATAAGGACAAGGATCGTATGAGCACAGCGAGCATAACCGGCCAAAGCTCTACTTCTTCTAGCAGCAGAGACAAGGACGATGTGGCATCGTCAGCATCCTCAGTTCTTTCCGATAATTCCAACCCAGCCCAGATACATATGAATGGATTGAGATCTCCTTCACCGCCGAAAGATGCTGATGCTCTGGCAAAGGCCCAAGCTACAGCTGTTGCGCAGAAGAAGAAAAAAGCCAAGGACGATGCAGTTGCCCTCAGTAAATTAGAGAAAGCCATCCGACGAGATTTGGGGGCACGAACGAGTTACTCTAAATTTGCAGCAAGTGCTGGCCTACAGGAAGGCTTGTTTGGAGTGTGTAAAGCCTACGCTTTGTTTGACGAAGCTGTGGGTTATGCACAAGGCATGAACTTTCTTGCCATGCCATTACTCTTCAACGTAAGATATATATCATGAAAGTTACACGATTCAAACTAATACATTGTAGATGCCCGAGGACGAAGCTTTCTGCTTGCTTGTTCGACTGATGAACAAGTATAAACTACGAGACTTGTTCATTAATGAAATGCCCGGTTTACACATGCATCTCTTTTTATTCGAGCGATTGCTGGAAGATTTTGAGCCGGCGCTTTACTGTCATCTTCAACGACGACAAGTTACACCACATCTTTACGCGACTCAGTGGTTCTTGACCCTTTTTGCATACCGATTTCCCCTACAACTTGTCCTCAGAATATATGATCTCATCCTTAGCGAAGGATTAGCTGCGATTTTGAAATTCGGTGTCGTGCTCATGCAAAAGAACGCAGCAACATTGCTTGGTATGAATGACATGCTGGCATTGACGTCATTCTTGAAGGACCAGTTGTTTGATGTTTACATCGATTCATCTCCTTCTAAGAGCTCCATCCTTGAATCTGGATTCTTTGGAAACTCTGGAGCAAGTATTGACAAAGAGGTATATAGAGCTGATCAACTAATTCAAGATGCTTGTGCCATCAAGATTACCCCAGAGGTGATCAAGACATATACTCTGGAGTGGGAAGAGAAAACTCGACTGGAAAAAGAACGCGAGACGGAGCTTGAAAATTTAAAGCAGTCGAACACTGCTTTAACGATGAAAGTTCGAAGACTGGAAGAAAGAGTAGAGGAACATGATACAGAACATGCTGCTCTTGCGACCGACCTTGTCAAGACTAAAGTCGAAAACGAGGAATTGAAGGATGAGAATGAATCGCTCAGGACTCAAGTAGACGAGCTGCGAAAAGTGGTGGAAAAACAGCCTGAAGAAGTTGAGGAGAGACTGAAGAGTGAAATGGATCGATTGATGAAAAGGAATCAAGAGGTTCACGAGGAAAATTCGAGACTTGAAGAGGAAATGGCTGAGATGGAGAAGAGTCTTGTGGAGACCAAGATGATGTACGCAGAGGTGTGTTTTGATCCCCACCCAGTATTTACAAATGATTTGACTAATAACCATCAGCTCAACTCCAAATTCGAATCCCAGAATCGGAAGTTCAACGATTTGCGGAAAGCACTGGATTAATCATATCATCATCCCACTCACTCCTCTGGTTTTCTACCCCGTCCTACCAATGATTCACGGCCATAATATAGTCACCCCTCGACTTGTACAGTCTCTTATTTTTTTTCTCTCTCCGCAATGATGGACGATATTTGGCTTAGCGACGCATTTTGCATGCTTATGAAGTTCCTATGAAGTAGCTTACCTCTTTTAAAAGAAAAGCTTTCCTCTGTGATATCCGCCTCCTTTTTTTCTTCCTTACTTTTCTTTTTTACTGTGCTTGTTGTTTTTGAAGCAGACTTTTAGATGGGGGTTCTTTGCTTTTTGTTGTTTTGTTTTGAGAGAAAGAGAATCCCAGTACTCTTGTGAGCCTTAGCGTGCAAAAAGGGGGTTGGCGTGTTGTTGTGTTGTTTAATATATATTATGATTGCTGTGGAGAAGTCTGTGATTGTGTGGGGGGGAGAGTTGGGGAAGAGGGGAGGGATAGTGGTGTGTGGTTGTATATATGATAGTTTGTGAGGGGGAGGGTGAAGGGGATATGAAGGAGAGGAGGGAGAGGAGGAAGGTACTTGGTAGATGGGGCTCAGTAGGGGTAGGGTGGATGAGAGGGGCAGATAGACAAGTAGATGGTGGGTGAATTGTGGGTGGGAGGGATCAATGGGATTTTGGTTGATTGATTGATTGAGATTGAGATTGAAGTAGATGTGAAATGTATGTGAGATTGAATGTGAATGTAAATGCAAATAAGATCATAGCTGTACTGTACAGCACAGTAAGATGTTCCAAAGCTGAAGTATGCGTCTGCGTATAAGTACGTTTCTATCTACTCCAAGTCTCCAACGAAGGCAACAAAGAACGAAGCGTAAACTCGTGGGGTTAGTTGGTTTCTTTGAGAGTCCTACGAGTTAATCTTCTTCCTCTCCGTTTTCTGACGCAGTGACGTAGACGGGCTTTACTTTGTTTTATCTACTGTACTGTACTATGATTTTTGGGTCTTTGGAGTTTTTTTTGCGGGAGGGGGATGGGATGGGATGGAATGGGGATGAGGGTTGTGGAGGAGATGGATACTGTAATGTTTCTGGTGATACAGTGATATTGTAGTTCTCGGTAATTTTAGTGGATTGTAAATTATGGGATGTTGGGATGGATGGATGGATGGATGGGGTGTTTTGCTTGAGATGGTTATTTATTGGGTAGGTTTGATGGGTAAGTAGGTATGGATTTATTATTTATTCATTCATTCATTCATTTATCCAAAAAAAATATGGAAATGTAGGATTGATTCTTTGTCTGTTCTATATTCCCTATTCCGTCCCCTCCTGTGTTTGTGTTAATGTTAATGTTAATGTTGAGGGAGGTGTTGAGGGAAGGGAAGGGATGGGATGGGAAGGGAGGTAGGTGGTGTGGGAAGGGGTGAGGTAGGTTCTTTGTGGTTTGGGGTGGGGGATTGGAAGTGAGGAGTTTGGGAGTTTGGTTTGTTGGTTTGGTGTGGGGGTTTGGGGAATGGGAGGTTGGAGTTGGATGGTTTGGGAGATGGGGATGGGGATGAGGAGTGAATTGAATTTAATTCTGTGAACTGGTATAGTAGCTGGGTAATTGTTAGTTCAGGATGGGGTGGAGGGGAAAAGGAAAGAAGTTAGAGTTTGAGGGTTTAAGAGTTTGAGAGTTTGAGAGTTTGGAAGATGAAGATGAGCAAGTTAGTGGATAAAGATGAAGATAAGGAGTGAATTGAATCCTGTGAACTGGTGCAGTAGCTGGGTAATTGTCAGTTCAGGATGGGGTAGAGGAGAGAGAAGGAGAGAAGGAGTGAGGTAAGGAGTGAGAGAAAAGGAGAAAGGGATGTTTGAGGATGCTAGGGGTATAAGTATGTTTTGTTTTTTCGTAGATTTGTAAGTTTGTTATAGAACAGAAGAGGTATCGCGGTATTTGAAGGAGGAGTTTTCGTAATTTGGAGTATTCCTCCCATCCACAACAATCCTCCCCAAGTTCTCAAGTTCACCTCCCGCGATCTTCCCAAATCAACTATAAAATCCATTATCCATAGTTACATCCCATCTTGTAGCAGGCAGGTCTCGATATCATGTCCATGATCCCTTTCCCATTCCCCTCTATTGCCCCTTCATTTCCCTTGGTTCCAAGGTGACGAGGTCCTTATTACAGTTACGCAACATCTCCGGTGCGCGATACGTCTTATGAGGCGAGATTGTTTGGTTTTGACGCTTTTGTTTTTTTATTAGTTGGGATGGGGAGAAATGGAGATGAGTTGGGGTTGGTGTGTGATGTTGGGATATGAGGAGCTTGGAGGAGGAATGGGGCTTTTGCTGGATTTTTGGGTGTGAGGGGGTTGGAGAGATGGAGATAAGGGTTGGAGGATTGAGGGGTTGGGAGGTTAGGATATATGGTACTTGTTTTAGGTTTTACGGTTGATTTGCTGTTGGAAATACTCGATTTGAGGTGGATTGAATTCGTACTTGGACATTTGAGTTTCACTACGGGTGCGAGCGTGGAGTTATGATAGAGGGATGGTGGTGTGGAAGTGGATGAGGGAGTTCAGAGGTTGGCTTTTGGTATTACATTCTTCCTCGCCTTTTTCATTGAAATTACAGTGCTGAGGAAGTAGTTAGGATACCCTCGAAGGGATGGGTGGAGAAATGGATTTACGTCAATGTACGTTAAGTTACAAGGGGGTTGATCAATTCTACAATCATTCCTGGATTCCTTGATGACTTGTAAGCCTCGTTTTGTTCCATGTCTCTTTAGGATCTTTGGATTTGTAAGGAGAGATGATGGATGAGGCTCCTTGGCGTGAATTTTGGTGTACTTCGCCTCGTCTGTTGGTAATTTCTATATACGTACTGGAGGACATACCCCTGCTTACCAATTTCCAAGGCTGTTGAGAAATCTCAAAGCAGGTTTGGACAGGTTTGTAATAAAAGTTTGTATAATAAAACGGAATTCACGTCTCTGCTTTGACGTGGATGAGGTATGCATCCAATCTTGGTCAAAAACTTAGCGTGAAAAGCACCAAACTATTGAAAGCTGAAACAAGGACACTTAGGTAGTACAGCAGATAAAGGCACCGTATTAATAATTCCTTTCTGTAACCACAGAACCTTGGAAGAGCGTAGCTGGTGTTGTCGGGTGGGATTTCCACCCAACAACCTAGCCCCCCTGAAAATTAGCCGACGCGACAAACAGAATGTTGTACCTATCTTTGTCAGCAACTTAGCGCGAAGAGCGCTAGACAATCACAAAGCTGTCACAAGAGGTAGTACAGCAGATAAAGTTTTCGCACTATTGATTCCTTTCTGTACCAAATCTTGGAAGAGTCCTGCGGGTGGTTGCACCCGACAACCTTCCCCCCTTAAAATTAGCCACGCCATTCGGCTAATGCATGTCAATATTGTGATTACCTCATCGCTTTACTAGTTCCTTGCTGTAATTTCCAAACCTTGGAAAGGCGTAGCTGGTGGTTCCACCTGGGTGTCCCAACAAAGCCGACAACCTCCCCCCTGAAAATTAGCCGACGCCAGTCGGCTAATGCATGACAACATGTTGTTTACCTCATTAGCATCGGCACAACCAACCAAAGCCACCCCTTCAATCAAGTAATCGCAACACTAGTCCTAGATTAGCCCAATGTTCCTCTCGAAACCTGCAGCGTATCAAGAATAGAAGCGGGGTCGAGGCAAGGACGTCGGAGATTGAAGTGGGTGGCTGGGACGGGCACCTCGCTACGCCCTGGACCCACCCCACAAACGGCGACCGCCGCTAAATTATATTACTTGTCTTGACCCCGCTCTCCTTCCTCTCCTCTTCTCTTTCTTTACAACAATCTACATTCAAGATGACTTGCTTTTCTTTCTGCGAAAACCATTGCGCAATGTCAGAATCCGGCTATGAGTTGATGGGGATGAGTTGTTTGTGGCGGGCATTGTCATCGTCGCCAGCGACGATGAAATGTAAAATCAAAACCAAGACGTCGTCTTTTTACATACAGATGCAGAACTGTATCTCGATGAGAGATACACTGTACAAAAGACGACATCTTGCTTTTGGGGGGGTGGTATCCTTCGGGATCTCCAACTGATGCGGCCATGCAGAATCAAGGCGTCGCCTTTTGTACAGTACATACAGATGCAGAACTGTATCTCGATGAGAGATACACTGTACAAAAGGTGGCGTCCTGCATTTGGCGGTTGTCCCTCCGGATTTCCAACTGGAGATCTGGAGAACAATTGTCCTGCGGCTTGCGAGAACCTGAAGGCCGCGCACTTTTGCCATCAGACCGCGTCGGACCTTCTGGGAGTGCTTCGAAGCTTCACCGGGTACAGATGAGCTAGAGCTTCTTGCAAGACACTCTCAAAAGGTCCAACGCGGTTATACCTGGCAAAAGTGTGCCGATACGATGAACGAGGAGATGAAGAGAAACAAGATGGTCAGATCTCGATCTGGGTCATCGAAGGTTCGTGTCCCGACTACCTCTAAGAAACGCATTCGACTGACGATTATAAAGGGCCCAAGCCAAGCTCCTCTCGAGGAAGAGGACGAGCCTCTCCTCTCGGCAACGGAAAGATTGAAGACTTGAACTTACGAGAAAACCTTGGTATGTGCCAAAAGACATGCATGATTCCATCGGCCTGTTCTCCTCCGCTAAACATCAGTCAAACAGGAAAATCAACGCAAACCCCAGCTTACAGGAGAGCATCATGGATTACGATGATGCTTGCCCTCCAGACAATAGCTGCCCTCCTCAATGACCCCCTGCCTGAACCGCAAACCCTCAGTCGGCAGAGATCGGAACCAGCTTTGCCGTCGCAATCAACTACAACCAACCTGTCGGTCCAGCATCCTGGCCGGTGAGCCCGGCGAGTCTCCAAAGGCAACTGCACGACCAAGGAAGTTGCGAACTCTCGGGGGATTGTAAGTACCTACCCTATCTCCCTCCTCCTTCCAAAAAAGTTTGTGAATCTATACTAACTGCCCCCATAGACGATCTCTCAGGACATTTGGAGTGAAGTCTGATCCAGATGTCCCTCCAGACGCCTGGTCCCTGGCGCATCCATCCGACACTCTCGATGCAGTCTCCAGGTTGACAAACTCACAATCCATCAATCTCCGTCGGCTTGGAGGCTCGCATGTGAAGAGAGAGATAGTTCATCTCAATGTTGACTATCTCTCACTTCACATGCGGTGTTACCATCTACTGCGCAGTGGGACTCCACAGTATTACACTCCGATGACCATGCCGGTCGAGATCCAAGATCCGAGACCCAGAGATGCCACGGGCGACAGTCCAAAGTATGTGGATAGGTGGAAGAAGGTAAGTCGTAATCGTTTGTCTGCCAGATTGTAGCAATGCTAACGACCCTTCCTAGGCTATCGCGACGGCGACTCGTGTCAACATCGCATGGGAAGCAATCTGTGAAGGTGCAGGAAGCGTACACATATGTATCTCAACCACACAAGCAAGAAAATAGAAACCCAATAATCAAGTTTTGCCTCTCTTCTCCTTTCATCTTCAATTTATTTTACAATTCAATTTATATACTCTACTTTTCTTCATTTGCAAACACATTGCGGCAGACCCCCGTTGACACACTTGAAGTGCGAAACATTCACAGCACCCTACTCGTACAATCAATGTATTAGTCATTGTTTCTCTATTGTGGATGTTCATTTCGAAATGGTATATATATAAGAAAGGGGTATGCTTACTCCTGGACAGTTACAGTCTTGCCTGGTGGTGTGTTTTTCTGGCTTCGTTTTGTGGTGATGGGGTTGCTAGCGTGAGGAGGACGAGGTATTTCATCTTGTGTTATGTTTTGTGTTTGGTTTTTCTTTTTTCTTTTTCTTCTTTTCTTTTCGGGGGTGTTTGTGGTGACTTTAATTACGAGTTGTTTGATGTATTTTCTTCTTCTTCCTTTTTCTTTTCTTTTCTTTTCTGATTAGATGGTTTGGCAAACGGGGACGAGGAGAAGATAGAGGATTGATGTACTTTCTCTTTGGTTCTGGGAAACTCATTTCTATATATACACAGAGTGGTGGACGGGGGGTCAAGTCGTCTGATATTACAGTTCGATGGGTTCCTCAGAGTTTCCAGGTCCGTTTCGGATTTTGGACTTGACTACTGTAAGTTTACATTACTTGGCATTGGAGCCTGTTCAGAAAGCTTACTTCGTCCCAGGTACAACCAACGTTCACTGCGCGAGCAAAAGACACACCCCTTCTGCAAGCCTGTGTCTGAATCCCAACGGTGCTCGCCATGCCCTCTACTTTCGGTCGATTGACAGACATATGACTATCCCTCCGATGAAATGTGAACTCCTGAGGCCTGAGGGAAGAAAGTATCTCCATCTTTACAGCATTCTCCCTGCAAAACAAAGTCATTGGGCCAGCCCAGTCACGTTTGCAAGCATTTGAGCTTCAATTCAACCAAGTTGTCGCATCCACTTTTCGCACAGGTTGTATCCGGACGTCTGGAACCTGGAAGGGAAATTCCATCACCCTCCGCACCTCCAGAGGCTCAAAATACGCCGCTTTCACCATCTTTTCAACTCAGCAATATGCCCATCCTCGCGGTAATTCCACTTTCATGGTTGGTCATCAAGCTGGAGTTCCGTTATCAGCTGATGTTCCTGGAAATGATTCTATGCACAAGGATACAACGATAACCTGAGAGATCACCAATGCTTCCTTGAGAGGCGATCTTACGAAGTACGACTCAATGACAACACCACTTCTTTGGTCCCGCCAATGATCCCCACATACGACAAGCGAGCACCACACTCCTTCAATGTATTGGAGCCTCTGCAGCAAACAAATCCAAGCTCCTCCAAATTCTCGAAAATCGGAAGGCCAACGGTGTTCACACATACCCATGGTCGCATTCCCTACTCGACTGGGTATTGTTCCATTTCCAGAAGTTGCAGATGTAGCCACCCCTGCTACAATTCCACTGTCTACGACCAACAAAACAGATATCACGACCTTGCGTTGCAAACGGGCAGCGAGGATCTGATCATCCACGACAGTGAGAAGAATCTCTACTTCTCCTGTCACCTGACGGTCAAGCTTCGCGAAAGTTAGACCACAAAAACGAGCATGCAACAACTTCCCAACGAGTATGTTTCCATAAAGGATCATCTCGTTCCCATGCATGTCTCTTTTTGCAAGGAAGGCTATTTTGCCCCGACATCGTATCACTGACCAGCCTCCAAAACACCAAGGATGTCGATTGGGATATCTGCTTGGGGCAATTACTCACATCGAAACAGGGCCGATCTGTTCGGCCGATTGATGTCAAGCCAAGTAGAATCCTCATCGATAATCCTTTGGTGTTTATGGAGAGTTGGTCAAACTTTCTTTTCAGGTGGGAGCGTAGAAATGGGGATTGCCCATTCTGCGTTCCCGGCCTGTTATGGGGGTGGTCGGTGTATCTTACAGGTATGCATCCTCCTCTTCGGTGGAGGCTGCATGTCTTGTAAATATACAGACCACCCCCACACTTGCTCCTTCTATGGACATATTGGGGCCAGGGGCAACCTGAGCGCCCCATATGTTCCATACCCAATTGGAGGAGTCAATGGCGCCCAAAGCCACAATACTGCTGACCTCGCCATCGTTGCCGATTGCATCAAACACTCCATCGCAATCGGTAACGGTAACAGCAACTGCATCAGCACAGGTACCAACATTTGACAGCGGGTCTTTCCAACTGTCTAGTCCTGCTGCTGATGCAGTTGATGCTGGTTTCCATTGCCCTTCAATTGGGAGGAGTAAGTCGCGCTCCACACCACGCCACACAATACCTGCTCCGAAAATCAAAGACCCGAGAGGGACAGGTCATTTGTGTGGGGAATACCACATGGCCAATCAACCTCCGCCAACTATCTTCATGTGCCAATTCCATGGCCAATTCCATGTGGTGTGGAGAAGCGAAACGCTTGCTCCGGTGAGATGATGGGGATAGTAGGGGAGATGAAGGTGGCGGCGGGGGAGGAAGTTGAAGTTGACGAGGATGACAGGAGGGGGAGGAGGAGGAGGCAGATGATGATGAGGACGAAAGGGGGGAGGTGGAGGTGGAGGAAGGTGAGGAGGATAAGAGGAGGCGGAGGTAGAGGAGGTACAACTCTTCTTCGCAATCCTGAATAATATGAAGGATTCGAAGGAGGAGGAGGAGGTGGGGGAGAGTCACGTAGGGGATGAAAGACTCAAAGTTGAAGGAGAGACACATGAGCCATGAAATCATCTGGGACAACCACCTCCGTGATGAGATTGGAAAGTTATCGGGGAGATGAAAAGCCAGGTGTGAGAGAGGTTAGATCCTCCCTGGCCGGTATGATGTGAAAAGGATAAAAAGAAATGGGGTTGGAACCTGGCTTGGAATTTAACACGGCTTGTACACGCTCATCTCGCTGACCTATGACGTATTGTTGTATATTGTATGTAGGAATTGACTGTGTTGTGCCAAATATGAAGATTTTGAGAGTGAAAAGCCTTTTTTGGTAGCTGTGTGTGTGCATGCTGGACCAAGGTTCAGTTTCAATCCCCACTCAAGTAGCATAATGAATGCCTCACCAAGATTTGTATTAGTACTCAAGAACACAATTCCTGGCCCTCTTGTATATAATTCAAATTCAGTAGGCGCCAATATGCTCATTCTCCTTCCCTGCTTTCCTCTCCTGTATTTCAACGTGGTGTATATGGGATATAAACGTAAACAGTGAAAGTAACAATCTTCCCAAAGCAATCACACAAGCAGTGTAGTTATGCGACAGGTTTGGAGAGATGGTATCGTGACTGGTGGGAGTGCCCAGACTCCACCAGGGCAACGGCGACCTCTCTTGCAAAAATCAGAGATTCAGAGAGGCCAGGATGTCCTAGGTTTGATTTAAGAACTGGAAATGAGGTGACCTGTTGTATTTTGACTTATTCCAAACTCTGGTAGAATGAACATTCTAACAACTTTGATGAGAGGTGTCTCTGCGGTCGTGGCTGTGAGTCGAGAATTATATCCTTTTCACGACAAGAGGTCGAGTCGGAAGTATATCGGCTTCGCTTCCGGTGCCAAAGTCTTGGTATTCGTATATTTCTCAGCCTTATGGTTCCATCGCAAGGCTCTTATTTTAGATGAGGCTAGACAAGCTGAGCTGAACTTGCCAAGACCATTTTGATGGGAATGTTGGAACATACAGAGATTGGTTGGGATGGGTTTGCTATGCAATGGATGAGTGCTGTTTTTGGAACACGCGGTGTTTGTTTTTGAGTTCAAAGGAGAAAGGAGGCTACTGTAATTTGACCTTCATACTAAAGTGTTTGCTCCTTGTATGGCAGAGTATGTTGCTGTTGACGGGCCCAAAATGCTGGTCGTTGCAGCGGGAGATTGGTATGGCAACCTTAAAACGAGTAGCCGAAGTATATAGTTCTCGAAAGGGCTTAAATTGTGGTATATGTGCAGCTAGATATTTACAATCGAAAATCAAAAAATGAAAAAGAATCCGTGAACTCACAATCATACCGCAATAGTAAGTTAGGTTGGTGGTACCTTAGCGGTATACTATGCAGTAGGTCCCAGCCAGCACCATATCGGCTATTGTATACTTAGCTACGGAGGCATAGGGGTACTTCCCAGTAACCCATTTCCACAGCTAGCAAGATATTTGAAAAATCGTACAGTTTTTTTCTGTAACCTGCACGCATTATACCCGCAAAAAGTTTGGTGTACAGTATGTTGCCCAGTATTAAACGCCAAAGGATGGTTGTTGGGTGAATGCCGGCTCGTTGCCCATGCCATGCCATGTACTGTAATCGCTGACGTCTGAGCCATCAAAGTTTCCTCCACCACCACCACCTCAGAGCAGAGCTTCCTCAACTTTCTTCCTCCCACCACCGCCTACCACCTCCAACAACACCACAAATCCACCACCCCGCATCCATCCCATCTCCTACACAACTGTTGGCATATCCAGTCAGCCTGCGTAGGAATTGAATCGACCGAGAATTAGAGAGGCGCCTGCACCGTTCCTCTCGACACGCTCTTTTCGATTCTACCCATCCCGAACCTGTCCATCGTGAATCTATCAATCGTCAGGTCACCACGCGTCGCACGCAACCATCTACGATCACCTAATCTCTATATCCGAAGTTCTGTGGCTGCGCTTCAGCTTCATCCGTCGCCATATCAAGCACCGTCACATAATTCTCTATCGCAAACGGAGAGGGAGATAGCCTTGCGAAACCGCCTTGTCGCCATCTCCGCCGAACCCTACGATACGTCTCTATCCCGGAGCTACCCCTCCGAGGAGACTCCATACTGGAGCAAGCAAGCTGTCACCAGCTAAGATCAAGACCTGAGGTAGTGGAGGGGGTTCCATATTAGGATTCCGCGGGTTTGCCGCTCCCGCCTTCATCATGGTCCAAATTACAAAGACTATGCTGCCGAAACACGCAGAAACGCTCGTAGGCTTCAAATTCATCCATACACCTGATTGAGCAATGCTGATAAATATCTAGTCACCATGGATCAAGGAGTTCCGCACTACTGCGTGCGCAACACCTTTACCCCTCCTCCCTCAACATCTATCGACCTTCCCCACTCGATGGCCCTTCCCTAGAGGTGATCTGTATCATTGGATTCCGCTTCTAAATCGATTCGATGTTGTTCTGGAAAAACTATGCGCTACGTACAAGCTGAATGATGGTCCACAAACATGCGAATTTCGACGCCAGATTCTTGAATCTTCAAATGGAGAGGCTGGTACGGATTCAAGAGAAACCATAGACCTCGATGCTCTTGGTTATGGCAAGGATGGCGATCGCCAGTTGGTGGAATCTTTTCTTAATTTCTCCCGAATGCTCCTGCAGAACTGTGGCAATCGTGCTGTCTACGCAAGTAGTTCGCATATGAATAGCTTGCTCAACTCGACTTCTTTATCGATTATCGAAAGTACCCTTCTCTTGGGCTCCGAGTTGGCGCAGAGATACCAATCAGCTCTAAAGCGAATGAATGTGTCGACCAGACATATTAGCACAAATGTCCTCGCACAGCATTACAATATCAATCTGGATCGCGTTGTTCAACTTGCCCTGCCATTCACCAAGACGGTTGTGACCTCACCGGAGACACAGTCAGGTACACCTACAACGCCCGGTGTCAAAGGCAAGGAAAAGGCTGTATTTTCACTCTCCACGAACCAGAAGACCACCAGTACCACATTGTACGCTAACGATCTTTCTTCTATGGTCAAGGGAGCAAACGGTGCTAGTAATAGTCCTATTGCCGCTCGAAGTGAACACGGCAAGAATTCTACTCCGGCAACCGAGAACGGGTGGGAGAAATGGGGCGATGTGAAGATCACTTATTATCCTAAGCAAGATACAACATCAGATGCGCTTATCAATCTTGCCCGTGCTGCAACTATCCCGGCATCGCCTAGTCCTGTCACTCCAACGCCTGTTAGACGATCGTCTAACTTGGGCCCACAGAGCCACCGTTCAAGCCGACATGCGGGATCGGAGGATAGTCCATCTGTGGTACGATCTCCAGCGTTCACAGAAGATACATCACGTCCTGCGTATAAGGTTGTCGAAATATCATCTAATCAAGTCAAGTCGACGAGTATCCACAAACTCCTCGAGGATAATGCTCGTGAGTTGCCAAAGGAGCTGCACTATGAACTCCTAACCAAATTACGGCTTGCCTCTGCCTTAACAACCTCTATCGAGACGCGAAGACAGATTTTGGCCATCCGCCTTTTGGCAATTACCAATCTCGCTTATATCCATCCAGAAGCTACCTTCCTCGAAAGCGTTTTGAAGCAGGATTCGGAGGAGCCACGCCGAATGCAGCTCGCCTATCAGCTCGCAGATATGGTCCACCCACCTGCTGACGGTGATGTTGCGGTTCCTGTTCCGCTCCAGACTTTAGCGCTCTCAACTCTTGAAGCACTCTCAGCATACCAAAGTAAATTCCCTGACGTGTGCGCTGCCTTGAATACAACGGTCAACCATGGTGTTTTGCTGTATGTTGTTAGAAAAGCCGTGGCCGAGATGAGCATCGAGGAAGATGGTGACAAGATTACGGAAAAGGATGAATGGCGTGATTCTTTATTCTCCCTTCTGTCAACGCTATCTCTGAATGGTCGCACTGGCTCTGATCTCGTTACAGCTGGCCTCATACCCATCTTGGTTGAAGTGCTTAGCTTACGTACAAATGTCGCCGAGTGCTATCATCCTAAGATTCTATCATATCTGGACAATATCATGTATAGTGCACGTGATGCTTTCCAGGCTCTTGTCAGTGCTGATGGTCTGGATGCCGTGTCCAACTTGATTGTCTATGAAGTTAAGAATGCTGCCGAAAACGCCGCTGCTGGTAAAGGTATCCCAGCTGAATTCTGTTCAGCGGCTGTTGATTACACTATTCCATTTTATCAACAGCAAACACTCAAGTGGCTTTTCAAATTCATTCATCATATGATGTCAACAGCCGGAGGTTATGGAGGTAACTTTGATCGCTTGTTGCGCAACCTGATTGATTCTTCGCCACTGCTGGGCAGTCTTCGTCAAATCATGGGAAATTCAAAGGTTTTTGGTTCCATAGTGTGGACCAACTCCGTCAGCATCCTTAATGATTTTATCAACAATGAGCCCACCAGTTTTGCCATCATTGCTGAGGCTGGACTGAGCAAAGGTTTTCTCGAGGCTGTTACCGGGACAGAAATCCCAACTCCTGAACCGCCCAAGGAGCCCGAATCTCATACTAACGCCGGAGAGTCGACGACAGAATCAACGGCTGATACTACAAGCCCTAGCTCTCCATCTGACAATGACGAAGACGACGACGATGACGACACTGGCGATGACGAACCACCAATTTCATCTCGCCGACCACTGTTATCAATGCTAGAGGTTCCACGATCAGGTCCTCTTGCTCGTGGTATCATGCCAACCTCCGAGACTATCAACATTATCCCGCAAGCATTTGGAGCATTATGTCTGAACAACTCTGGTATGAAGATGCTACAATCTTCTCGCGCTCTGGAAATATTTTTCGAGATCTTCGAGAGTCCGGAGCATGTCAAATGCATGGACAATAACAAGGAGCTTCCCGCCAACCTTGGTGGCACATTCGACGAATTGGTTAGGCACCACCCTGCTCTTAAGACCGCCATCATGAATGCAATTCTTGACATGGTCGCCAGAGTTGGTTATCTTTGTAAAACCAAGGCCGAGAAGCAGAAGATTGGTGCTAAGCTGTGGACTACCAACTCCTCTGGAAAGACAGTAATTGCGAATTCTGAACTCAACCAATCCGTACAATCGCTCAAGGGCAAAGAGAGGGTAGTAAGCAACACATCTGACGTGGATGTAGATATGCAGGATGCTGGACAAGTGTCGGAGCAACCTCAAGATGGCGCAACGTCTGAGGAGCTCACCCCCAACGCATCCCTCACCCCTTTTATCACGGCTGTCGGGACTTTCCTGGTCACGATGCTAAGCAACTCAGCCGTCCGTACCGAGTTCTGCGCCAAGGGTGGCATCGAGTTCGTCCTCGACCTTGTGGATTCCCCATGTCTTACATATGACTTTTCTGAGGGAAGCGCAAGTCGAAACCTCCACAATGTGATTGCACTACTTGCAGAACCGAAGCCGCATCTCACAATACCCTCGTTGCTTCAACGTGCATTATCTGCGACTGAAACCCTTTCCTCCTTTGCAAATAATCAAGGAGGAAAGTCCTTTTTTGCACCATTTGTCAATGCAGAGTCACGAGAATCTGCTGACACGGAACTTCTTGCTCGGGGCACAGACTTTGCCAAAGCATTCGTTAACCTGCATTCTCTTTTGACTACCCTCAATGCATGTTTCTCAGCTGCTACTTACAATGCTCGTAACACGAACCTTGGCTTCATGCAAATGAACCTTGGTGATTACTACGTCCAGCTTGTAAAGGCACTGGGTCCCCTATTGGGGGCTGCCTTGCGTGAGGAGGTTTATATCATTAAGCTTATTCCTGATCATTGGAAGAATGCCAGCCGTGTCAAGGATATTGGGTTTGGCGAGACTAGCTCCGAGATTGTTTCGGAACTCGACACCCCTCTGCCTGCAACTGATGTGCAAGAATCAAACGATGCAGCTCCCGCACCTTCAGGCGACGCAAATCCAGAGGTTGACGCCGCCAAAGCTGCGGTGAAAGCCGTGGAATTGAGCATGAAGACGCCCACAAAATCTGAGCAGAGTAGTCCATATTTCAAGAACTTCCAGACGCTTCAATATCTTCTGAGCAAGGTGTCGAAATGTGTTTCTCCTTTCTTCCAGACATTAGGAAAAGCCTTGGTTCTGAAACGAAATCCGGAGCCATTTCAAAAGCAAAACAATAGTGCTATTGCAAAGGCGCTTGCAGAAAGCATCATTATTCAGTTAGCAGCACCAAGCGAAACTTCGCCAATCGAGTGCTATACCTACTGGATTGGAGTTCTCCGCGTATTGAAAGATGTGCTCACTGACACCTCGTGTCACAGCGGTGAACGTGCCGCGCAAGTCATCACAATTGTTCTGCTAGCTTTCAAGGACAATGGTGGATTTGATGTTCTGAATGGAATCCTCGAGACCTTCACAAATGAGATTCGATCAAACAATGAGGAGCCGGGCAAAAATATGACTGCGGAGGCGTCAGTCCGACATGAGCTCGCAACTGCCGGGACAAGACATATTCTCACTATTTATGCACAAATTGTAAATGGAAAATACGTCACTGAATCTCAGCAAACTGGTACGATGGCAGCACACCGTGAACGAGAGCGTTCTCGCACAGACCAGTTTTCTCCGTCGCAATTTATTGTTGAGCTACGAATGGCTGTTTTGCCTATTACTCGTCGGCTATGGCAGTCGGACCTGATTGAAAAAGGCTCGAGTCAGATCTCTGAAAAGCTGATCGAAGTTATTCGGACCATTTGCTTAGCCGATAATGAGAGAGATGCTTTCAAGCGTTCTGACCCAGTCCCACCAATTTCCAAAGTTCCTAGACAAAAGTTCAAGGTCAGCTCCGAGGGCCTCGTAACACTCACAGGTGGTCACTCCTACGATGTTGACCTTGCAAACGAGGCACTTTATCGCTGCAATAACAATCAACCATACGCATCAGAGTATTGCAGAGAGGCGACAGAAGGTAGAAATAAACGCAATCCAATCCCCGAGGGTGATCTGGTTACCACTTCAGATGCAGCTACCTCTTCTCGGCCGCGAACATCCGCTTCTACGGGTGCTTCAACTGGCACGGCGACCCCTGACGACAATGCCATGGCTGTGGACTCCCCTGCAAATCTTCCAGAAATCATTTCTCAGCTCAATCAAATCGTCCCACCAGCCAATAACGGAGAAGGAGGTCAGGAGAATCTTAGTGATCTGATCAATCAATTTTCCCAAACTGCGCCTGCAAATGAACAATCTCGGCCAGGCTCTGTCTTGGGCTCTCGACCTCCTAGCTCTAGAGCTCACCAATCATCTCCGCTCAAGAACTCGATATCCGTTGACGATCAAGAACCAGAGCCCGTTCGAATCACCATAGATGATCTCAATGAGGAACGAGAGGCTATTCGTGAGGATCTGATCGACAAATGTCTCGATGTTATCAATGCACACGGTGATGTCACTTTTGAGATTGCAGACTTGATTAGCACCGCGGTTAACAAATCCTCCGAGGCTTTCAAGAATGTCGGAACTACACTCGTGATCGCACTAATGTCTTTTGCTGGCGAGGAAGATCTGCGTGCGGAGGGCAAGAAAATTGCCGCATATGCCAACTTACTAGCTTTGATGTTGCGTGAAAAGGCATTCTACACTGCAGCCATTGGGGACCTAAAGGAAAATCTGGGTAACCTACTCAGTTTTGTTAGATTATCTCCTAGCCATTCGGTTGACGAGCCATCTCCCTGGATTGCCCAAATTCTACTGGTTATCGAAATGTTACTGAGCGCTGATGCCCGTCCACGGAAGACCATTTGGACACAGCCAGCTGACGAGAATGATGAGATTAAGGAGCCAGTACTGGATTCATACGATCCTGCTGTTACCCAAGAAGAGCACCTGCAATTATTTGAAGCCATTCTTGACATTCTTCCACGAATCGGCAAGGATGAGGGACTTGCTCTTGCAGTTTTGCGTATTTTGGTCATTCTCACACGTACAAGATCAGTTGCTGAAGCAATGGGCGAGAAGAAGAACATTCAGCGCCTCTTTGTCATGGCCAAGCAGCTTGCTGGCGCCAGCTCAGCTCGCATTCAGAGTCCTCTGATGATTATTCTACGACACATCATTGAAGATGACGAGACGGTCAAGCAAATTATGCAATCCGAGATCAAAGCCTACTTCGACTCATCTCGTACACAGCGAGCACCTGATGTTCAAACTTATATTCGAGCATTGGCTCACACTGCCATTCGCAACACGGGTCTCTTCGTGGAAACCACAAATGAAATGGTAAAGTTTATCCGCTGGTCATTCACTTCTGATGCACAGGGTCGACATTCTTCTACTCTTATGCTCAAGGAGGCACCTGGGTCAGAAAGCGAAAGCAAGGCTGCCGAAGATGCAGTAACACCAACGGTCCAGGCTACCGAAGATCTCACAATCCAGGACATCAAGGTTTCAACTGAAGCTGGAGATAGTGAGATGCAAGAAATTACAAACAAGCCTGGCCCCGAGTCCAAGTTACCTATCGTGGAAAAGGCCGACGGAGTCATCCACTTCCTCCTCTGCGAACTTCTCAACTACAAGGATGTAGAGGACAAGGACCCTGCCGCTATTGCTGCTGCAACGGAGCAAGCAAGCGCTTCTGCGCCAGCAAATGAGGACGTTCAAATGGCCGGATCACCTACGGAGCCTATTCCCAAGGAACCAAAGAGCGCAAAGGCTTCTTACAAGCAGGAGTTGAAGGGCGAGGAACACCCAATCTACATTTACAGATGTTTCATTCTTCAATGCTTGACTGAGCTTCTGTCATCTTACAACCGCACAAAGATTGAGTTCATCAACTTTAAGCGTAGCGCTCCTCCTCAGGCAATGACACCATCCAAGCCTCGTTCGAGTGTTGTGAACTACTTACTTTTTGATCTGATTCCAATCGGTACACTTGATCATGCGGAGACTACAGCACTGAAAAAGAAGGCTGTAACGTCGATTTGGGCAGATTCGGTTATCACAGCGCTCCTTGCGAAGACAGGAGAGAAGCCCCTCGATAATAAAGTGCCACCATATGAGGGCGAGGACGAGTCTGATCTATTATTTGTCCGCAAGTTTGTTCTCGAGAATATTCTCAAAGCTTACAAGGAGGCAAGCTCCTCCCAAGAGTCATTGGATATCAAGTACGCTCGAATGCTGGCACTTTCGGATCTCATGGCCCATATCATGAGTGGCAAAGAGAATATTGCTCTTTCGGATACCGCTTTAGCTAGCGCATCTCAAAAGCAACTTCGTCGTATCATGTTTGAGAAGGGTTTCATTTCAGCTTTGACTGCTTCCATTGCAGATATTGACTTGAACTTTCCAGGTGCTAAGCGTGCTGTCAAGTACATCTTGCGACCTCTCAAGACCCTTTCCACAACCGCTATTCAATTGAGCGACCTTGGCTTAGTTTCCGGGACTCCTGGTCAAAATGAAGAAGACGAGATTGAGTCAGCCACCTCCGTTTCTGACCCAGAAGACGAGCGTGAGGAGACCCCTGACTTATTCCGAAACTCGACTCTGGGTATGTTTGAACCAGGCCATGAGGGTGACAGTTCTTCCGAGTCTGAAGATGGTTAGTTTTCCACGCATTCTCTAATTTTTCCCTTACTAATGATCATAGATGACGAGGAAATGTACGAGGGTGAATATGACGAGGAGATGGACTATGAAGAGGAAGATGCCGAAGACAACATTAGCGACGAGGACGAAGCTATTGATGGCATGGGTCCTATTGAGGGTCTTCCTGGAGACGTTGGCGTCGAAGTCATTATGGATGAAGATGATGAAGACGACGATGATGACTCTGACGATGAAGGATCAAGCGGCGATGATCACGATTCTGAAGATGATGATGCCCACGTTGAAATCATCGAAGAAGGTGAAGACGGCGAAGAACTTGGCGCCGATGATGATATGGACGATTGGGAGAGTGATGATAACGACGATGACGGCGAAGAGGAAGATTACGAAGGCCAAGCTGCCGACCAAGAGGAGCTTCGCAATATGGACATGGGCATGGGAGGCATGGCTGTAGGCGGCTCCCTTAGTCACATCGTTCGTGCTCTTGAGGCTGGCGGAGAAGATGCTGCCGAAATTATGGAGCGTATGGAAGAGGAAATGCAAGCCGAAGGCATGAATCCAGAAGATGATGAAGATGCCGACGAGCGAATCGCTGCCGAGTATGTTGAGGAAGGTGATGAAGATGGTCAGTTTTCCGGCATCCTTTTTATCTGTCAAGTACTAACCGAACCTGATAGAAGACGATGAAGATGAGGATGACATGGACGAGGATGAAATGTTATTTGAGCAGGGTTATACCAGTAGGTGCCTCCTTCTAGATTCCTTTTTAATACTAACTTACATCAGTGGATGGCCCAGGCCCAGGAGCTTACGGTTGGGAGGGCGAAGTGGAAGCCCCGATTTTGCATCGACGACCACGCCCAGGCGGTTTCCCTCCATTTCCCTTCTTCGCTGGTCGTGAACCGCTAGGTGGTATGTTATCTGACCCCACCCAACTACTTTCCGCATTTGAGGAAGACTTTGATGAAGGAGACGCATCGCGCAGTATTTTCACCCAGTTGTCTACTCTTGGTCAACGAATTACAAGCTTGGTAGAGCAAGTTACTGGCAGAAACAGAACTAATCCGAATACAGTCCCAGGGGAATACCGCGCTTCATATCGAACACACAGACCTGGCGGAGGACCATCTCGAGGCGCTGACAACGATGGAACTAATCCTCTTCTGCAACGTGGAAGAGATTCCGGACGCAATACTGGAAGTCTCAGTTCATTCATGCAGGCACTATCAGGTGCGGGTGAACAATTCGAGATCAGTGGCCGACACTTTGGTGAGCCCGCCGAGAGACAAGCAATGTTGGAACTTTTGATGGGCAGACATTTACCATCTATGGCAGGTACCACCCGAAATGGTGCGGCCCTTCAGTTCCACTTTACTACTGCTCCAGGACAATCAATCCCCCCTGAGCTTCAGGCCTTGTTTGGCCCGGCCCGTGGTGCTCGTTCTGACCCTAGACGTGACTCTCAAGAGCCCGGTGCGTTCTTCTCGCCGCAATCAACCACTGCCAGATGGCTAGAAGAGGCGAAACTTCTATTCGCTCCTCATCATCTTGAAAAGGCAATGGACATTGCCAACGCTATTCTAGCTGTGTTGGTTCCTCCAGCGATCGAGGCCGAAAAGGCCCTTAAAGCAGCCGAGGCAGAGCGTGTTCGCAAAGCAGAGGAGGAAAAGAAGCAACAGGAGGAGGCAGAACGAATTGCCCGAGAAGCCAAAGAGGCCGAGGAGAAGGCCGAGCGAGAAAAGAAGGAGGCTGAGGAGCGAGTGGCCAGAGAAGCTGCTGAGAGAGCAGAGGCCGAGGCTCGTGCTGCACGAGGCCCCGAGCCAGAGGAAGCTGAGAAGGAGACAAATGACGGTGATGCAATGGACGGTGTTGAGACGGAAGGTGGAACGGCGGCGATCGAGGAAGCTCAACCAGACGAAACACCCGCAGCAGACCGACCAAGAATCACTACTATGATCCGCGGAAATCCTTTTGACATCACTGACCTTGGCATTGATGCCGACTTCCTTGCAGAACTGCCGGAAGAGATCAGAGAGGAGGTTATTATGTCGGCTGTTGCTGAGCGAAGATCTCAAGCTGCGGTTACTGGTGCTCAACCTTCTGATATTGACCAGGAGTTCTTGAATGCTCTTCCTGATGATATTAGAGACGAAATTATCCAGCAGGAGCGACAAGATAGACGCAGACGTGAACGAGAGGAGCGAAATCGTCAAGCTGCTGCTGCTGGTGGACCAGCCAATAACGCTGAGATGGATGCTGCCAGTATTCTTGCTACTCTACCTCCAGCCCTTCGACAACAAGTGTTACTGGAGCAAGACGATGAGATGCTCTCACTACTTCCACAGGAACTCGCAGAGCAAGCCCGTGCTGCTCAGAGAGACTTACCAACTCATCATGGAAGAGGCCCACCTCAAACGGCACGACGAACTGGTGGTGATCCTCGCCTCGCACAAGAGATTGCCGCTCAGCGCCCACAACGACGTGCGATTGTTCAAATGCTAGACAAGCCTGGTATTGCCACCCTTCTAAGATTGATGTTCATCTTCCTGCATGGCAGTCTACGAAACACTCTGAACTCTGTGTTGCAAAATATCTCCATGAACCGCCATAACCGAACCGAAGTTCTGAGCACAATCCTCCACATCCTCCAAGACGGCAGCTTTGACATGTCAGCTGTTGAGCGCAGCTTTGCACATCTTTCCTTGCGAGCAAAGCAGCCCAAGGATAAGGACCCCAAGAACCCTCAAGGTGTCAAGCGAACACTTACGGGTATGGCTGTCAGTTCTGCTGCCCCCACAAACTTGGAAGCGTCTCCACTTATGGTTGTGCAACAATGCCTATCGGCCTTGGTATATCTTACCCAAGTCAATCCACACATTCCGGCTTTCTTCTTAACAGAGCATGAGCCATTGGGCGGTTTGAAGCGTAGTCTCAGTCGCAAGGGTAAGGGCAAGGAGACGAAGTCTGTTAAATATCCACTGAACTCGCTTCTCACTCTTCTCGATCGTCAGACTATTATGGAGAGTTCCCAGGTGATGGAATCGTTATCAACACTGCTTAACATGACTACGTCGCCGCTCCAAGCTCTACAACGCAAGCAAAAGGAGGCTGCGGAGGAGGCTAAGAAAGCTGAACGAGCTGCTGCAGAGCCTGCTGGCGAGTCATCCGCACACACAGAAGCCACAGCCACTACAGGAGAACAACAAGTTGAGCCACCGGCCGACGAACAACCAGTTTCAGTCACTGTTGTCCCAGTACCATCCGCACCAACAAGCGCTGGGGGTGATGCTTCCACATCCACAGAAGCTCAAGCTACTACCCCTGCAGAGACAACTACTAAGGAGCCAGAAAAGGATTCCGACAAGAAGCAACGACAGATGATCCCTCCGGTGATTCCAGATCACAACCTCAAACTTGTCATCAAGATTTTCGTTGCCCGCGAGTGTAGCTCAAAGACTTTCCGTGAGACACTCTCTACCATCAAGAACTTATCTGCAATCCCAGGTGCAAAGGCAATCTTTGGTCGCGAGCTTATCGCACAGGCTCAGGCACTCGGAGAGTTGATATTGGTAGATCTTATCGAGTTAATTCCTCAGATCAAGAAGGCTTCCACGGGCACCGAGATCCAGGGCGTCGCGTTGGCGAAATTCTCCCCTGGTGGTTCTGATCAAAACAAGCTGTTGCGTGTACTTACCGCGTTGGACCACCTTTTCGACCCCAAGCGTGACAGAAAGGACGGTACCGACGGCGAATCAGATGGAGATTCATCACAATTAGTTGAGAAGCAGGATTTGCTTTCTTCTCTCTACGAAAACTCGACCTTTGGTCCAATGTGGGATAAGCTTAGCGAATGTCTGCGATCAATTCGGGACCGAGAGCACATGCAAAATGTTGCCACAATTCTTCTTCCTTTGATCGAGGCATTGATGGTTGTTTGCAAGAACACCACTTTGAAGGATGCTTCAATCTCACAATCCCAAGCTGGCAAGGAATTGATGATGACTAGCCCACCGCCCGAGTCTCGCATGGAAAGCTTGTTTTTCACATTTACTGAGGAGCACCGCAAGATTCTCAATGACCTTGTTAGACAGACTCCCAAGCTCATGTCGGGAACTTTCTCCTTGCTTGTCAAGAATCCCAAGGTCTTGGAGTTTGATAATAAGCGCAACTACTTCAATCGCAGTGTCCATGCCAAGACACCAAATGGTCGACAATCTTTCCCGCCACTTCAACTATCTGTTCGACGAGACCAAGTCTTCCATGACTCGTACAGATCCCTTTTCTTCCAGACTGGTGACCAAATGAAATACGGCAAACTCAGTATTCGATTCCACGGTGAGGAGGGTGTTGACGCTGGTGGAGTTACTCGCGAATGGTTCCAAGTCCTCTCGAGACAAATGTTTGATCCTGGCTATGCGTTGTTCATTCCTGTGTCATCAGACCGCACTACATTCCATCCAAACCAATTGAGTAGCGTCAACGAGGAGCATCTGAATTTCTTCAAGTTCATTGGACGCATCATTGGTAAGGCTCTTTACGAAGGTCGTGTTCTCGATTGTCACTTCAGTCGTGCTGTTTACAAGCGAATCCTGGGCAGACCAGTTTCAGTCAAGGACATGGAATCTCTCGATCCGGAATACTACAAATCTCTTGTCTGGATGCTGGAGAATGACATTACGGACGTCATCACAGAGACATTTTCGGTTGACAATGACAAATTTGGTGTTGTAGAGACCATTGATTTCATCGAGAATGGTCGCAACATCCCTGTCACCGAGGAGAACAAGCATGAGTACATTCGTCTAATGGTAGAGTGGAAGCTCACTGGCTCAGTAAAGGACCAATTGGATAACTTCTTGAAGGGTAAGCTATTTCTCATCGTAATACGTTATAACACGTACTGACTTTGCATAGGATTCCATGACATCATTCCTGCTGAACTCATCGCAATCTTCAATGAACAAGAGTTGGAATTGTTAATCTCTGGCTTGCCTGAAATCGATGTTGATGACTGGAAGAGTAATACCGAATACCACAATTACTCGGCCTCATCTCCACAAATCCAATGGTTCTGGCGAGCTATCCGCTCTTATGACAAGGAGGAACGCGCCAAGCTTCTCCAATTCGTTACGGGCACAAGCAAAGTACCACTAAACGGCTTCAGAGAGTTGGAGGGCATGAACGGCTTTAGTCGATTCAACATTCATCGCGACTATGGTAACAAGGACAGACTGCCAAGCTCGCACACGTGCTTCAACCGTAAGTTGAATTTTACACTAAATCTATCATTCATCATCGCTAACACTATCATCAGAACTTGATCTCCCAGAGTACGAAAGTTACGAGCAACTTCGTCAACAAGTCTTGACAGCAATTACTGCCGGCAGCGAGTATTTCGGTTTCGCATAAGTCTTTCGAAATATGCATATTCTTCTGGTTCCTGTTTTTCTCTTTCTAATGAATGACATTGATGCATTGGCGAATTGATTGCATTTGGCAGGTGTCTGTTGATATTTCTTTGCGCTTCTACACTTTCTGCGACATGTATTCCGGTTGTTCTCTGGAGTGCTTGGGGCCATCAAGCGTGCATGGAAGTTGACGGTTCTTTTTTTCTTTTTCTTGCGACGTTCATCTTCGGATGTTCGTCTGTTTTTTTCTGGTGCAGTGGGAATGGGTTCAGCATTTTTTGTTCGCTTGGACTGAATCGAGGGGGGTGTTCATCGACTACGTGCAGGTTGGTTCGATGGATTCTTTCTCTTTGACTTGGGGACGGTGATTTTGCTGGGTGGCTGCTGGGGAGAGAGGGAAGGGGCAAGGGGCAAGGGGGGGCGTGCAAAATATAATGATTTATGATGAACGTGGAAAATAATGGAAGGGGTGCCTCTGGGGAGATATTAGATAGTTTTGTTGCTGAGCTGGTGGGATCGTCATACGTGATGATCTGCGCCGGTGGGTACGTCCTTGATAGTAATCAGAGGTTCTTTTACAATTAATTATCTTGGTGTATTTGTAGAGTTGTGCTAATTACGCGTGATTAGCTACTAAAAAACACCCGATATATGCCCTACATATATCGTATTAGCCTAGGTTTACTTCTACTAGTGAAATATCCAGGCGCGCCGTCTCTTCTAGTTTATTACCTTTGACGCCCGACAACGTACCTAGACCATCCCTATTCCAGGGAACTATAAACCCCCCTTCTCAGGAGTCAGAAACCCCCCTCTTCCCCCCACAAGAACTTCCCTCCTCTCCTCCCATCTCAACAACACAAAACGACTCCCTCAACCCATCTACTCTCACCATCCCAAATCCCAGAAGATGCCCACTCTCCCCAGTATAACCTTATAATATAGCAGCACAGCCACCGGCCTTCCCATTCTCCTCCGCAAAATGGCGCTGGTACTTAAATAAGCTATTAAGACTGCGCACTGGCGACCGGGGATCAAGTGGGGTTGGAAAGGGGGTCTTGAGGATAGGGAGGGGGTTTTTGGTATTAAGCTGGTGATGACGGGGGTGGTTGGTGTGGGGTGGTTTTGGGTTGGTTGGATGGGTGTTGATAACTTTCTACGCGTAGGTATGGCGCATTGTTTGTCTTCGAAATGGGGGGAGAGGAAAAGGGGGGATTTGTAGGGTAGAAGTGGAAGTGAAGAGGCTGGTTGTGAATAGGTGAATGAGAGGAGAGGATAGAAGGATATGTGTAGCTTTATTCTGGAGCAGAGAATTAATGGGAAATGGAATGACTTTGAAGAGGAGGAGGTCTGAGTGGATGCGGGAAAGGGTTTGAATTGAGGTTTAAATGCTTGTGGCTTGGTTAGCTATGTATATATACGTACAAGTAGGTAAAACATAATTGTTAGCGCGACATGTGTGTTAGTTTAGCCTCTGTAGGGAGGTAGTCTTCGGGGCTAGGAAAAGCCTACATGTATAACTGAAAGATTTCCCCCGCTTTTATTCCTCTCTCTCAACCTAATACGACAGCCGCGAAAGCGGATCTACGCGACAGCAAGGATAGTAAGGCTATGGGTAGTAGAGATAGCGAATTCATACGTAAGCAACTGAGCTCGCTAATCTTAAGGTACAGGGAGAGTAACAGTAGTAAATATATACCTTATGTGATCTACATTATCTCGTTATTAGTCTCCGGGTATATTCAGGATACCGTATATATCAATCTAACCACCGCGGCTTAAGGTATCGCCCTATCGCGAAAGTAGTAAGAAATGTTTCATTTAGGTAATAATTACCTTACTTACTATTAGACTTTAGGTTTAAACCTTAGTCTGTTCTCGCCTATTCTAGAATGTTCGATCACGTGAACCGAAACATTCTAGTATCCCTTTCTATTTATAAGCACTTCTATTCTATTTATAACCTATCGAACCTCCTAGAATCTATCTAAGGAGTATATATAGACCTTTACTGTCCTTATAGTTAGAAAAATCAAGTCATCTTAACAAGTCAAATTCTTACTCTTTTGATTCCCGATGTTCCTAGCAGTCATCTGACCATCCTCTTCCACTGTCTTATATACACTCTGTATATAACCGATACCTCTTACAAGAAACAAGGGCTATCTACTAGTGTGTTACAGGGTATTTTTCAAGCTATTTTATATGTAAACAGCGCTCGGTAACTGAAATTCCATTTCATTTTATACACCCTATTCTATAGAAATTCCATGGAACCGAATCACATGACCCGGAAAAAGTCCATCCGCTCCGTGAACCAATAGGAAGCCTATATTCTGTCGGGCCCGTGCGTATTATAAACATAGCGGTATAAAATATTATTTAGTAGCTCTCCGATCCCTTAACTAACTTATCTATCGCTAAACTATTTACTATATTAGCATTATATAAACGTGTTTTCTCTACTTAAGTCCGGAATATTATAAAGGATAGATATATTTATTTATTTATTTATTTATCTCTATTTAACGTCAAGCGGATTCTAGCTCGCGTGGGCTAGGTCCTAAAGAGTCCCAAAATAGGGCAAATGACGCTAGGGGGGTGCCCTAGGCTACAGGGGGTGTAAACGGAAAGAGCTAATTTACAAGAGACAGTTTAGAGAGAAGCTCCACTTTCGGAACAGCTCTTATCCTTAATTAGTTCTAGAACCAGGGTAACAACAAAGGAGATATTTAATAAAAGGAAAAAAGAAAAGAGAAATAAAAGAAGGCCTGTCTATCTAGAGAGACAGATTTTAGTGTAGAATCCGGTCTTAAAGTAGACCTGGCTAAATGGCTCCGCGCAGTGAGATCCAAATAGCAGTTGAGGGTTCTTCTCAGCCTTTGCTAATAGCTTAGGGGCTTTGTTGTTTGCTAGCTTGCAAAAGAGTAGGTGGAACTGGGTCTTGGCCTTCCTACACTTACAGTTCCCTGAATTGAGTAGCGCGTCGAAGTGAAAGAAGCGAAGATGGTAGGCAGTAAAGCCTCCGTGTCCAGAACGAGCAGCGATTAAGCGAGCGAGGACCTCTCTTGGTAACTGGAGAGACTTGGGCTTCAAGAACCAGGTACAGAGGCCTAGGTCCTTATATAGAACTGGGAGTGTAGTATTCCAGAGGTTTCTTGCTAGCCTGATCCCTAGCTCCTTTACCTCTCTCTGAAGCGTGGCCGTACAGAGTAGAGGGAGGGGACCAGAGGGGGGTGTCCGCGCCGCTTTCCCTGCAGCTTTATCCGCAATCTCATTGCCTAGGATACCTATGTGGCTAGGGCACCACCTTGTTCGTATTTTCCCAGGGTAAGATTGAGTTAATTCGTTGACCTTGTTAAAGGTTTCTTGCGAGGTGCCACAGGACCGGTAGGTTAACTGTAGTGTAGCTTCAAGGTTGTCGAGGCAGATCCAGCACTTTCTAGCCAAAGACCAGAAAGGGGAGTCTAGGGCTAGTTCTAGGCCATGTAAAGCAGCTCTAGCCTCTGCATCATATATCTCTAACGCCTTGCCAAAGGAAAAGATCTTAGTGTCGAGAATAGCCCCTCCTCTTGTAAGACATACGCCACCACCAGTACTTTTGTCGTCCAGGCGGGAGCCGTCGGTAAACACAACTAGGTCGGTAGGTGGGACAGTAGCTAGGAAGTCAAGGAATTTGGCCTTAAAAGAGCTCTTGTCTCCACCAGGGTCAGGTCCCGCTACCTCCAGTAGGCGGGCTTGTCGGTTGAACCCTCTATTCCACGGAGGGTCTTGAATGGGGTCAATCTCTTCAGAGGGAGGGAGGGCTCTGTGAGAGCGGTAAATGAGCCTAGCTTTCGAGCTAGGGTTATTAACACATCGTTTCAGCGGGTGGGCAGGGTCTAGTCGTCTGATCCTAGCTTCTAGTGCTTCGCTTCTTGTTATAAGAGCAATTTCAGAGGCTAGGAGGCCCGATTCCATAAGGAGTACTGAGGTGGGAGTGGTCTTGTATACTGGGAGGATGATCCTAGCACACTTGGCTACCACTCTATCTAGCAGAGTTAGGTGACGGCCAATTCGGTTGTTTGTAGTCCCTCCTCCCTTAGCCCTGGCTCGTCCAGGGAACCAGGTCTCGCTTCCAAAGTAAGCGACTGATAGAATGCAAGCTGTGGTGGCCTGTTTCAGCAGGTAGGAGGGAGAGCCTCATGTTGTGTTTGTGGTCCCTTTTAGAGCAGTCGCTGCTAGCGTAGCCTTACTAGCCATTCTCTTAACATGGCTATGGAAGGAAAGGCGGGGATCAAAGAAAATGCCAAGCCACCGGAGCTCTTGTGTTGGTTCTATTGTCCTGTTTCCTACTACAATGGAGGGAGGCAAACGTATACCCCTCCCTTTTTGCTTTCTCTTACGAGAAAATTGGATAAGTTCAGACTTCTCAGCGTCGAAGGTAATGCCCTCCTCTGTTCCCCACTCCAAAGCCTTAGCTACCTGTTCTGCGAGTGCCTTGATATTCCCTGCCTTCGTGGGCCCTGAAGCAAGTAATCCAATGTCGTCCGCATAGCCGAACCTTTGTAACACTGGGAAGGAGCCTACCCCTGAGGTGAAGAGTGGCTGGATGTAGAGCATGAAGAGGATAGGCGAGATAGGTGAGCCCTGGGGCAGACCACATTGAAGAGGAGTAGAGACTCCTATTTCTCCGTCGAGCTTTACTTTAACAGATCTGTTAGACAAGAAGGAGGTAACCCATGCTACCAAGCTATATGGCCATCCTTGCTCTCGTAGTCTCTTGATTAGGCGGCCGGGGAGTACTGCGTCAAAGGCACCCTTGATATCAAGTGTAAGAAGGGAGGCCTCTTGTTTGTCTGCGAGTGCCTTCTCTATGTCGAAGGTAAGGCAGGTAGTGAGGTCTGTGGCAGCTCTCAGAGGGAGGGCCCCGAACTGGTTTGGCCCTAGAACAGAGTGCTTAATAGCTATCCAGGACACTCTTTTTGCGAGAAGCCTTTCAAGCCCCTTTCCTAGGACTGAGAGTAGGGAGATTGGTCGGTATGCTCGAGGAGACGACTTATCCTTCTTATTCGGCTTTGGGATAATGGCGACAATAGCAGTGCGGAAGATCTTAGGATGAAACCCTGTCTCTATGCACCCCTTGAAGAGAGAGTATACTAGGTGTGAAATCTGATGCCAGGCAGCTTTAAAGACCCCTGTTACTAGCTCATCTTCTCCTGGTGCAGTAGAAGCCTTTCCTAAGACCGATTCTTCAACCTCACGGAGGGTAAGAGCTGCCCAAGGTAGAGCGCGTGTAGGGGTGGTGGGGGTGTTGATCGGTATGTCCCCTACTTCAGCCTTGTTTGTGAGTAGCTCTTGTATAAGGATCTTCTGTTTCTCCTGAGTAGTGAAGCCTAGCTGGCCAGCTGAGTCCTTCAACGGGGGGGACTTGTAGACCCCAGTGCTCTGGTGCCACTTGCATATTTTAAAAACATCCTTGCTCTTTGTAGCTTTGTCAATTAGGTTGCGGAAATGCTCTCCCTTCGCCTTCCGGATCTCATGTCTCAGAGCCCTCTGAAGATCTTTCGCAGCCTCTGGGCTAGCTCCGAGCCTTCGAGCTTTTCT